TTTACTAGTTCAGTGCATTAATTGCAAATATTTGCACCTACTCTGTGACTTGCTCCCTTTCCACCCCCAATTTCTAAGGTGTTTTTTTTGAAGCACAAATTTGGAATCATAACAGGCGACTATCAATCTTTTCCTTAATGATTTGAGCATTTTGTGTTGTCCTTAAGAACTCAGGCCCTGTCCCAAGGTCATAGAGACATTCTCTTGTATTTTCTACTGATGCACCCACCATATTTAAGTCCATCTGTACTAATTTTTATGTATGATATGACATAGAGATTCTACTTTATTGCATTAACCAAAAAAATAAAATAAAATAAGACAGGTGTCTCAATTAATAAAGGTTAATTTAGCCAAAGTTTGAGGACGCGCCCAGGAAAGACACAAGTCTCAGATCCTAATGTTAACACCTCACATTTGGTAGAAATGACCTTCAAGATTCTCCATAGCAGAGATGTGGTTGAAGAAGAAAAGGAAGACATTGAGTTCGTAGATGGCAGTAGCTTCCTGAAAGAGGCAGAAGAAGGGCAGAATATGCAGTTGTCTCCTTGTGGGAAAGCATAGAGGCCAAAAGCCTCCCTGCCCAAACTTCAGCCCCAAAGATAGAGATAATAAATAGCCTTAACCAGCACCCTGGCACTAAGAAAAGGCAAGGCCTTATTTATACAGACGTGAGATACGTGTTCTCTGTGATCCATGTTCATGGTGCAATCGAGTAAGAAAAGGGACTTCTAAATGCCAATGACAAATCAAATATGCAACATAAATATTGGCACTACTGCAGGCGGTGGAAATGACAGATTGCTGAGGTCATCTAATGGGGGACTTTGGAATAATGAAGGGGAGCAACCTGGCACATACAGGGAGGGAAAGTCCTTGCTTCCTTCAATACCGCTTTATGAATATAAACCAAGACACTCCCCTAGGGAGTTACAGAAAGCCATGTAAGAGAGAGATCATCAGAGTTCCCTCTCAGAGGGATGGGCCCTAAATAAGAAAGGCAGGATTTGGGTGTCCAGAAATCTGAGTTGGGCTACTATAAATCCTGCCCATGATCTCTCGAACTATGGCAAGGAGGCTATGCACACTTGGCTCCTCAGGATAATAAGGACCCCAAAATTGAAGAAAATGATAGGTAAAGTGGCTGACCAGTGTGTCTATTGTCAGAGAAACAATGCTCAAACCAGACCTCCCATACCTCCCTTGGCCAAGGTGGTACAATTCAGGGGAATCGTGCAAGGGGAGGACTGGCACATTGGCTCCATGGCTTCCAGAGGATTTAAATATCCCCTGGTGCTTTGTTTTCTTGACGCTTTTACTGGCTGGATAGAGGCTTTTCCATGCTGGACTGAAAAGGTGGAAGCCATGAAGGCTTTACTAAAGGAGTTTACCCCTCGAATCAGTCTCCCTAAGTCAGTCCAGAATGCTAATGGACCCACATTCATTTCTAACATAGTGGCAAAAACCTCCCAGGCCTTGGTCATACAGTGGAAGTGGCATGTAGCCTGGAGACCAAACTGGTTGGGAAAGACCAAAAGGTCCAATAGAACTCCCAACGGTAGTTTAGCCAAGTCCTGCCAGGAGGCCCAAGAGAATTGGTTAAGGCTGTTACCCATACTCTTGGCCCAAGTACGGGTAGCACTCAGAGGAAGAATGGGACTTAGCACCTTTGAAATGTTATATGGGGCCGGGCATGGTGGCTCATGCCTGTAATCCCAGCACTTTGGGAGGCTGAGGCAGGTTGATCACTTGAGGTCAGGAGTTCAAGACCAGCCTGGCCAACATGGTAAAACCCCATCTCTACTAAAAATACAAAAAATTAGCCAGGTGTGGCGGCGTGTGCCTGTAATTCCAGCTACTCAGGAGGTTGAGGCAGGAGAATCATTTGAACCCGAGAGGCAGAGGTTGTAGTGAGCCGAGATCACACCACTGTACTCCAGCCTGGGGGACGGAGCAAGACTATCAGAAAGAAAGGAAAAGAAAGAAAGAAAGAGAGATTATATGGAGCTGGGCATAGCGACTCACACCTGTATTCCCAGCACTTTGAGAGGCCTAGGTGGGAGGATCATTTAAGCCCAGGAGTTTGAAACCAGCCTGAGCAAAATAGTGAGACTTCATCTCTATTAAAATAGTAATATTAATAACCCAGTGTGGTGGTGCGTGCCTGTAATCTCAGCTACTTTTGAGGCAGAGGGAGGAACATTGCTTGAACTCATGGAGGTCAAGGCTGTAGTGAGCCATGATGACCTGGACGACAGAGTCAGACCCTGTGAAAGAAAGAAAGAAAGAGAGAGAGAAAGAGAGAACGAGAGAAAGAGAGAGAGAAAGAGAGAACGAGAGAGAGAGAGAGAAAAGAAAGAAAGGGAAAGGAAAGAAATAAAGAAAAAGTGTTACATGTAGGGCCTTATCTAGGCATAGCCAACCCCTTCTCTTGTCCAGATGGGGAGGATATAAAGGGTGATAACACCATTGCACTCCAGCCTGGGTGACAAGAGTAAAAATCCATCTCAAAAAAAAAAAGAAAAGAAAAGAAAAAGGGGGTGAAGCATATCATGTTATTCATCTGGAGTCAGTGGTTGCTGCTGTCAACTGCCTCGGCATCCCCAGCCTCCTGGTCTCCTCTGGGGTAAAACTTCATCTGTTCAACTCAGGAGACTGGATATACCTCAGGACCCAGAAGGCCGAGTCCCCCAGGACCACCTCAGCCCTGTATGGATGGGGCATCTTTTATTTCTACAGTTTCTCGTCTCCACACCAGCAGAGAGGAGCGCACAGGACCCTGCAGGGCTGGACCCTACAGGTGTGGTGGCGTATCCCTGTAATCCCAGCTACTCGGGAAGCTGAGGCAGGAGAATCGCTTGAGCCTCACTGCAGAGGTTGCAGTGAGCCGAGACGTGCCGCTGCACTCCAGCCTGGGCAACAGAGTGAGACTCTGCTCAAAAAAATAAAAATAAATAAATAAATAAAACTTAAGGAAAAATCTGTCAGGAAACAGGATTGAAGGGAGGAAAAGCAGTACCTCTTGCCTTTTACCTCTTATAAAGTTGAGTATACTCCAAATAGGAGGTATGGATTCACTTCTTTTGAGTGTTTGGCTGCCCTATGCCTACTGGCATCTCTGAACCTTTCATCCCTGGATTGAGTGATCCCTGGATTATGGGGACTTGAACTAACTAGAAATCTTGGAGCATATATATTATCCTCAGCAGGTAAAAAGGGCATAGCCTCTGCCAACTAACAAGCCTTGCCATCCTTTTTGGCCAGGAGATTAGGTGTAAATCAAGGTTTTTGAAGAAAGCCTGCACTGTCACCTTGCTGGCAAAGACCTTAGGAAGTGCAGTCATGCACCTCATTTCCGTTTCGGTGTCCCCATATACAATGGTGTCCCCATGAGATTATAATGCGGATGAATCACTACTCCTGTCATTCCAGCACGTTGGGAGGCCGAGGCGGGTGGATCATTTGAGCCCAGGAGTTTGAGACCAGTCTGGGCAATATGGTGAAACCCTGTCTATAAAAAATACAAAATAAGCCAGGCATGGTGGTGCCTGCCTGTAGTCCCAGCTACTTGGAAAGCTGAGGTGGGAGACTCACCGGAGCCCAGGAAAGTCGAGGCTGCAGCGAGCCATGGTCATGCCACTGCACTCCAGCCTGGGCAACAGTGAGACCTTGTCTCAAAGAAAAAAAAAAAAGATTATAATGCCTAATGCCATATTTTTACTGTAGCTTTTCAGCTTTTCTATGTTTAGATATGTTTAGTACAAAAATGCTTACCATTCTGTAGGCCGGGACTGACTGGTGAGCAGGTCCCCGACCCCATGACATCACCCCACCTGGCCTGGGGCCGCTTGATGGAGCAGGAGTGGCTCACTCCAGGCAGCCAGCGTGGGGGGTGAGGCTGCCCTGGAAGGAGTTGGGGCCTGAGAGGGGTCCAGCATCCCTCTCCTCAGCTTGCTGGCCAGGCCCCTGCTTCCCCACTCCCCCTGCCTAGCCGCCACCGCCCAGTGCTACCTCTGGCCACCTCTGCCATGTTCATCAGATGAATTTTTCTTTTTTCTTCTTTTTTTTTTTTTTTGAGACAGGGTTTCACTCTTGTTACCCAGGCTGGAGTGCAATGGCGTGATCTCAGCTCACCGCAACCTCCGCCTCCTGGGTTCAGGCAATTCTGCCTCAGCCTCCTGAGTAGCTGGGATTACAGGCACACACCACCATGACCAGCTAATTTTTTGTATTTTTAGTAGAGACGGGGTTTCACCATGTTGACCAGGATGGTCTCCATCTCTTGACCTCGTGATCCACCTGCCTCGGCCTCCCAAAGTGCTGGGATTACAGGCATGAGCCACCGTACCTGGCCAGATGAATTTTTCTATGCCCTTAATCATGCCAAACAAACATTTTTAAAAAAATGAAAAACTATCTGAAACATAAGCAGTTGTGCTATGTAATTTTGATTGCTGGTGATGGCAGAATTCCAGCTCACAGACTGGTGTTCTCCTCTGTCTCAGACTGTTTTGCTGCCATGTTTACTAAGGATGTCAGAGAAGCAAGACAAGAAGAAATAATAACGGAAGGAATAGAACCAAATTCATCAGGGTCCTTGAGCCAGTATGCTTGTACAGGCTGCCTGGAATTCAAAGAAGATAATGCATGGCCGGGCACGGTGGCTCACGCCTGTAATCCCAGCACTTTGGGAGGCTGAGGCGGGTGGATCACGAGGTCAGGAGATCGAGACCATCCTGGTCAACATGGTGAAACCCCGTCTCTACTAAAAATACAAAAAATTAGCTGGGCATGGTGGCGTGTGCCTGTAATCCCAGCTACTCAGGAGGCTGAGGCAGGAGAATTGCCTGAACCCAGGAGGTGGAGGTTGCGGTGAGCTGAGATCGCGCCATTGCACTCCAGCCTGGGTAACGAGCGAAACTCTGTCTCAAAAAAAAAAGAAGATAATGCCGAGTGCCTGTTGCTATCTACAGCTTGTCTTCTTCCTTTTTTTTTTTTTTTTTCATTGTTGTTGTTTGGAGACAGAGTCTCGCTTGCTCTGTGGCCCAGGCTGGACTGCGATGTCACAATCTCAGCTCACTGCAACCTCCTCCTCCTGAGTTCAAGCAATTCCCTTGCCTCAGCCTCCCAAGTGCTGGGATTACAGGTACCTGCCACCACGCCCAGCTAATTTTGTGTATTTTTAGTAGAGATGAGGTTTCACCATGTTGGCCAGGCTGGTCTAAAACTTCTGACCTCAAGTTATCCACCCATTTCGGCCTCCCAAAGTGCTGGAATTACAGGCATGAGCCACTGTGCCCAGCCGCATGCTGTGAGTTTTTAACGAAATAACTTCACCCATCCAACTGTCTTGAAATTCATTCCTTTGCTGATGCCCAAGGTTGGACAGATTTGCACAAAGTGGCTCACAATTCTACTGTTGAGCATTTCGTGGAAGTAATCAGAAACCAGGAGTTTGTGTTGTTACAGCCAGTGAAATTGCAAAGCTCTAGGCTAGCGATGACACGAACATCCCTGATGATGAGACAATTTTGAATGCACTTCTTACTTGGGCCTGTCATGATTTGCTACAGACAAAGATCGAAGCAAACTTTTGGCTTATATTGGGCCACCTCTTCTTGCACCACAGTTCCTGGCAGACATGGAAAGTAATGTACTTTTTGGGGATGATATAGAATGTCAGAAACTAATTATGGAAGCAGTGAAACCATTCATTACCAGAGAGAAGACCATGGTAGAAAGTCCCCAGACAAAACCTAGGAAGTCAACTGTTGGTACATTCTTTGCAGTTGAGAGAATGGATTCAACAAAAGGAGCAACAAGCATTGAAAAGCGTGATCTCTGTACAAATGTGTGGACTCCAGTAGCAAATATGAATGGGAGGAGGCTACAGTTCGGGGTTGCAGTGCTAGATGACAAACCGTATGTGGTTGGGGGAAGATATGGACTGAAGACTTCGAATACCACAGAGTGCTACAACCCCAAACATAGTGATGCCACCTATGTCCACACATAGACCTGGCCTTGCTGTGGCTGTACTGGAAGGTCCCGTGTATACCGCAGGAGGGCATGAAGGCTGGGGCTATCTGAATGCAGTGGAAATCTGCAAAAAATCTCCTAATCACTTATTAATAGGACTGACGGGAGGATAATAGATAGCTATGGTGACTTCATGTGAGATTGTTCAGGCCACTCCACATAGTGCACCGATTAGTGCACATTTTGAACTAGACGCTCATCTTGATCAAAGAATAGACAGCTAGGCTTGATGTGGCTAATATAAACAGGAGGCTTATGTTAAGATTAATTATAGAGAGTGGAGTGTGGGGAGAGGGATTCTTATGAGTTCAGTAATAGTGCTAGATTTGAAGCAATAATGTATGGGGGGTGTATTTCTATACATTGTCGTACATTATACAACAATGTGTACAGAGTTTTATTGCATCTGTGATTTTTACTGCCGAGTGCCCCCTGACGTCCTGGTGGTGGTGTCCCCACTGCTCCCAAAGCTCCCAGGCTCCTGTGTCTCTTTCTCCCAGTTCCTTCCTAGCCATACTTCCGGCTCGATTCGCCTGTGGATAGACCCAGTCCCTACTTCTAGAAGCCTCCAGGGATAATTCTCATTGCCTCCTGCTCATTCTACATCCTGCAAAGCCCCTTTCATCAGGTTCTGCAAGGAAAGTCAGGCCCTGGGAATTCCCATGCATAATCCCTTCTCAGACAGGGTGTCTGTGAGGGGGCACCACAGGGCACAGACACCCGTGTCGGGGGAGACAGTATGGTCCAGGCTGCTCTGCCTTTGCCACGGGCCTCTCCCCAGCCTACTCCTGGGCCTCCTTAGAATGCTTGCTGCTGTGAGAATTGCAGGCTCCCTGGCCTTGTAAGAATTGAAGGTTCCCTGGCCTTATGACAACACAAAGGGAAACAAGAAGTTCCAGAATACAGGGCCCTGGCCCAGATCAGAGAGGGCACAGGGACGGGGCCCTGGCCAGACACAGGCCCAGGTCTGCAGCTGGCCAGTTGTGGCTGTGGTGCCTGGCATTGTCTCAACATGGCCCTGGAGCTCTACATGGACCTGCTGTCAGCACCCTGCCGGGCCGTCTACATCTTCTCGAAGAAGCATGACATCTCGTTCAACTTTCAGTTTGTGGATCTGCTGAAAGGTCAGCTCCCGCTGCTGCCCAGCAGGCCTGGTCCTGGGGGAGGCAGGGCACATAGCTTGGGGCTTTTATTTTTTCCTTTATTTTATTTATTTATTTATTTTAGGAAGATTCTCGCTCTGTTGCTTTGGTTGTAGTGCAGTCGTGCTATTTTGGTTCATTGCCACCTCCAATGGGTTCAAGTGATTCTCCCAGCTCAGCCTCCTGGCAGCTGGGATTACAGGTGTATACCACCACACCCGGCTAACTTTTTGTAATTTTAGAAGGGATGGAGTTTCACCATGTTGGCCAGGCTGGTCTTGAACTCCTAATCTCAAGTGATCAGCCCAACTCAGCCTCCAAAGTGCTGAAATTACAGGTGTTAGCCACCTCACCCAGCCTGATTGGGGCGTTTCTGAGAAGCAGAGACAGAGACAAGGGAGTCCCCCGAGAGGTCTGCAGGGAAGGAAGGGAAGCCAGGGGGCTTGTAGGCTGCATCCATGTCTAGCCTATCTTAGCCAGTCCCCACTAATGGCAGTCCCCATGCCAGAGATGAACAGGCTCTTCTAGGGGAAGGGAAACTAAAGAGCGGCTGAGACTCCCTGGGCTCCCACCAGGCACCCTCACTTCCTGGTGGGAGTCTAGGACCTTGTGAACACAGCACCTGCCTGCCAGGTTGGCAGACGGGGCAGAAGTGCACAGTCTGTCTACACCCATCCTCCCCAGTGTTCCAAATGGCTCAGGGCTCCACTGACCCCTAGTGAGGGTCAGAGGGTTGGGTTCCAACTCCATCCCGGGCACACAGGGGCTCCAAGAGTTCAGCCTGCAAAAGCAGAAGCCTTTGGAGCACAGAGGAAGACACAGAAGCTGTGGAAATGAACAGGGTGCGAGTGGAGCCCTGGAAATGTTTCCAACAGGAGGCAGCTGGTCCAGGAAGAGCTTCAGTTCCTGGCCCCACATCAGGTTCCCTGTTCAGACAACCCCGATTGCATCTGAGGGGCTCCCCTTTGGATGTCCAGCTGTGTGCTGGGCCCAGCTTCCTTAAAGCCAGGACAGAGTGAGGGTGATGGGTGCGGGGCTGGGACCCAGGCCCTCAGGGCTTCAGGTGATTCAGAGGCTGTGGCTGCAGATCCTGCTTTGTGGGTGGGCACTGGAAGCCTCCAGCTTCTGGGCCAAAGGGTCATCCTGGTCCTGGGACACAGGGAGGAGGCACGGGAGTCACCAGCCCTAGAGTGGGGCAGGCTGGGAGCCAGCAGTTCTTATCCCAGTCAGATTCTGCCACTGCCTTGCCCTGTGACCTGGGGTGAGCCGCGATGTCCCTCCAGACCTCAGTTCCCTCTTCTTGAGAAAAGAGGGGGGCATTTGTGTCTCTGGGAGTCTCAGTTCTCTCTCCCCTGGAGTCCCACAGCCTCAGACCTTCGCTGCTCCTCCCAGGTCACCATCACAGCAAAGAATACATTGACATCAACCCCCTCAGGAAGCTGCCCAGCCTCAAAGACGGGAAATTTGTCTTAACTGAAAGGTGAGTCTTCCCCAGGGCCCTTGCACTGTCTGTCTCTGCTCTTCCTGGGAGACTCAGTGGGAGCATCTGTCTATTTACCACACTCACAGGCACACTAAAGTTGAGTGAATGCTGATGAACAAGGTTCATGATGAACTCCGCAGACCCACCGCCCAGCTGCCAACTTGGGGTCCATTTTACATCAGTTCTATTCCCCTGCCTTCTAGACACCCCACCATTTCATAATGTCTACGGGCCAGCTCATGTCTATAATTCAGTACTTTGGGAGGCTGAAGTGGGTAGATGGCCTGCGCTCAGGAGTTGAAGACCAACCTAGCCTGAACAACATGGCACAACCCCATCTCTACAAAAATACAAAATGTAGCCAGCGTGGTGGCCCACACCTGTCATCCCAGTTACTCAGGAGGCTGAGGTGGAAGGATTGCTTAGGTGGAGGTTGCAGTGAGCCATGATTAACGTCATTGCACTCCAGCCTAGGCGACAGAGTGAGACTCCATCTCAAAAAATAAAAATAAGTAAATAAATCAATAAATGTTTAGAAACATACCTCTAAGAGGTAAGCGTTCTTAAAAAAAAAAAAGGCTGGGTGAGGTGGCTCATCCCTGTAATACATGCACTTTGGGAGTCTGAGGCGGGAGGATTGCCTGAGGTCGGGAGTTTGAGACCAGCCTGATCAACATAAAGAAGCCCCCTCTCCACTAAAAATACAAAATTATCTGGGCCTGGTGGCGCACGCCTGAAATCCCCGCTACTCAAGAGGCTGAAGCAGGAGAACTGCTTGCATCCCAGAGGCAGAGGTTGCGGTGAGCCGAGATGATGCCAATGCACTCCAGCCTGGGCAACAAGAGTGAAACTTAAATTTAAAAAAAGCAACAGGCTGGGTATGGTGGTTCATGCCTGTAATCCCAGCACTTTGAGAGGCTGACATGGGAGGCTCGCTTGAGGCCAGGAGTTCAAGACAACAGTGAACTCTGATTGCACCACTGCACTCCAGCCTGGGCTATGATAGAGTGTAGCATCACTACAATACCATTAGGATACCTAATGAAATTAACAGTAATTCCTAGATTTTATCTAACATTTGGTGCCTGTTCAAAACTCTCTGATTGTCTCCTAAATATTTTCCTGGCAGTTTGTTTGGATCAGGTCTGAAGGAGATCTGAGTCTTGCAGCTTGTTGCCGTGTCTCTCCTCCACTTTTAATCGATAGCTCTCTCCATGCCCTGACCTTTCCACCTTGGCATGGCTGCTGTGATGATAAAGGAACCCTTGTCCTGTGGAGGTTCCCATAGCAGCCATCAATCAGCAAGGCCTAGGATGTCCCCTCCAAAGCATGGCTCCCCCCCCACCCCGTCCCCTTCCCTCACTCTGATGCGTGTCTCCCCCCCTCCCCTTCCCTCACTCTGATGCATGTCTCCCCCACCCCCCCGTCCCCTTCCCTCACTCTGATGCATGTCTCCCCTCCATCCCCTTCCCTCTGTTCCCACGGCCTCCACCCTTCCCAGACACCACAACCTTCCCAATAGTTGCTGGCCTCCCTGTTGTCCATTCTGCCCCCTTGGGCTCACCCTCCATCACGAGGCAGAAAGGTGGATCCTTTCATGGCCTGGCTTACATACTGCCTAATCTTAAGAATTAAGTCTGTAACCTCCCTGCATCTCCAGGGGCCATCATCTGTGGCCTCCACAGTGTCTCAGTCTCACCACTCCCCAGTCACCCACTCCCTTCTTCCAGTTGCACCCACCTGCTCTCCTTCAAATTCACCTTGCTCCCCTTACCCTGGTATTTCAGCATGTGTTTTTCTTTGCCTGTTTTTAGAGGCAGAGTCTCCCTCTGGTCCAAGCTGGAGTGCAGTGGCACAATCTTGGCTCACTACAACCTCTGCCTCCCATGTACAAATGACTGTCGTGCCTCAGCCTCCCAAGTAGCTGGGACTACAGGTGTGCACCACCACACCTGGCTAATTTTTCTATTCTCATTTTAGTAGAGACAGGGTTTCACATGTTGGCCAGGCTGGTCTCCAACTCCTGACCTCGAGTGATCTGCTTCCCAAAGTGCTGGGATTACAGGTGTGAGCCACCGTGACTGGCCTGTTTTTGTTTTTGAAAAAGGATCTGGCTCTTTCACTGAAGCTGGATTGCTGTGGTGCGACCTTGGCTCACTGCAGCCCCAAACTCCTGGGCTCGAGTGATCCTCCCTCAGCATCCTGATTCGGCACGTGCTCTTCCCCTTGCTGGCCTACTCTCCTCTACCACCAGCCCCAACTCCTGCTCACCCTGCAGGTCTTCCTCCCTGCCCTTGCTGACTGTCAGACAGCTCTAGTGAAGATCTTTCCCAGGGCTGTTTGGGCTCCTCCTTTCCCTGGAAGCCCTAGCAGTTGGGCCCAGGTCACACTGGGGTGACTGAGTAGGGGCACTCGGGAAGGCAAGAGCAGTGCCCCTGACTGGTCCCTTCCGCAGCGTGTCCATCCTCTCCTATCTGTGTCGCAAGTACAGTGCACCATTGCACTGGTACCCGCCAGACCTGCACACACGTGCCCGTGTGGAGGAGTTTATGGCTTGGCAACACACAGCCTTTCAGCTGCCCATGAAGAGGATAGTCTGGCTCAAGGTGAGCAGGGTCACTTGTGGGGCTTGGGGACAGAGAGTCAGGAAGGCTGGAGACCACTTCCGGCCCTGATCACTGCTGGTGAACTAAAGTAAGTCTCCCTCCCTCTCTGGGCCTCATTTCCTCAGCTCCTTCTCCTGCCTGCCTAGCAGAGCTGTCAGGAGTGTGGATTGAAACAATGGGTATGAAAGAGTCTTAGTAGGGAAAGGGGAAGGGCATACAGGAGGTGCTGATGTTAGCCACCCCAGGACAGCATTCCATGCTTTTCATTCTGAACAAGAGAATCTCAAAGTCAAAAGGCCCATAGAAGGCCAGGCGCAGTGGCTCACAACTGTAATCCCAGTACCTTGGGAGGCTGAGGAGGGAGAATCACTCAAGGTCAGGAGTTCAAGACCAGCCTAGCCGACATGGCGAAACCCGTCTCTACCAAAAATACAAAACAAATTAGCCAGATGTGGTGTCGTGCACCTGTAATCCCAGCTGCTCGGGAGGCTGATGTAGGAGAATCACTTAAACTTGGGAGGTAAAGTTGGCAGTAAACCGAGATCGGACCACTGCACTCCAGCCTGGGCAACAGAGTGAGACTCCATCTCAAAAAGAGAGAGAGAGAAAGGCTATAGAAAATTTGAAAATGACAACCAGTACATGTGTCCCTATTTCTAATTGTATGCCTGTAACAGGCATCACTTAATCAACCACAGGATTTATGCCTGATGAGCTAACCAAATCATTGTGAACACATAGTAACTTCCGGCAATCAGAACTTCCACCAATCAGAACTGCTAAAAGAGGTGAAACTACTTTATGTCCTGGGAACTGTCCAATAGCTATTGAGCAGACAAGAGTACAGAGACCTGGTAGGGCAGATAGCCCACGAGTGTTTCCCTCCTCTTCCCAACCCTGGCCAGTTGCTGATCCCAAAGATAACAGGGGAGGAAGTTTCAGCTGAGAAGATCGATCACGCAGTGGCGGAGGTGAAGAACAGCCTGAAGCTCTTTGAGGAGTATTTTCTTCAGGACAAGATGTTCATCACTGGGGACCAAATCTCACTGGCTGACTTGGTGGCCGTGGTGGAGATAATGCAGGTGTGGGGAGGGGTGGAGGAGGGTTAGACCTTGGGCAGAGGTGGAACTCCTCTGTGATCAGTGGGGCCGTCACTTGAGGATAGGCTGGTGAAGCCGGGAAGGCAGGTGGAGCTGCCATAGGGGCTGTGGGAGCCAGGTCTGGGTGCCCGGACTCAATGTGGGGGCAACAGGAAGCACAGAATGTTATGAAACAGGAGGGATCACAATTCTCCACACTTGACAAAGATTCTTCAGTGTGGGAGGAGCTGGAGGGTGAGCCTGAGATAGGGAAAAGGGCACTGCATTTCCTGGTCAGTCCACCAGGATCCCAGATGCCTCCTCCTCTTGCTGGACTCCCCAGGAAATGTTCACTGGCTTCCTGGCTATCCTTCTGGCCCTGTCTCTTTCCCAGAGCTCCAGACAGACAGCTGTGAAGGACAGCTCTCCTGGCTGGGTCTGAGCGGCATCCACTGTGCGTTTGGAGGCACATCTGGGTGTGGGGCATGTATGTGGCCTCTACATGCACGGGAGGGTGACCAGTTCTGCCTCTCAAGATGCTGGCCAGGGTCTACACTGGCCATCCTGCACACCAGCTAGGGCACTGCACACTCACCAAAGAGAGTGGCCAGAGCTATGCCCAGGAGGAGGCATCCGGGATCCTGGGGGATTGACCAAGAAACACAGTGTTCTTTTCCCTATCCCAGAGATCTCTGACTGATATGCAAATTAGTCTCTTCGATCTGCTTGCAGTGCAGATCAGCATGAGAAAAAGTCATTCTGGCCTCCCCCAAGGGTTCAGTCATAGGCTTCGTCCCACACCCCTTACATTTCACCCACCACCTCACCCATCTTGGGCTTCCCGAAGATCTTGCGTGCAAGCCAAGCTACAGGGTAGACTGCCTTAGTGAGCCAGCCAAACTGCAGGGCAGACTGCCCGCCAGGTCTCCCGTTCTAGCCCCTGTGCTTGATCACAGTGGGAGGTTAAACATGGGGTAAAAAAAACTGAGGTCTCCCCCTCATCCACATATACACACCTGGGATAAGGGGTTTTCCTGAAAGAAGGCAGGATTCATGGGAGGTCGCGGGCTGGAGAAGTAGAAGCTGCCTGGGCCAGGAGCCCTCTCTGTGTGGTTCAGAACTTGGAGCGAGAAGACCAGTGACCAAGGACCCTGGGGAATTCTGGATCCTCTATCCCCACCTGCATGTATTACATAGTCTGTGACCCCTTGCTCAGGCTTAGGGGACAGCAGCCTAATTCTTTGCAGAGGCTGATGGGGAGAGCCCCTGAGGCTGTGGGCAAGGACCCAGGTGGGGCTGGTCCCCAGGATGACCACCTCTTCCTCTTTGTCTATCTATAGCCCATGGCAGCCAACTATAATGCCTTCCTGAACAGCTCTAAGCTAGCTGAGTGGCGCAAGCGGGTGGAGCTGAGTATCGGCTCCGGCCTCTTTATGGAGGCCCACAGTCGACTAATGCAGTTGGCTGACTGGGACTTTTCAACATTGGATCCAGTGGTCAAGGAGAATATTTCTGAGTTGCTGAAGAAGAGCAAGTGACCCTAGGTGCAGCCCGTCCTGCAGGGCTTGGCTGGCTCAGCAATCTGAGCCATGTTCCTCAGAGGAAATGCTAAAAAAACAAAACAACAACAACAAAAAAACCTGTTCTTTGCCTAATAAAGAACTGGAACAACCATCACAGCTGCTGAGCAACAGACAGTTGGTGTATGCGTAGGGTCTGATGTGGGAGTGGGTGGTGGTCACAGATCCTTCCAGTTTTCCAAAAAAATTTTAAGAGTAAAGGGTTCAATATAGTTGCATTGTCAGTAATAATAGTTGGTGACTTCAAAACCCCACTTTCATTAATAGAAAAACTACAGAAGATCATCAAGGAAATAGAGGACTTGAAAAACACCGTAAACCAATTGCCCACAGTAGACACGAACAGAACTTTCCACCGGACTAGAGCAGAACAAGCATTCTTCTAAAGAGCATGTGGAATATTCTCCAGTGTAGAGCGTATATTTGGTCATAGGTCTCAAATTTAAGAAGATTGAAATCATACAAAGTATGTTCTCTGGACACACTGGAATCAAGTTAAAAATCAAGAACAGAAGGAAAACTAGAAAATTCACAAGCATACAGAAATTAAAGAGCCCACTCTTAAACAACAAATGGGTCAAAGAAGAAATCACAAGGGACATTAGAAAGTATCTTAAACAAATAAAAATGAAAACACAACATGCCAAAATTTACAGGATGCAGCAGCAGCAGTGCTGCGAGCAAAATTTATATCTGTAAGCATATAAATTAAAAAAGAGCAGCCTCGAATCAATAACCTAACCTTATACCTTAAGGAACTAGAAAAATAAGAGCAAACTAGACCCAACACCAATAGAAGAAAGGAAATAATAAAGATTAGAATGGAGGTAAATAGGAAATAGAGGAACAACAGAGAAAATAAAAAAATTGTATCTTTGAAAAGATCAACAAAATTGATTAGAAGAGCTAAGTGAAAAAAATTAGGCTTAAATTATTCACCAAGAAAGTGGAGGCTGGGTGCAGTGGCTCATACCTGTAATCCCAGCACTTGGGGAAGCCGAGGCAGTAGGATCACTTGGGTCCAGGAGATTGAGAACAGCCTGGATAACACAGTGAGACTTTTTTATAAAAAAAAAAAATTTTTTTTAATTAGCTGGGTGTGGTGGTGTGTGCCTGTAGTCCTAGCTAACTGGGTGGCTGAGGTGGAAGGATCACTCAAGTCCAGGGGTTCAAGGTTACATTGAGCTATGATTGCGCCACTGCACTCCAGCCTGGACAACATAGGAAAACCTTATCTCCAGCCTGGGCGACAGCGTGACCCTGTCTCAAAAAAAAAGAATGTGAGATACCATGGGGAAGGTGTGGCCCTGGGGTAGGGGCTGGGAGACTGGAAAGCAGCTGTTAGCAGTCCCATTGCTGCCCAGAGCAGACAGTGCCCTGTCCACCCTCATGAGCTCCTTGGACTCCTTGGACAGGACTGACTACACATGAGAATGTGGGGACCCTTATTTTGAAATTGTTAAGAATCTCAAGATGGCAACACCAAAGCTTTAAACCAAGTGCACGGCCCTTCCGAGTTGTAGACCCACGAGGCCGACAGACTGCCATTCACATCCTGGTATAGCCACTCCTCTTGAGTGTGGCTGGGGCCTGTGCTCTATTGCTTGGAAGCAAGGCTTATCCCGAAGCCTTATTTTCAGGGAGGTGGATTTGAGAGCTATTATCCCACCTCCTTGCTTGGTGCCCTGCGAATAAATCTTTTCTCTTTTGCAAAACTCGGGTCACGGTGATTAACTTACTGTGCATGGGCAGGACGGACCTGGTCCTGGCCAGTAACACCCGCAAGGCATTCTGGGAGTCTGCGCTGCCAAGGCAGCACTGAGCAATGGTTGGGAGTGGTCTGTCTAAATGACTTTTCTCTTTTTTCTAGGCTGGGCACGGTGGCTCATACCTGTAATCCCAGCATTTTGGGAGGCCAAGGCAGGCAGATCACTTGAGGGCAGGAGTTCAAGACCAGCCTGGCCAACATGGTAAAACCCTATCTCTACTAAAAATACAAACATTAGCTGAACATGGTGGCATATGCCTGAAATCCCAGCTACTTGGGTGGCTGAGGCACGAGAATCACTTGAGCCCAGGAGGCAGAGGTTGCAGTGAATCCTGAGATTGTGCCACTGCACTCCAGCCTGGGTAACAGAGACTCAGTCTCAAATAAACAAACAAAAAAACACTCTTTTTTTTTTTTTCTATAACAAATACAGCCTCTTGTGAGTTGGTTAATGTGAGTCAGACCCAAAGAAAATTATAAATCCTGAAATGCAGACCAAATTAGTTGTTTTTTTTTTTTTTTAGACCAAGTTTCCCTCTTGTATCCCAAGCTGGAGTGCAATGGCGCAATCTCGGCTCACTGCAACCTCTGCCTCCCAGTCTCAAGCGATTCTCCTGCCTCAGACTCCTGAATGGCTGGGATTACAGGTTCATGCCACCAGTCCCAACTAATTTTTGTATTTTCAGTAGAGACAGGGTTTCACCATGTTAGCCAAGGTAGTCTTGAACTCCCGACCTCTAGTGATCTGCCTGCCTCGACCTCCCAAAGTGCTGTGATTACAGGTATGAGCCACTACTCCCGGCCCCAAATTATGTTTTGAACTTGCAAGACAGGCTGAACCCTGGACCAGAGTCCTGACAGCTCCTTCTTGGGCCTCTGACTGAAGGTACCCAGAGGTGAGGGTAAGGCAGCCATTGCCTTCTCTGAGTGTCTACCTCCTTTCAAAACTTTTAACATGAATATCTGAATTTCTCATCTTTCCTTAATCTTTTTTTTCCAGTTAAAAATCATTATCACTGGCCAGCTGTCATGGCTCACATCTGTAATCCCAGCACTTTGGGAGGTAGAGGTGGGAGGCTCTGTGTCACAGTTCCCTCCAGATATCATGCCTGCATTCCTTTTGTCTCCTACCCCATTCCATTCCAGCTTCCAGGTGACCTCTGAAAAGAGCTTTAGCAAACACTTATTTGACCCTGTCCTTGTGTGAAGCTTTTTATGGTTCCTCACTGGCCAGAGGCTAAAGTAGAAGTCATTGAACTTTGTTTTCCAAGCTTTACTGCCACTCCTCCAGGCTGCCTCTTCTACCTGCATACTTTCAGACCCCTCTGGGCTCCCACCTTGGCCCCTTGGCCTCTGCTCATGCTGTTCCTGCCTCATCTTCTTTGCCTGGTGCCCTTCCTGGTCTTCTGGCATTTGGCAAAATGAGACTTCTTCTCCAGTGAGACTTCTCTGACCACCCCAGGCCTACTCCAGGTCAGGTGATCTCTCTGAGCTCCTCGGCCCCAGTGTTTCCCTTCGGGGGAATGCCCCCTGGGTTGAGCATATATCATAGATGAGGGGGGATCTGGTAAAAGATGTCTGAATCAGGATCAGCCTTGGTCTCTATGGGACGTAAAAGTTCCTCTTCAAAATTTCCTTTCTTGTTAAAAAATAAATCATGTGTATGCTAATAATTCTCTGTTAAGCCCTATCCTATGTACCTGTTAGACATGCTTATAGGCACGTAGTACATTCTATCTCCTTGTTCTTTAGCCAAAATATCCATGCTAGTCGTGCCATAGCAGCCTATGCCCCTTCCTTATTTGAGCTTCTCCATTGCTTTTACCTGTTTAGATAAGTTTTAAGTGGTTAGCCAATCAGGTTATAATTTAAATAGTGAGGTCTGGCTCCAGCCAACGGAGAGGACAACCCCAAATGCGTAAGGAATAAATGTCTGCTTTTCCTTTCTTATACTCTCATGGAAGATGGCTAGCAGGGTACCCTTCCTGCAGTGCAGGAAGTAAAAATTGCTTTGCTGAGAAGTCCTTTGTCTCAGTGATTTTTCTTTGCTGCACCGAACACCTGTTTTCAACAGTCTCCTAGGTCTCTCTCCTCACTCTGAAGCGATGTTGTGTCCCACAGGTGGCGTACAGTGCTGGTTCATGAACCTCCTTGCAGGAAGGGAAATTCCTGGCTCTTTCCTGGCCCTCTCCCATGCCTCCTCATAACCTTGATCCCTGTCTTCTCTACACCCCACTCCCTGAAAACTGGCCTGTCCATGCCCCACACCTGGTCTCAAACTTGTCACCTGTCCCTGCCCTCTCCCCTCAGGACTGTCATATTTACCTGTTGTGTGTCTCAGACATTCTGATATCTGGGTCATCTAGTAAACAAACTGCTAATAGTACAAGATCATGACAGTGACTCTTGGTCGGCCTGACTCTCAGTGGAGACTCCTTTAGGTATGCACACTTATACACAATTTTATACGTGTAGTTGAAATTGTACATATAAACCTACACTTTTTTTTTCTTTCATGTTTTGGGGGTATGGGGGAGCCTGGGTCTCACTCTGTCATCTAAGGCGGAGTGCAGTGGCACATTCATAGCTCACCGAAGCTTTGATCTCCTGGACCCAAGCGATTCACCTGCCTCAGCTGCCCAGGGGCAGACCATGGTACCTGGATTTTTTTTTTTTTTTAAATAAAGAAGGGAATCTTGCTATGTTGCCTAGCCTGGTCTTGAATTCCTGAGCTCAAGCAATCCTCCCTTCTTGGCCTCCCAAAGTGCTGAGATTACAGGTGTCAGCTACTTTGCCTGGCTACAATTTCAGTCGTATTTACAATGTACAATTCAAGTGATTTTGCCACATTGACCACACTCATGTTTAAGCCACATCAACAGATTTCCATGTTTTAAATGACATATCTTGCCACCCTCTGGTGGATGGTGGCTCACCACCGGGTCAAGAGGCTACACAGGCAGTCAGTGTGGACCAGCTGGGGATGGGGAAGGTCGAGAATCCAAGGGTCACTGCCCAGCCCCACCCGGGCCCGCGCGTGTAATTAGATCTCGTGATTGCCCAAGAGAAGCGCAGATTTCCATAGGGAACATAAAATTGCCTGACTTTGAAATGGTGGCAAACCAATCAAAAATATTTTTAAGCTCCCGTTGCATTGATTATTAGGGTCGAGGCTGGGGAAGACTCCTATAGGTTCGTGTGTGTCTGTGTGTGTTTGGGATGTTCAGACCTCTAATTGGGCTAGGAACCAGGCGACCACAACACGGAAAGCTTGAGGAGAGGGAAATCTACCTGGTGCTGGCCAGGAGGGTCCAGGAAGGGACCAGGTGGGGCCACGACGCAGTGAAAGACTTGTAGTGGGTGGGGCGACACGTAGTGTTGGGGGGGGTGTCAATGGGACTTCCGGAAATCTGAGCCGGCACACATGACTTTTGTTTGCAGAAGCGGGATATACCCTAGGCAGCCAATCGGGAGCGCCGAGTCTCTGTCCAGCCAATAAAAACCCAGGTTGCTGTGGCGCCACGCCCCTGCGCCCGGGTCCGCGACCTTTAGGTACTCCGAGCTTTTTCTCCGCCGGAGTTGTTTTCGTTCCTTTGCCCGCCATGCCGTTCCTAGAGCTGGACACGAATTTGCCCGCCAACAGAGTGCCCGCGGGGCTGGAGAAACGGCTCTGTGCCGCCGCTGCCTCCATCTTGGGCAAACCTGCGGACGTGAGTGTGGGGCGGGCAGCACCGGGTGGGCCAGGGGTCCGGGCCTGTCCCTGCTCCGCCTCCGTGACCGCGACCGCGTCCCATCTCTCTAGGGACCACATCCCCCCTCATTCCGCACGCCAAGCTCTGACTTGCCGTCCTCCACGATCCCGCTGCTCCCCCTCCGCAAGGCTTTCCCTTGTCGCCCTCCCCAATCATGACCCGGACATGACCTCCAGGAACCGCCTGTGCCGGGATTCCTGACCCAGCAAACACTGCGCGTTTCAGCTTTTGCGCGCTCGGGTCCGGTCCCCAGAGGTAGCCCGGCCCGCCCCAGCTTCGGGCAAAACTTTCCGTGTCTCCCTCAGCGCGTGAACGTGACGATGCGGCCGGGCTTGGCCATGACGCTGAGCGGGTCCACCGAGCCCTGCGCGCAGTTGTCAGTCTCCTCTATTGGCGTCGTGGGCACCGCCGAGGACAACCGCAGCCACAGCGCCCATTTCTTTGAGTTTCTCACCAAGGAGCTAGCTCTGGACCAGGACCGGTGCGTAGGGGCAGTAGGGGATCCGTTTGGGACTACGGCAGACTGGAGTCAGTGATCCTGCCTCAGGGGGAAAATCCCATTTCTTGCCCTGCCCCGTAGGGACACATCGGGGCGTGGGGCCCCTCACCTGAGGTTTGTGAGGAAATGAACCTAGGCTCCTTATCGTAGGACCATCTTCAAAGTGCAGTGCAGGCAGGATTGAATGAATTCCTGGCTCTGCTCCTCAGTGTTTAAGTCTGTGAATGGGGAAGGCTCCCTTTTAACTATTCCCTAGAAGCATAGCAGGGGTCATATGGGATTGTCTGTGCTGTATCTGCCTTGGCATGTGTCAGGGTAGGTACACCTGGCTGAAGAGTGATTTTCTAGAACTTTTTCCAGAAAAAATGAGCCAGGTCAGAAGGAATTCTGGGTACGTTCTGAGGTTATGTCTTTTGGACCTGTGTCCCAACCAGGTTCCAGGTGAGGTTCACGGGGACTCAGAGTAGTGAAAGAGCATTGGCCTGGATGTCTAGACGTCTGCTTTGGGTCCTGCATAGCTGGGAGACCCCATAGAAACTTGGAAATGAACCATCTCGTTAGCAACCTCCTCCTCTGTGAAAACAGGGAAATGGCGTCCCTCTCCCTCAAGAAGCCTCTACAACCCAAACCTGTCGTTCTGTGACAGAGTTAAAGTTTCCTCTTGGGTAAAAGATATTCTTGAGCCACGTCCATGCCTCTGAGGAAGTAAGGGCGTGAGAAGCTTGAAAGGACACTGACCAGGTACGGTGGTTCATGCCTGTAATCCCCGCACTTTGGGAGACCAAGGTGGGAGGTTCACTTGACCCAGGAGTTGGAGACCAGTCTGGGTAACATAGTGAGACGCCATTCCCCCAGAAAATGTTTAAAATTAGCCATACATGGTGGTGTGCACCTGTAGTCCCACTTACTTGGGAGGCTGAGGTGGGAGGATGGCTTCAGCCCAAGAGGTTGAGGCTGCAGTGAGCTGTGATTGCAACATTGCACCCCAGCCTGGGTGGCAGTGAGACCCTGTCTCAAAAAAAAAAAAAAAAAACCTTCTGGAGTGGAGCCTTTGTTAGTCCATGAAGGTCGATGACATATAACTGAGCCTGATGTGTCCTCTCTCAAGCTATAGAGAAATAATAGAGTCAGCCCTCTGTATCACTGGGTCCGCAGCTGTAGATTAAACCAACCATGGATTGAAATATCAGAGAAAAAAAATGGGTAGTTGCATCTATACTGAGGATATGTACAGACTTTTTCCTTGTCATTATTCCCTAAACAATACAACTACTGCATACATTAGATTAGGTATTGTAAGTAACCCAGAGATGATTTAAAGTATGTGAGAGGATGTGTGTAGGTTATATGCAAATATTACACCATGTTATGTAAGAGACTTGACCACAAGAGACTTGTAGATTTTGGTATCCTCTGGGGATCCTAAAACAAATCTCCCACGGATACTGAGGGGAAACTGTTATTTAAGAACAAGTATTAAGAAATGCTTACCATGTGCCGGGTGCTCTACAGGTAGTTAACACTCATGATCCCGTTCCATCCTTACAGTCCCCGTCCACACTCTCTTTGCTCAGACAAGACATGCTATCCCCATGAGGTAGATACCTCCATTATGCCAGTTTTATAATGGGAAGATGGAGGCTATTCATACTCCCCCTGCCCCCAGCCAGGCTATCCCAAGCTCTGGTGCTCCTCGCTGGAATCTTGCTGTCACCTCTGAGAAGATCATGTTCACTTATGGCACGGACATTAGTGGCTGGGTTTGGCGGGGGGTCACTCTGTGCCCAGGCTTTGAGAAAACAAGTGGCTGAGGCATGTGCCTGTAGGGAGCCTGCAGTTAGGAGGAGGCAGGCTGCCCCTGAGCCCACACCCAGACTGATGGAGATGATGGAGTATACACTGTTGAGTGTCTGTCCTAGGTGCGCCATGCTGGTGTGCAGTCCCCGTCCCACACCTGGGTGTCCCACTGCCCTGCTGGAGGTTGGGGGAAGGTCATTACTGGGATGAACAGGCTTGCAAAATGCCTGGTGGGCTGAGGCAGGCTGTCCTGCGTACCCAAAGAGGCTGATGATATCTTTTTCTCTGTCTCCTGAAGGATACTTATCCGCTTTTTCCCCCTGGAGCCCTGGCAGATTGGCAAGAAAGGGACGGTTGTGACTTTTTTATGATTGGCATGGAGGGATCCCGGGCGTCTCTGAGCTGGCTGCCCCTTCCAGGGAGACCTCTTGGCGCAGAGTGAGGGCCTGGTGATACCAGCTTCGGATAATCCTGCATGCAACATTCCTGAGATCACATAATCCTCTTCTTCATCTTTATACGAAATAAATGAAGAGAGCTTCCTTGTTCAAACATGACTTCTTACCTCCTATTATCCCTCCTGGGCATCCTGGGCCACCATAGGCCACAGGGCTGGTGGATAAAGAGACAATATGGAACCTGGAGAGGGATGTTTTCCATCTTCAGGGCTGCTGTCTGCTATGTTTAGACTGCTCAGATCTGGGTGTGGAAGCCTCAGCCTGGAGGCTCTGCTCTCTACACCCATGTGCAGGCCTGTGGGAAGGTGTGGGCAGCTGGTCCAGCTGGGGCCTTCCTGCAGACTGCTGATCTGAGCTTCTGTCCTCAGCCCCCAGATGGGACCAGAGCTCTGTTCTCCTGAAGCCTACTCCCTCTGTGACTGGCTGCGTGGCCTGCTAATCTCTCCCCTTTGCCCCACCTCTGTGGAGTGTGGGCAGGAGTTGCCTGTGTCCTTTTGGGGTTGGTCACCGGTTTTCCGAAAGCAAGGTCCTCCGTCTGCCCCTCATCCTCCTGCACAGGGTGGCAAGTTCTGATTCCCACCCTTTGGCAAGCCCTCCCAGCCGGCCTCATCCCTTCCTGGCAGTAGCAATGGCTTTCACAACCTTTCAGCCCCAGGGCCCCCAGGCCAGGAGGAAGGCTGGGGGGACACGGCAGGCCTGTAAGGCTTCCTGTGTCTTTTCTCCTGTTGCACCTGTGCCTCACTTACACTCACACACTCATAGACACACAACCACGTACTTTCACACACACATCCTCCCACATCCACACAGTCACACGGTAGTCACATTCACACACATATACACCCAGATACAAAAGCATACCATTTACTCACATTCACAGTCACACAGTTCATACACGCGCAGTTCCCTGACATTCACACACACACCACACAAGCAGTTCAGTCACATGGCCAAAAGCCAGTCCTCACCTTGCTATGGTTCCCTTCCCAGTGTCACCTCGGCCTTTGGCCCTCAGTTTCCCCTCCCCATGCCTGGACTGCTGGAGAGCCCTGAACACACCCCCCCATCTCATGCCTCCAGCACTTGCCCAAGCCCTTCCCTCTGCCAAGAGCACTAAGTGGAATTCAAGGTCCCTTCGAGGGACCTGTCAGGTGACCTGGGGATCCTGCTGGCCCCACTTAATGATGATGCACAGCATGATTATTTCAGCGGAGGCCACTCTCCCAGGCTTACTGCCACCTACACAGCACCAGGACTGACTGTTGAGCTTTGTTCTTTATTTCGTATACTATACTGGAATGTCTGTGGAAAGCAAAACCATCCAATTAGGAACAATCCAAAAGGAGCCAGCGTGGATCAAGAGGGCACAGGCTGTGGCTGCCATCCCCATGCCTGATGGGGGAGCAGGGGTGGTAATGGAAAAGGCCCAGGAAAGCAGGCCACTGAGAGACAGCCGGAATGGGACCTAAGAAGCCACCACCAGGTACCCTCAGGGCAGGACAGTGGCAATGGTTGCTGCTTGGAGTACTTCAGGCTAGGAGTGGCACATGGTGGGCACAGGGCAGTAGCCCAGAGCGTGTATGAAACATCCTGTTTATTGGTTGGCAGTGACATCTACTGTCATGTCTGAGAACTGCATCCACAGCCACATGGCCTCCTGTGAAGACCTCAGGGCAAACTGTGAAATCCTGCCCTTGGAAGGTGATGCCAGGGGGCGAAGCGACACCTTCCTTGGAGGTTTGAATTCCTCAGAGCCCCTCCAGCATTTTGGTTTTCCGAATTCCAATGTCCTCCCTTGATCCCCCAGCCCTAGGGGTAGTAGCTTCTTGCCGTGTTTACCTCCAAGTTAACCTGGATTTTCTCTGTCGTTATATTAAGTTCTCTGTTAAAATAATTAGGTAGGGTGTTACTTAAAGCCCAAACCCCTGTAGAATGTTTGACTCTGACGAGGGTCTACAAAATGGCGGGACACTCACAAAATAATACAGCTTGGATGAACAATGAGGGCCCAGCCTGGGAAGAGCTAGGCACTGCTTTTAAGAGAAGTCTGTGTCTTTGGCTACGCTGGAAGCATCCCTATCTTATTTCAAGGCTTCTGGCTGTGGCAGACTTAAGTCTAAGGCTAGGGGGTCCAGATAAGACCCCATCCTTAGTAACCTTTGTCAATAGGGAGACTTCTCACAGCACCTGTTCCTTGGGTGTGACCCTCTATTTTGATGGTCATGCCTCAAGGCGAAGGTTAAAGAAAGAGCTGGCAGCTTACCCGCAGCATAGCTTTATTGCCAGCACAAACCTGTGGAGTGGGACCAGCGACCAGCTTAGTGTCAGAGCACGAGTCCCGCTTACAGACTGGGTTAAAGGCGGTTTTTTTTAATGGCCCGAGGCCCCATGTTTTACTCTGACCAGGGTCTGAAATGTCGGGAGGCTTACAGAATGGTGCAGCGTATCTTGGGATTTAAGCCCACGTCCCTCAGGAAAGACCTGTTCGTTTTCTCCTTACAGAACCTGCTGTGACATTAAGTGAACAGCTCCCTGGGATACATCCCTATAGGGAAGTTATTGAGTTCCTAATATTTTTGTAAAGCTGCTTTATCATCTATGAAATAACCATTGCTCTGCCCACTCCTGGGGTTGTTGGAGACCCACTGAGATACTAAAATGGTAGCACTAAGAAGCCCGGTACAAGTGCTGCTAAAAATGTAGTACTCTCTTTCCTTCTGAGAGTTGGGTAGTGGTGAGGAGGCCTGGAAGCCAACTGAGCTTGTGCAAACCCCTCCCCTCCTCCAGCCTCAGTTTCTTCGTTTGTACAATGCAGGAGGGTACTTCTATAGCCCCTCTCAACCCTGGGAACCTCTGCCTGCCTCAGCCCATTCTTCATCTTGGGACCGGTGCAGGGCACACAGTCCATGATTCAAGCCATCAATAGTGAGCAGACAGTGTGGTGTTCGCGCCAAGGGCTCGAGACAGCTAGTTGACTTGCCCCAGTTTGGCTGCTGGACCTGTACTGCATTTCCTCGCCTCGAGGGCTGTCGAGTGAGACAGGGCCGTGAGCTGACTCACTAAAAGCAACAACAGAATGCAAAGCAAAGGCCTGCAGTTTATGAGGACATTGTGCTGTCTGCTTCCATGTCCCCTTCAGTCTCTGTGTAAGCAATAAACTTGCTGCAATTGAGATCCCTAAAAGGAGCAGAGACCTCTGCCCATATTTTCCCCGGAGCCAAGCCTTTGTTTTAGCTCCTGATGAAAACAGGTTTAACCAGCCAGCTTAAGGGCGCCATTGTATCTTTGAAATGTAAAATCACTGAAATGTAAACTACTACCACTAGCCCCCTTAAACTGCCTTCTGAGCAGGATATCACAAGCCCCTGATAACTATTTTTTATGGAGTTTCTGTTTCCTTTCTGTCTACCCCTTTCTTTCTTTCTGCTGAGATAAGGTAAATGTAAACAAGAAAAAAGGTATAAAAGCTGTAACCCACAAAAATAAATTTGCTGCGTTTTGGCCATAATCTTCACGCAGCCCTCCAGACTCTACTTTTCTATATTCTTTCTTTTCCGCGCACTCTCTCTCTCAGGTTGAACGAGACATCTATGTTGGCAGTCTCGGGGACTCCCGCAGGTCGGTATTCCCCCGGCAGACGTGCCGGACCCCAACAAGACAGACATGACTGACTGGCCCCACAAGGCCCAGCAGCAGCCCAGGGACCTGCTCCCTCTCAGCCAAGGTGAAGGCCCGGTCCTTCAAGGCTCAGTACCTTCCTCAGGGGGTTCACCTGGGCAAAGGCATCACTGTGCCACTGGCCTGCGGGGCAGATCAGTGAAGTGAGTGGGGAGTACCCTAAGTTCTCTGAGGTCTGTGCCCTCCCCCACCCCAAAATCCCAGCACCAGAGTTCTGAGGCCGGTATCTGGGAGGCATCAAGGAAGAGGAGGCCTCTCTGCTAGTCACTGGATCACAGACCTGACTCATCACAGGTCCACCTTTCCTGTGTCCAGCTCCTTGAAGCAAGGGTCAAGGACAATTCCCTGGAGCTGCAATTCACCCTCCACTTCCAGCCAGTCCCATCCATAGGTCAGACCCCTCCAACCTCCTCCTAGGCTCTAGGCTGGCCCGACTTACTGAGCTTCCTATCCCAGCTGGGCACTTAGGCCCTGCTGACCAAGCTGGGTGACCTGTCAACACCCCAGAATCCCAGCTAAACATGTCCCAGCCCTCAGCCCAACCTCATTCTCGCTGGGAATCCCTGCCCCATTCAGCCACACAGTCTCCAGTGGCTCAGCTCTTCTTCCTTTCCTATGCCAGACTCTCAAGGCTCCCTCCCCACTGGTGGCTCCCAGGCCTGACACTTTCAGCACCCCAGTTCTGTGCTGGAGGCTGCATTAGGTGCCTGGTTAGTGTGTTTGGATCAGAGGGCCTCAGTCGAGCCAGACTGCAGTCTGATCACAGGCCTACCCACGGGCCTCTTTGCCCTTCTACGGAATGGACATGCACACCCTGCCCATTCTCCCTCCACAAACTGCCTCTGTATCCAGCCCCGTTTTGCAGCAGGTGGCTCCAGCTTGTTGTACCAAGGGCAGCAGTTGGGAAGGTTCAGCTGAGCAGGGCCCTCCTTCTGGCCTGCCCAGGGGGCTCTGGCTCTGCTCTCTGCCCTACTGCTCAGTTATAGCCCTGGCTCCTCCACTGAATTCGGCTCCAGTTGCATCTCTAGGCCAGCCAGACCAGCAAACACTGCAGCTCCGGGTGGGGGTGCTGGCCTCCCCCACTGCCCTGCCACAGGGCCCTCCAGCCTCTAGGAGTAGCCCCTTCAGCTGGGTGAGAACCCCCATGGGATAGAGCAAGTCAGATACAGGGGAAAAAAAAGAATGGCAAGAAATACACAAAAGTGGCAGAGACCCTGGGCCTGGCGTGGTGATGCATGTCTGTAATCCCAGCACTTTAGAAGGCTGAGGCATACGGATCACTTAAGCTCAGGAGTTCAAGTCCAGCCTGGTCAACTTGGTGAAATCCTGTTTCTGCACATATCAGAAAAAAAAAAAAAAAAAGTAGCCGGGCATGGGGCGTGCCTGGTAGAGTCCCAACTACTCTACATGGGAGGAGGGAGTGGGAGGATTGCTTAAGCCTGAGAGATTGAGCCAGGATCATGCCACTGCCCTCTAGCTTGGGCTACACAGTGAGACCCTGTGAAAAAAAAAAGTGGAAGAAACCAGGCAGGGGTAGACAGGGACTATTCATTTAGGAAACAAGGAGGCAGTTTCATTGCTTTTTCCAAGCACATAGGGTACAGTTATTCTGGCGCCACTCCATTTCCCTACTCTCCTCTGCACCTCTCTGTCCCCTCTTAACCTGTATTTTGAAGAATGTTTTGTATTCACTACACAAAGATCATACCTCTATTAAAATAGACAACCAGAGGGGCATGGTGGCTCATGCCTGTAATCCCAACACTTTGGGAGGCCAAGGCAAGAAGATTTGAGCCCAGGAGTTCAAGACCAGCCTGGGCAACATAGCAAGACCTCCTCTCAAGAATAATAATAATAAATTGGCCAGGCATGTCGGTGGGCACCTGTAGTCCCAGCTACTTGAGAGGCTGAGGCGGGAGGATCACTTGAGCCTGGAAGTTTGAGGCTGCAGTGAGCCATGATTGTTCCACTGCACTCTGGCCTGAATGACAGAGTTAGATCCTGTCTCCAAAAGGGAAAAATAATAAAGTAAAATAGATACCACACTGGAGAGTCTGATTCTTCCTGTTGGTCTGCATTCCTGATCTGACTTCAAAGCAGCGGGGACAGGCAGGGATCGGTGTCAATATCCCCTGGGCCGCCTGCCCTGCCAACCTGTGATCAGCTCCAGGGTGCGAAGCTCGAAGGGGATGCCGTTCTTTTTGGCAAAGATGGAGACTGCACAGCAGGTCTGGGACAGCAGGTAGGGGAGAGTTGGGCAGGAACTGCTGGGTCACTGAGCCTGCAGAGCTGCTGGGCACCAGGAGCCTGAGCCCGGCCACGCCATCCTCGCTCAGGAGTTGGCTCAGGAGAACTTTGGGCCAATCAGTGGCACGTCCGCTCTCTCACCTCCCCTTCCTGGGAATCTAGGCTGCGGGTATCTTTCCCACTAAAAAGAAGAGAAAAAAGGAGGTGCAGCAGCCTCCTTGCCCACTGCCAGTGCCCAGTGCCCAGGATGGAGGCCAGAGAGGAAGGGTGACTGGCTGCCCTTGAGGCTGCCAGCCTGACACCTCATGGAGGAATGAGCTGTCCCTCCCCAGCCACTGGAGTCATATTTATTACACTCCAGCTAATCCTTCCCCCAGATGGCTGAGACCTATCCAGAGGTTTACTAACAGTGCCTGGCATTGCACAGAGCTTCCTATCTGCTATTCAATGGCAACTCTAGGGCTTCTGAGGCCTGTGGCTATGACACTCCCATTTCCCAAGGGAGCCTCCCAAGGTAGGAAAACCCTATCCATAAATCCAAGATAGAGAGAAAGAACGTTGGCAAGAGGATGGTTACTGGAAACTTGGCAATAGCCTTGCTGCTCTGGTCCCCCATGGTTCCCATGTGCCCCCTTTGTTGAGATAGAGTCTCACTCTGTTGCTCAGGCTGGAGTCGGTGACATGGTCATAGCTCATTGCAGCCTCGACCTCCAGGGCTCAAGTGATCAAGTGATCCTCCCACCTCAGCCTCCCAAGTAGCCGGGACCACAGGCATCACATCTGGTTAATTTTAATTTTAATTTTTAATTTTTTTTTTTGTAGAGACAGGGTGCCGCTATGTTTCCCAGGCTGGTCTCCAACTCCTGGGCTCAAGTGATCTTCCTGCCTCAGACTCCTAAAGTTTTGAGATTACAGGCATGAGCCACCACACCCAACCCCATGGTGCCCACTGAAGGAAGACCTATTCCCCCGCAGAAGAGTGTCTTCCTGGCCTAGTGCAGCAGCTCTTTCCAGACTGAGAGGGGCCACATTCTCCTACCCCTTCAGTTGCCTACCCCTTTTCACAAGTCACCTTTGGCCGGGATTACTGCAATATCAAATCTCCCTGCGTCCTCCCTGGCTGCCTTCCAGTCCAAGCCCCAGCAGCAGCCAGAATGTTATTCGAAAACACCATCAGAGCACTCCATTCCTGCTAACAGTTTACAGCCAGGCACCCGGGCATGGCATTTAGGCTCCTGAATGACTGGGTTTTGACCAGGAGAGCTGCTGTCTAGATTTTCTCCTCCCGACCAGTTCCTCAGGAGCAACACAAGACTCCTGACTGACAGTAAGGGTCATGCCCTGGGAGGCCAATGCAGCCAACTGCTGGGTCGCCATGCCTACAGCCACCAAATGTGGGATGCTGCTGGGCCTGGTGCTGTCAGATACTTACTTTCTCTGGGAATTAGAAGGCTACAGACATGTTTTGTTTTGTTTTGGGTTTATTTGTGTGTTTTTAGAGACAGAGTCTTGTTCTGTTGCCGAGGCTGGAGTGCTGTGGGTCAATGAGAGCTCACTGCAGCCTTGAACTCCGGGCTCAAGCAATCCTCCCACCTGAGCCTCCCAAGTAGTTAGAACTGCAGTCATGCACCACCACACCCGGCTAATTAAAAAAAAAGAATTCTTATGGGCTGTGTGAACCCGGGAGACAGAGGTTGCAGTAAGCCATGGTCATGCCACTGCACTCCAGCCTGGGTAACAGAGCAAGGCTGTCTCAAAAAAAAATTTTTTTTTTGAACTCCTGGACTCAAGCAATCCCACCACCTGGACCTCCCGAAGTACTGGGATAATAAGCACGTGCCACCGCACTTAGCCACGTTTGTCAATTTCTCTACTGGTAAACATCAGGGAGAAGCTGACCCACAGGGCCTGGGAAGGGGGATTGTCTTTTGGATAGAGATCAAGACCAGGGTTGGGACGGAGGAAAGTCAAATAAATCACACATTTGAGTTAGAAGCAGAGGCTCAGGCTGAGCTCAGGTTTATTATCCAAACTTGAAATGCAGTGATTGAAGGACACAAGGTCTCAGTGTGCATCATTCTTATGGTGGCTTTCAGGCAGCTGTGGAAGACAGGATAGGGACGGTGGCCTGGGGAGCTGAGGTGCTCTGGGACTTGGGCAAGTCTTAAGCAAGCCATTCCTGCTCTCTGGGCCTCGGTCCCATGGGCCATTAGAAATGAAAGTGATGGCCGGGTGTGGTGGCCCATGCCTGTAATCTCACCACTTTCGGAGGCCGAGGCGGATGAATCACGAGATCAGGAGTTCGAGACTAGCCTGACCAACATGGTAAAACCCTGTCTCTACTAAAACTACAACAATTGGCTGGACACAGTGGTGGGCAGCTGTAATCCCAGCTGCTGGGGATGCTGAAGCAGGAGAATCACTTGAACCCGAGAGGTGGAGGCTGCAGTGAGCCGAGATGGCACCATTGCACTCCAACATAGGCAACAGAGCAAGACTCTGTCTCAAAAAAAAAAAAAAAGAAAGAAAAAGAAAGAAAGAAAGGAAGGAAGGAAGGAAGGAAGGAAGGAAGGAAAAGAAAAGAAAAGAAAAGAAAAGAAAGAAAAAGAAAGAAAGAAAGAAAGAAAGAAAGAAAGAAAGAAAGAAAGAAAGAAAGAAAGAAGAAAGAAAGAAAGAAAGAAAATGAAAGTACTTTGTGGAACTGCTGAGGGCAGTGCAGGGGTGAGGTTTCCCAGCTCACTGGATCATGGCCAGTACCCTGGACATCAGCTTCTGCTTTGTGGTGGGGTCTGCAGGTGGAAAGTCCTTGGCCTTCAGAATGATCTCATGGGCCTCCCGGAAGAGGTCTTCCCCCACTGCTGCCTCCACGCGATTCCGCCATGCGGCCAGCTTGGGTCGGCCTTCGAAGACTTGGCAGCCAGCACCCACGGGCTGTGGGGAAAAGGGGACAGAATGGGGATGGACAGTTATAAGGGCAAAGATGGGCAGCATCTGATTTGGGGACCACAGAAGCTCCAGAAGGAGTTTGCACACACACATAAGCACAGTCCTGTAGCCAGCAGGGGCAGGCATAAGCAGGACTTCAGCAGCTAGCCAGGACCCCCTGCCTAGTGGGCCCACCTGCCCCCAGCACTCACATGCATCAGCTCCGTGATGGCCACCAGGTCAGCTAAGGAGATGTGAGGCCCGGCGAGGAAGGCCTTGTTCTGGAGGAACTTGTCCTCGAGCAACTGCACGTTCACATCCAGCTCTGCCAGGGTGGCTGCCAGTGTCTGGGGAGATACCGGCTCACCCAGGAAAACAGGGAACATCACCTGGGGATTGGGCAGACGAAGTGGGGCGTTAGTGGAGTAGAGAGGTAGTTTTGGTTTGCATTTCCCTAAGGATTAGTGATGCTGAGCATCTTTTCTTGTACTTGTGGCCCAAAATGATAATATTCTGAATATATTGTGTTAAGTAAAATATATCGACTTCTTTTTACTTTTTTTGTTTTGTTTTGTTTTTGAGACAGTGTTTCACTCTGTCACCCAGGCTGGAGTTAAGTGGCACTGCTGCAGCCCACTGCAACCTCTGCCCCCCTGGGGTCAAGAGATTCTCCTGCCTTAGCCTCCCAGTAGCTTGGGTTACAGGCCCACGCCATCACACCTGGCAGATTTTTGTGTTTTTATTAGAGATGGGGTTTCACCATGTTGGCCAGCCTGGTCTCAAACTCCTGACCTCGTGATCTGCCCGCCTAGGCCTCCCTATGTGTTGGGATTACAGGTGTGAGTCACCATGCCTGGCCCTCCTTCTACTTTTTAAATGTGCCTACTAGAAAATTTAAAATTATGTATGTGGCTCACTTTATACTTCTATTGGACAGCACTTGACTAAATGAACTAAATTCCAGAGAGGCACAAACCCTTCCTAGATAAGCTACTTTCATTCCAATTTCATATCCTGGGGCCCAAGCAGGCAGTGAGAAAGACGGCCACAGGCACAGGCTTTTCCTACTGAGCAGCAGTTTGGGAACTGGGGGCAGGGCTGAACAGCAGAGAGATCTTATAGGCACTGTAGTAGTTGGTGATTAGATTTCAAAGCCCTGCTGGAGTGAGGCTAGTGACCTGATCTCACATTCAAGATATTTGAAACCAAAGATAAACTGAAACCAACGAAACCTGCAACCCAGCCCACCTCTTGATTAGCTAGAAGAGAACAGCCTCACATCCTGGCTGCCTGACAAAGGGAAGTGCGAGCCCTTTTTTGCGGATATTTATTATGCAATTTAATCTCTGCTTTTCTTTTATCATAACGTCTGGCAGACAAGAATAAGTCATGAGGGCGGCACAGTGGCTCATGCCTGTAATGCCAACACTTTGGGAGGTCGAGGCTGGCAGATCACCTGAGGTCAGGAGTTCAAGACCAGCCTGGCCAACATGGTGCAACCCCAACTCTACAAAAAATACAAAAATAATCCAGGCATGATGGTGGAGGCCTGTAATTCTAGCTACTTGGGAGGCTGAGGTGGGAGAATCTCTTGACCCCAGGAGGTGGAGGTTGCAGTGAGCCAAGCTTGAGCCATTGCACTCCAGCCTGGGCAACATCTCAAAAAATTAAAAAATAGTAATACATCATGAAATATGCAAAGAAGCAGGCAAATGTGACCCATTATCAAGAGGAGGAAAAAAACAATAGAAATAGACCCATAGGCTGGGCACAGTGGCTCATGCTGGTAATCCCAACACTTTGGGAGGACGAATCACTTGAGGTCAGGGGTTTGAAACCAGCGTGGTGAAATCTGGTCTCTATTACAAATACAAAGAGTAGCTAGGTGTGCTGGTGGGTGCCTGTAATTCCAGCTACTTGGGAGGCTGAAGCAGGAGAATCACTTCAGAATGGGGATGGAGGAGGTTGAAGTGAGCTCCACCCGATAGGTGGAGGTTGAAGTGAGCTAGATCGCACCATTGCACTCAGCCTGGGTGACAGAGTGAGACCCGCCAGACCCACATTTAGAACATTTAGGTGCTGAAATTAGTTGACAAAGATTTTTAGTTAACCATGATACATATATTAAAGAATTTAGAAAAAAAGATAAAATGGATGAACAGATGGTGAATTTCAGCAGAGAAGTAGAAATTCTAAGAAACAACCAAATGGGGCTGGGCCTGGTGGCTCACGCCTGTAATCCCAGCACTTTGGATGGCTGAGGTGGGCAGCACGAGGTTAAGAGATGGAGACCATCCTGGCCCAACATGGTGAAACTCCGTCTCTACTGAAAATACAAAAATTAGCAGGGCGTGGTAGCGCATGCCTGTAGTCCCAGCTACTCCAGAGGCTGAGGCAGGAGAATCACTTGAACCTGGGAGGTGGAGGTTGCGGTGAGCCGAGATCACACCGCTGCACTCCAGCCTGGCGACAGAGCAAGACTTTGTCTCAAAAACAAACAAATAAACAAAAAAAACAAATGGAATTTCTAGAGGTGGAAAATACATCCTCAAAGAATGTATGGGATGAGCTTGACAGCAATCTGGCACAACAGAGGAAAGAATCTGTGAAGGCAAAGACAGGTTGGTAGGAGAATAATTCAGAACGAAAAGGAGAAAATGGTGCCTGAGCACTTGTGGGGAATGCCCTGACTGCCGCCCCCACACTCCCAGCCTCACCTTATGCCACAAAGCCCGGAGGCAGCTTCTCCGCAGAGTCGTGTGCTGCCATGCCAGGTACTCATCCACACGCGCTCGGGCCTGCAGGTCCTGAGGGTACCAGTGGTCAGGGACCTTATATTTGTGTGTCAGGTAGAGCAGGATGGCCACACTGTGGGTGAGGGGAGACATGGGTAAGGAAGGGCACTGCGTCAGGTATTTTATACATAGTCATTTTTTTTTTAGACAGTCTTCCCCTGTCACCCAGGCTGGAGTGCAGTGGTACAGTCTCAGCTCACTGCAGCTTCGGTTTCTGTAGGAGTGCACCATCACACCTGGCTGTTCTTTTTCTTTTTGTAGAGATGGAATCTCACTGTGTTGCCCAGGCTGGTCTTAAACTCCTCCTGGCCTCAAGCTTCAAGCAATCCTCCAGCCTTGGCCTCCCAAAGTGCTGGAATTACAGGCTTGAACTACTGTGCCCAGCCCACTTCTTTAAACTTTCTGACAATTTGCCAAAGTGTTAGCCTCATTTTCCAGAGAAGAAACCAGGCTTAGAAAGGCAAAGACTTACCCTAGGGCACACAGCCTTTAATGGCAGAGCTGAGAATCTTTATGAGGCTAACACCCAAGCTTTTCCTACCACCAGGCAAAATCCTACAACAGTGTCCCGCCAAATGTTTAGGACAGTTTCTGATCAGAGGACCAGAGAAAGCTTCCTGAAGGAGGTGGCATCAAAGTTGAGCTTTGAAGAAGCTCAGTTCTTTCCATTCTGCATCTGCTTCATCCTCTGGCATTCCGTCCAGTCTCTGATGGCCTGGCTGTTCAAAAAGGCTTCCCTGTCCCTTTGTTCTTTCTGTCATTCTGTCTGCCAAGAATCGACTCCTACCTAAGCTGACTGAGGTAGTGTGGCTCCCTAAAGTACCAACCAGGAAACCCTCCTGCATCTGCAGGATCCTCGAAGAGCAGAGCAGACGAGGCCCCCGGCACTGTCCTCCTTCCCTGGGTTTTGAGTGCCGCCATGGTGATGAGATGAGCATGGAGCTGGAAGAACACTGAGGATGTGTCCATTTGGAGACACGGGAAAGCCTTCAGAAACTTGGGGTTTCCCAAGGATTGGGCACGCCAGCCAAAAGGGCAGAAAACCTCTGTATCTGCCACTGGTTCATGTTCTCTATTAAGCTGGACCATACCCATGTCCCAGCTTAACAACTCCATTGTCTGCAGCTTCTGTTTCTATAGGAGTGCACCACCACGCCTGGCTGTTTGTTTTTTTTTCTTTTTGTAGAGATGGGATCTCACTGTATTGCACAGGCTGGTCTGAAACTCCTGGCCTCAAGGCTCAAGCAATCCTCTGGCCTTGGCCTTTTGCTCTGAGCCAATTGTTGAAGCCACCTCTGAGGAGGGCTGCAGGTCCCTGTGAGCCACAGACCTCCTAAAGGTGAGAGGAGTGACAGGGACATGCAGAGATTGCACATTGCCACTGACTAGTACCCGGGGGGCACAACACTGAGTGACACAAGGACTCAGGACACCTCGGGTACCAGAAAGGAAGAATGGCTCTGGCAGAACGTCAGAGGAATTCATCCGAGGTGGGTCCATCCTGAGATTTCAGAGATGAGCTCTAAAGCACAAACTCCAGGTTCTCCTTGTTATGGGATGAGTGACTCTGGTGACAAAAGTGGCAGAACCAGAGAAAGGTTGAGATTTCTGAAGAGGAGTCAACTTCTTGGGACCTGGTATGATGTAAGTCATCCATATCTGGTGCCTCTCCCATCGGGGAGACCCATCCCGGGAAGCTGTAACCCAGAAACGGAGCCACTGGGCAGCCCAGATGCCACTGAGCCATCTCCACACAAGCTTAGCCAGAGGCCTGCCCCTGTGGTGGGTAAAGCTGCCATCCTCCCCTGCCCTGCCCTGCCTTAGGGATACACTCACCAGCAATCAGAGGACTGGTGTGGAGGTAAAATAGATGTTTGCTTTTCCAAACACCAGGGTGAACTGGAATAGCAGGCAGGCAGGGGCCTGAGGTCCATCCCAACTCTCTGCACAATATGGGGCAAAGAGACTCTGCCTCTGAAGACTTTAGTTTCCTTTTCTATGAAATAGAGGGTTAGAACAGGATGGTTCCAGCAGGCCTGGCAGCAGCCCTAGGTTCCCAGTTACCTCTCACTCAAGGTGAAGTCCCCGTCCTTCAAGGCTGGCACCTTCTTCAAGGGGTTCACCTGGGAAAAGGCATCGCTGAGGTGCTGACCTGGAAGAGTCCAGCATGGTAGGTAGTGGGAGGAGAATGCTGAGCCCTGTGCCCCTCCCTGCAATGCTGAGAACCCAGTTTCACAGTTCTTCTTCCCATCAGTCTGCACTCTTGGATGGCAGATTGGAAGGGCCCCTGTGGGAGGAAGAGGCCACTCCACCAGCTGGTACAAAATAGACAACACTCCTTGCCAAGTCCTGCAGGCACAGCCTCCTCCCACAGCCTGCCCCTCTGCAACAGAGCTCACCATGCAGGATGTGGTGCCTGGACCTTTGCACGCACCCTGCCCACCTCCCCTTTCCACTACTGCCAGCTTCATGAACTCACATTCAGAGTGCCCCAAGCTGCAGGGTAGGTCACCGGAGGGGACTCTGACTTACTGTCATGTCCCTTCCACCCAGAGAAGTGGCCTTTTTCTGGCATCTACTTACTTAGAAACAACTTCTGCTGGCCCTGCTGTGTCCCTTGCTTTGCCCTGCCCTGGGCACTGTGGAGCTGTGACTTTAAGCTCTGCCAAAGCTGGGACAGATTTTTCACCCCATCCACAGCCCCTGAAAAGTACAGGCCAGTGTCCCCCTGGGCATCTGGCCCCTGCTTGCGCTTGTCTGAATGCTCTCTGCCTGAGCTTGTCTGAGTGGTTGTCTGCTGCACATGCTGCCAGAGAAGCTTTTTTTTTTTTTTTTTTTTTAAGACAGAGTCTCAAACTGTTGCTCAGGCTAGAGTGCAGTGGAGCAATCTCGGCTCACTGCAACCTCCACCTCCAGGGTTCAAGTGATTCTCCCACCTCGGCCTCCCTAGTACCTGGGATTAGAGGCATGCGCCACCACACCCTGCTAATTTTTTGTATTTTTACTAGAGATGGGGTCTCACCATTTTGGCCAGGCTGGTCTCAAACTCCTAACCTCAAGTGATCCACCTGCCTTGGCCTCCCAAAGCGCTGGGATTATAGGCGTAAGTCACCGTGCCTGGCCCGAGAGAAGCTTCTAAGAGCATTAGGTCTCATCACTGCCCTGCTCCATAGTCTTCAGTGGCTCCCCATTGCCAATGATCAGATAGAAGCTCCTCAAAATTATACACAATCACCTTAACTCTTCAGCTTTAACCACACCTGCTACCACCCCTCCCTCTGCCCCAACCTTTTTTTTTCCCTTACGGATGGGCTCTCACTATTTCACCCAGGCTGGTCTTGAACTACTGGCCTCAGGTGATCCTCCTACCTCGGCCTCCCAAAGTGCTGGGATTACAGGTATGAGCCACCACGCCAGGCCTGCTACCCTCTCTTTGCTCTCCCTTCAGACTGTTTCTTCACCAGGAACACCCTCCCCTCTCTCTTGGTAAAACATGCCTCCCTCTGCACCAGTGCATTTGACAACCAGCTTGAACACCTTCTTATCCCGCATTCCCTTTCCGCTGCCCCACACTCTGCAGAGGAAGTCCTTGTGCAGGACAGGTGGGCAGTTTCCAGAAGCGGCTAAGTGACGAAGTTTCAGGCGGAGGGCCAGCCATGGAGTGGGAACCCTGGGCAGAAGGGTTAGCCAAATAGAATTGCCCTACTTGCCCACCCAGCCATACCTGGGTTCTGCTTCCAACCCCTCCTACTACCCTACCCCACACTAGGCCTGGGCCTGCCAGCTGAGCCCTCAAGGGCCTTGGAGGCCTGCCAGAGAAACAAAAGAGGATGTAGGGCTCACCAAGCCCCAGGGTCCCCCTTCTGCCCCCAGCCTATCCCCTGGGGCAACCTCCCTCCCCAGCAGGAACAAGAGGCAGAGGACAAAGTTTCGGGAGGCAGAGGATGCTGTGAGCCGTGATTCTACCACTGCACTCCAGCCTGGGTGACAGAGCGAGACTCCATCTCAAACACAACAAACAAGCAGAAAAACAAAACTCCTTGGGCTGAGCGTAGTGGCTCATGCCTATAATCTCAGCACTTTGTGAGGCTGAGGTGGGCAGATCATTTGAGGTCAGGAGTTTGAGACCAGCCTGACCGACATGATGAAACCCCATCTCTATTAAAAATACAAAAAAATTAACCAGACATGGTGGTGCGCACCTGTAATCTCAGCTACTCAGGAGACTGAGGCAGGAGAATCACTTGAATTCGGGAGGCGGAGGTTGCAGTGAGCCGAGATCCACACCACTGCACTGCGACAGAACAAGAGCAAGACTCCGTCTCAAAAAAAAAAAAAAAAAAGCAGAGGACAAGATTAGAGGCAAAACAGGAGAAGCAGAGGAAGGAAGGGACAAAGAGGGACCCCAGTGCAGCCTGAATGAGTGCAGAGGGCAGGGCTGGAAAGTCAGGTCCTGGGGCAATGCCTCATTGGTTTGCTGTTGCAGAATCTCAGCAGCTGGGCCACAAAGAAGGCACTTGACTCTGTCCCAGTCTCTACACTTGGCACCCTTAACCTCTCTCCTCCCCCCTTTCCCTAGGCCCAGGTCACACCCGTTTTTATTTTGTTTAAAAAACATTTTTAAGACGGGGTCTTGCTACATTGCCCTGACTGGAGTGCAGTGGCTATTGAAGGGCACCATCATAGCGCACTGCAGCCTGGAACTCCTGGGCTCAAATGATCCTCCCACCCAGCCTCCCAAGTAGCAGGGACGACAGGCGCGTGCCCTGCACCCAGCCGCGCCCGTTTCTGTCCTCTGGTCTCGCTTCTTTTTATGGTCCCTACCACTTCATTCGGCCTCAAGGGAACCCCGTGGTCCATTCCGTGAGAGCAGGCAGAGCTTGGGGGATTCCTGACTCTTGGATCTCCCTGGTGGCTCATCTTTCTCCGTTCGGTCTCCAAACCAGACCAGCAACGGCTCCAGGAAGACGGTGGCGCCAGGAGAAGTTCCCTAAGCCACTGTATGTCTACCTGTCTACCTGTCCCTTCCTGACTTTTCAGTTCCCCAAACCCGAGGCCGGGCCTACCTTTGATCAGATCCACGGTGCGCAGCTCGAAGGGGATGCCGTTCTTCTTGGCGAAGATGTAAATGGCGCGGCAGGGCTGGGACAGCAGATCCAGGTACAGTTCCAGGCCCATAGCGGAAACCGACAGACCAGACTGGAAACCTGTTGGGGAATCTGCAAACTCCGGTGCCAAGACTTAGGTCTCCGACCTTGGACCACGCCCCTGCGGTCACGCCCCCCGACCGCGGAACCCCATTGGGCGGCTCGGACGCCTGGGACACTTTAGTCCAATTGAAGGCGGGCGGCGTGTCCGAGGGCTGGGCCCGCCTGGCTTCTGCCGGATCAGGGTGGGTCCCCTCAGGGGGACGCACAGAGAGGCCCCAGTCCCAGCCCTTTGGTGCCTGGCTGGTTTATTTTACTTAGCAGTATGTCTTCAAGGTGCATCTGTGTGTCAGAATTTCCCACCGTCCCCATTTTACAGAGGAGGAGACAGACTCTGAATGATTATAGGCTCAGAAAGTCTGGCTCCAAAGTCCATACTCTTGGCTCAACACTGCAGAGACCTCAGGGCTTACGTTCAGTGTTTTGTGGCCACTCGCTTCACTCCAATTGCACTCTCTGGAATGTGACAGCCTTGGTCTTGCTACTCCTGCCAGCGCAGTGCCATCCATCGCGTTCCCTGGGTTCATTTCTTCCCTTCTCCAGGCCTGCGTTCTCCATCATATTTAAAATGGTAAGGAAGCTAGAGCCCTCCAGAGTCCTTGCAAGTCCACAGCCTGGATTCATCTGCTGAGCCATAAGCCCAGGCTGGCCCTTTGATGCCAGGGAGCTCCCCAAGGCCTGCCATGGAGGCTGTCAAACAGTACCAGGGTCCCGTGTCATTTCCTAAAACAAATCCCACTGAAAGTGTGTCAGCCAAAGCATAATGTTTTCTACAGAGTAAGGACCATTTCTGCAAAGTGAAAGTAATAATTATTTTATTTTATTTGGATGGAGTCTCACTCTCTCATCCAGGGTGGAATGCAGTGGTATCATCATAGCTGACTACAGCCTCCAACTCCTGTGCTCAACCCATCCTCTCACTTCAGCCTCCCTGAGTAGCTGGGACTACAGATGCACACCACCATGCCCAGCTAGTTTAACTTTTTTTTTTTTTTTCCCTGTAGAGACAGGGTGTCACTATGTTGCCTAGGCTGGTCTCAAACTCTTGGCTTCAAGTGATCCTCCCATCACCACCTCTCGAAGTGCTGGGATTACAGATGGGAGCTATGACAGCTTGCTGGTAATAATGATTTTTACCTGGAAAAAAGAATTAAGGAAAGATAAGAAATTCAGATTTCCGTGTTAAAGTTTTTAAAGGAGCTAAACACTCAGAGAAGCCAATGGCTGCCTTTTCCTCACCTGTGGATAACTCACATCAGAGACCCAAGGAGGAGCTGTCAGGATTCTGGGGCAGGCCTCAGCCTGTCTTGCAAGTTCAAAACCTAATTTGGGGCCAGGAGTGGTGGCTCATGCCTGTAATCACAGCACTTTGGGAGGCCAAGGTGGGTGATCTCCTGAGGTCAGGAGTTCGAGACCACCCTGGCCAACATGGTGAAAACCCGTCTCTACTAACAATACAAAAATTAGCTGGATGTGGTGGCCTGCACCTGCAATCCCAGCTACTCAGGAGGTTTAGGCAGGAGAATCACTTGAACACGGTAGGCAGAGGTGGCAGTGAGCCCAGATTGCACCATTGCACACCCTCCTGGGTGGCAAGAGGGAAATTCCATATAAAAAAACAAAAACAAAAACAAAAAACCAATTTGGTCTACATTTAAGGATTGATCATTTTCTTTTAATCAAACTCACATAAACCAGCTCACAAGAGGCTGTATTCCTTTTATTAATTTATAGAAAAAAATATACATATATTTTTTGAGACTGAGTTTCTCTCTGTCACCCAGGCTGGAGTGCAGTGGCACAATCTCGGCTCACTGCAACTTCTGCCTCCCAAGTTCAAGCAATTCTAGTGCTTGAACCCTCAGTCACCCGGGTAGCTGGGATTTCAGGCATGCTCAGCTAATTTTTGTATTTTTAGTAGAGATGGGTTTTCATCATGTTGGCCAGGCTAGTCTTAAACTCTTGGCCTCAGCCTCTCATAGTGTTGGGATTACAGGCATGAGAAACTGTGCCCAGCCTAGAAAAAAGAGAAAAGTCATTTAGACAGACCACTCCCAACCATTGCTCAGTGCTGTCTTGGCAGCGCAGACTTCCAGAATGCCTTGCGGGTGTTACTGGCCAGGACCAGGTCCGTCCTGCCCATGCACAGTAAGTTAATCACCGTGACCCGAGTTTTGCAAAAGAGAAAAGATTTATTCGCAGGGCACCAAGCAAGGAGGTGGGATAATAGCTCTCAAATCCACCTCCCTGAAAATAAGGCTTCGGGATAAGCCTTGCTTCCAAGCAATAGAGCACAGGCCCCAGCCACACTCAAGAGGAGTGGCTATACCAGGATGTGAATGGCAGTCTGTCGGCCTCTTGGGTCTACAACTCGGAAGGGCCGTGCACTTGGTTTAAAGCTTTGGTGTTGCCATCTTGAGATTCTTAACAATTTCAAAATAAGGGTCCCCACATTCTCATGTGTAGTCAGTCCTGTCCAAGGAGTCCAAGGAGTTCATGAGGGTGGACAGGGCACTGTCTGCTCTGGGCAGCAATGGGACTGCTAACAGCTGCTTTCCAGTCTCCCAGCCCCTACCCCAGGGCCACACCTTCCCCATGGTATCTCACATTTTTTTTTTTGAGACAGGGTCATGCTGTCACCCAGGCTGGAGTGGTGCAAACTCAGCTCACTGCAGCCTCGACCTCCTGGGCTCACACAATCCTTCTGCCTCAGCCTCCTGTGTAGCTCAGACCACAGGCGCATGCCTCCATGCTCGGCTAATTTTTGGACTTTGTAGAGATGGGGTTGCACTTTGTTTCCCAGGGTAGTCTTGAATTCCTTAGCTCAAGTGATCCTCCTACCTTGGCCTCCCAAAGTGCTGGGATTATAGGTGTGATCCACTGTGCCTGGCCTCTCTGACATTCTTGACATTTAAAGTTACCGTCATTGACAAGGAACATGGGTGGACTCACGCTTGCTGAAGAGCAGGACTCATTCTGTTGAATCTGCAGGCTTTCTCAGGTCAGATTGCTTGGTGGTGCTTCTTTGGATTCCTTTAACAGTACATTGTAGTTTTCTGTGTCCAAGTGTTGCTTTTCTTTTGGTTAAATTTATTCTAAGTATTTTATTCTTTTTGATCGTATTATAAATGGAAGTATTGTTTTAATTTTGTTTTTGATCCTTTATTGCAAATGTATACTATTGAATTTTGTGTATTAATCTTGTATCCTGCAACGTTGCTGAACTTGCTTATTAGCTCTAATGCTTTTTAAGTGAGTTCCTTCAATGTCATCATCTATGATTAAAGATAGTTTTACATCTTTCTTTGTGATCTGGATGCTCTTTGTTCCTTTTTTTTTTTTTTTTTTGCTTAATTGCCCTAATAAGTAGAAGTAGGCCGGGCGCGGTGGCTCATGCCTGCAATCCCAGCACTTTGGGAGGCCGAGGCGGGTGGATCACAAGGTCAAGAGATCGAGACCATCCTGGTCAACATGGTGAAACCCCGTCTCTACTAAAAATACAAAAAATTAGCCGGGCATGGTGGCGCGTGCCTGTAATCCCAGCTGCTCAGGAGGCTGAGGCAGGAGAATTGCCTGAACCCAGGAGGTGGAGGTTGCGGTGAGCCGAGATCACGCCATTGCACTCCAGCCAGGGTAACAAGAGTGAACTCCGTCTCAAAAAACAAATAAATAAATAAATAGAAGTAATGTGAATGAACATTCTTGTCCTGTTCCTGATCTTAGTGGGGAAGCACTCAATTTTTCACCATTAAGTATGGAGTAGTTATAGTTTTTTCATAGATGCTCTTTGTCAGGTTGAGGAAATTCCTTCCTAGTCTTTATTCGTTGAGTGATTTTATCATAAAAAGATGTTAGAGATTTTCAAATGCCTTCTCTGCATTAGGATGATCATGTGACTTTCTGTTAATATGGTGTGCTACATTGATTGATTTTTGTATGTTAAACCACATTTGTATTCCTGGGATAAATCCTACCTGGTCAAGGTGTATAATCCTTTTAATATGCTGCTGAATTTGATTTGCTAATATTTTGCTGAGGATTTTTACATCTATATTTTTAAGGATATTGCTTTATAACTTTATTTTCTTGTAATGTCTTTTTCTGTCTTTGGTATCAGGGTAATGCTAGCCTCATTGAATGAGTTGAAAAATGTTTCCTTCTGTTCTGTTTTTTGGAAGAGTTTGTGAAGGCTTGGTGTTAATTCCTCAAGCATTTGGTTAAATTTACTAGTGAAGCCATCTGGTCCTGGGCTTTTCTTTGTAGGATATTTTAAAAAATTAATATTTTGATCTCTTCCCTTGTTACGGGTCTATTCAAATTTTATCTTTCTCCTTAAGACAGTTTTGGGAGATGGTGCATTTCTAAAATTTTCCCATTTCTTCAAGGTTATCTCATTTGTTCACATACAATTATTCATTATTTTTTAATAAACCTTAGCACTTCTCTAAGACCAGGAGTGATTACTTCATTTTCTTTCTTTCTGGTTTCTATTTTGTGTTTTTGTTTTTTGAGATAAGGTTTTCTTATGTTGCCCAGGCTGGAGCACAGTGGTGCAATCATAGCTTAGTGTGACCTGGAGCTCCTAGGCTCAAGTGATCCTCCCACCTCAGCCACCCAAGTAGCTGGGACTACAGTCGTTTACCACCACACCCAGCTAATTCAACTAATTTTTCTTTCCTTCTTTCTTTCTTTCTTTCTTTCTTTCTTTCTTTCTTTCTTTCTTTTCTTCCTTCCTTCTTTCTTTCTTTCTTTTTCTTTCTGAGATGGACTTTCCCTCTTGTCACTCAAGCTAGAGTGCAGTGGTACAATCTCAGCTCACTGCAACCTCTGCCTGCTGGGTTCAAGTGATTCTCCTACCTCAGCCTCCCAAGTAGCTGGGATTACAGACACCTGCCACCACACCTGGCTAATTTTTTATTTTTAGTAGAGATGGGGTTTCACCATGTTGGCCAGGCTGGTCTTGAACTCCTGACCTCAGGTATTCTGCCCACCTCAGCCTCCCAAAGTGCTGGGATTACAGGCATGAGCCACTGTATCTGCCCTCCCAACTAATTTTAAATATGTGTGTGTGTGTGTGTGTGTATGTATATATGTATATATATACATACACATTGTGGAAACAAGTCTCACTATATAGCCTAGGCTGGTCTCAATCTCCTGGCCTCAGGTGATCCTCCTGCCTCAGCTTCCCAAAGTGCTGGGATTACACATGTGAACCATTGCACTCAGCCTTCACTTTCTCTCTTGGTGAATAATTAGAGTCTTATTTTTTCACTTGGCTATTCTAACTATTCTTATTCTTATTTTTTCACTTGGCTATTCTAAAGGTTCGCCAATTTTTGTTGTTCTTTTCAAAAATCCAATTTTTGGTTTCATTGATTTTCTCTATTGTTTTTCTATTTTCTATTTCATTTATCTCCATCTAATCTTTATTATTTCCTTTATTCTACTGGTGTTGGGTTTAGTTTGCTCTTATTTTTCTAGTTCCTTAAAGTATAAAATTCGGTTATTGAGATTCTTCTTCTTTTTTTTTTTTTGAGATGGAGTTTCACTCTTGTTGCCCAGGCTAGAGTGCAATGGCACAATCTCTGCTCACCACAACCTCCCCCTCCTAAGATCAAGCGATATTCTTGCCTCAGCCACCTGAGTAGCTGGGATTACAGGCATGTACCACCACATCCGGCTAATTTTGTATTTTTAGTAGGGGTGGGGTTTCTCCATGTTGGTCAGGCTGGTCTCGAACTCCCAACCTCAGGTGATCCGCCTGCCTTGGCTTCCCGAAGTTCTCAAATTACAGGCATGAGCCACCGTGCTGAGCCTGACATTGTTCTACTTTAACTTACGTGTTCAAAGTTATAAATTTTGCTCGCAGCACTGCTGCTGCTGCATCCTGTAAATTTTGGCATGTTGTGTTTTCATTTTTATTTGTTTAAGATACTTTCTAATGTCCCTCGTGATTTCTTCTTTGACCCATTTGTTGTTTAAGAGTGGGCTCTTTAATTTCTGTATGCTTGTGAATTTTCTAGTTTTCCTTCTGTTCTTGATTTTTAACTTGATTCCAGTGTGTCCAGAGAACATACTTTGTATGATTTCAATCTTCTTAAATTTGAGACCTATGACCAAATATACGCTCTACACTGGAGAATATTCCACATGCTCTTTAGAAGAATGCTTGTTCTGCTCTAGTCCGGTGGAAAGTTCTGTTCGTGTCTACTGTGGGCAATTGGTTTACAGTGTTTTTCAAGTCCTCTATTTCCTTGATGATCTTCTGTAGTTTTTCTATTAATGAAAGTGGGGGTTTGAAGTCACCAACTATTATTACTGACAATGCAACTATATTGAACCCTTTACTCTTAAAATTTTTTTGGAAAACTGGAAGGATCTGTGACCACCACCCACTCCCACATCAGACCCTACGCATACACCAACTGTCTGTTGCTCAGCAGCTGTGATGGTTGTTCCAGTTCTTTATTAGGCAAAGAACAGTTGTTGTTTTTTTTTAGCATTTCCTTTAAGGAGCGTGGCTCAGATTGCTGAGCCAGCCAAGCCCTGCAGGACGGGCTGCGCCTAGAATCACAAGTACTTCTCCCGAAACTCACAGATTTTCTCCTTGACCACTGGATCCAATGTTGAAAAGTCCCAGTCAGCCAACTGCATTAGTCGATTGTGGGCCTCCCTAAAGAGGCCAGAGCCGATACTCAGCTCCACCCGCATGCGCCACTCAGCTACCTTAGAGCTGTTCAGGAAGGCATTATAGTTGGCTGCCATGGGCTATGGATAGACAGAGAGGAAGAGGTGGTCATCCTGGGGACCAGCCCCACCTGGGTCCTTGCCCACAGCCTCAGGGGCTCTCCCCATCAGCCTCTGCAAAGAATTAGGCTGCTGTCCCCTAAGCCTGAGCAAGCCATCACAGACTATGTAATAGACTTAGGTGGGGATAGAGGATCCAGAATCCCCCAGGGTCCTTGGTCACTGGTCTTCTCACTCCAAGTTCTGAACCACACTGAGAGGGCTCCTGGCCCAGGCAGCTCCTACTTCTCCAGCCCGCGACCTCCCATGAATCCTGCCTTCTTTCAGGGAAACCCCTTATCCCAGGTTTGTATATGTGGATGAGGGGGAGAACTCAGTTTTTTTCCCCATGTTTAACCTCCCACTGTGATCAAGCACAGGGGCTAGAATGGGAGACCTGGCAGGCAGTCTGCCCTGCAGTTTGGCTGGCTCACTAAGGCAGCCTACCCTGTAGCTTGGCTTGCACGCAAGACCTTTGGGAAGCCCAAGAGGGGTGAGGTGGTGGGTGATATGTAAGGGGTGTGGGACGAAGCCTATGACTAAACCCTTGGGGGAGGCCAGAATGAGTTTTTCTCATGCTGGTCTGCACTGCAAGCAGATCGAAGAGACTAATTTGCATATCAGTCAGAGATCTCTGGGATAGGGAAAAGAACACTGTGTTTCCTGGTCAATCCCCCAGGATCCCGGATGCCTCCTCCTGGGCATAGCTCTGGCCACTCTCTTTGGTGAGTGTGCAGTGCCCTAGCTGGTGTGCAGGATGGCCAGTGTAGACCCTGGCCAGCGTCATGATAGGCAGAACTGGTCACCCTCCCATGCATGTAGAGGCCACATACATGCCCCACACCCAGATGTGCCTTCAAACGAACAGTGGATGCCGCTCAGACCCAGCCAGGAGAGCTGTCCTTCACATCTGTCTGGAGCTCTGGGAAAGAGGCAGGGCCAGAAGGACAGCCAGGAAGCCAGTGAACATTTCCTGGGGAGTCCAGCAAGAGGAGGAGGCATCTGGGATCCTGGTGGACTGACCAGGAAATGCAGTGCCCTTTTCCCTATCTCATCTAACATCTGATGCCTGTTCAAAACTCTCTGATTATCTCCTAAATGTTTTCTTGGCAGTTTGTTTGGATCAGGTCTGAAGGAGATCTGAGTCTTGCAGCTGGTTGCCGTGTCTCTCCTACACTTTTTTTTTTTGAGATGGAGTTTCGCTCTTGTTACCCAGGCTGAAGTGCAATGGCGCGATCTCGGCTCACCGCAAACTCCGCCTCCTGGGTTCAGGCAATTCTCCTGCCTCAGCCTCCTGAGTAGCTGGGACTACAGGCACGCCTCCTCCACTTTTAATCGATAGCTCTCTCCATGTCCTGACCTTTTCACCTTGGCATGGCTGCTGTGATGATAAAGGAACCCTTGTCCTGTGGAGGTTCCCATAGCAGCCATCAATCAGCCAGGCCTAGGACGTCCCCTCCAAAGCATGACTCCCCTCCGTCCCCTCCCCTCACTCTGATGGATGTCTCCCCTCTGTCCCCTCCCCTCACTCTGATGCGTGTCTCCCCTCCGTCCCCTTCCCTCACTCTGATGCGTGTCTCCCCTCCGTCCCCTTCCCTCACTCTGATGTGTGTCTCCCCTCCTCCCCTCCCCTCACTCTGATGCATGTCTCCCCCCCATCCCCTTTCCTCACTCTGATGCATGTCTCCCCCCTCATCCCCTTCCCTCACTCTGATGCATGTCTCCCCTCCGTCCCCTTCCCTCTGTTCCCATGGCCTCCACCCTTCCCAGACACCACAACCTTCCCAATAGTTGCTGGCCTCCCTGTTGTCCATTCTGCCCCCTTGGGCTCACCCTCCATCACGAGGCAGAAAGGTGGATCCTTTCCTGCCCTGGCTTACATACCACCTAATCTTAAGGATTAAGTCTGTAACCTCTCCACATCTCCAGGGGCCATCATCTGTGGCCTCCACAGTGTCTCAGTCTCACCACTCCCCAGTCACCCACTCCCTTCTTCCAGTTGCACCCACCTGCTCTCCTTCTTCAAATTCACCTTGCTCCCCTTACCCTGGTATTTCAGCATGTGTTTTTCTTTGCCTGTTTTTAGAGACAGAGTCTCCCTCTGGTCCAGGCTGGAGTGCAGTGGCACAATCTTGGCTCACTACAACCTCTGCCTCCCATGTACAAATGACTGTCGTGCCTCAGCCTCCCAAGTAGCTGGGACTACAGGTGTGCACCACCACACCCGGCTAATTTTTCTATTCTCATTTTAGTAGAGACAGGGTTTCACATGTTGGCCAGGCTGGTCTCCAACTCCTGACCTCGAGTGATCTGCTTCCCAAAGTGCTGGGATTACAGGTGTGAGCCACCGTGACTGGCCTGTTTTTGTTTTTGAAAAAGGATCTGGCTCTTTCACTGAAGCTGGATTGCTGTGGTGCGACCTTGGCTCACTGCAGCCCCAAACTCCTGGGCTCGAGTGATCCTCCCTCAGCATCCTGATTCGGCACGTGCTCTTCCCCTTGCTGGCCTACTCTCCTCTACCACCAGCCCCAACTCCTGCTCACCCTGCAGGTCTTCCTCCCTGCCCTTGCTGACTGTCAGACAGCTCTAGTGAAGATCTTTCCCAGGGCTGTTTGGGTTCCTCATTGCTCTGGAAGCCCAGCACCTCTGAGAAGTATGTTCCTAAACATTTATTGATTTATTTACTTATTTTTATTTTAGAGATAGGGTGTCACTCTGTTGCCCAGGCTGGAGTGCAATGACACAATCGTGGCTCTCTGCAAACTCTACCTCCCGGACTCAAGTAATCCTTCCAATTCAGCCTCCCGCATAGCTGGGACTACAGGTGTGGGCCACCACACTGGCTAAATTTTTATATTTTTTGTAGAGATGGGGGTTTTCCCACGTTGCCTAGGGTAGGCTGGTTTTGAACTCCTGAGCTCGGGCCATCTACCTGCTTCAGTGTCCCAAAGTGCTGGGATTACAGGCGTGAGCTGGCCCCTAAACATTTTTGAAATGATGGGGTGTCTGGAAGGCAGGGGAACAGAACTGATGTAAAATGGACCCCAAATTGGCAGCAGTCAGAGGTGGGTCTGTGGGGTTCATCATGACCCTCGTTCATCAGCATTCACTCAACTTTAGTGTGCATGTGAGATTTTCCGTGGTAAAAAGACAGATGCTTCCACTGAGTCTCCCAGGAGGAACAGAGACAGTGCAAGGGCCCTGGGGAAGACTCACCTTTCAGTTAAGACGAATTTCCCATCTTTGAGGCTGGGCAGCTTCCTGAGGGGGTTGATCTTAATGTATTCCTTGTTGTAGGGGTGACCTGGGAGGAGCAGGGAAGGTCTGAGGCTATGGGACTGCAGGGGAGAGAGAACTGAGACTCCTAGAGACACAAATGCCCCCCTCCTTTCTCAAGAAGAAGAAACTGAGGCCTGGAGGGACATTGTGGCTTACCCCAGGTCGCAGGGCAAGGCAGTGGCAGAATCAGACCGGGATAATAACTGCTGGCTCCCAGCCTGCCCCACTCTAGGGCTGGTGACTCCCGTGCCTCCTCCCTGAGTCCCAGGACCAGGATGACCCTTTGGCCCAGAAGCTGGAGGCTTCCAGTGCCCACCCACAAAGCAGGATCTGCAGCCACAGCCTCTGAATCACCTGAAGCCCTGAGGGCCTGGGTCCCAGCCCTGCACCCATCACCCTCACTCTGTCCTGGCTTTAAGGAAGCTGGGCCCAGTGCATGGCTGGACATCCAAAGGGGAGCCCCTCAGATGCAATCGGGGTTGTCTGAACAGGGAACCTGATGTGGGGCCAGGAACTGAAGCTCTTCCTGGACCAGCTGCCTCCTGTTGGAAACATTTCCAGGGCTCCACTCGCACCCTGTTCATTTCCACAGCTTCTGTGTCTTCCTCTGTGCTCCAAAGGCTTCTGCTTTTGCAGGCTGAACTCTTGGAACCCCTGTGTGCCCGGGATGGAGTTGGAACCCACCCCTCTGACCCTCACTTGGGGTCAGAGGAGCCCTGAGCCATTCGGAACACTGGGGAGGATGGGTGTAGACAGACTGTGCACTTCTGCCCCCTCTGGCAACCTGGCAGGCAAGTGCTGTGTTCACAAGGTCCTAGACTCCCACAAGGAAGTGAGGGCACCTGGTGAGAGCCCAGGGAGTCCCAGCTGCTCTTCCTTCCCCCTTCCCCTAGAAGAGCCTGTTCACCTCTGGCATAAGGACTGTCATTAGTGGGGACTGGCTAAGGAAGGCTAGACATGGATGCAGCCTACAAGCCTCCTGGCTTCTCTTCCTTCCCTGCAGACCTCTCGGGGGACTCCCTTGTCTCTGTCTCTAGTTCTCAGAAATGCCCCAATCAGGCTGGACGTGGTGGCTCATGCCTGTAGTCCCAGCACTTGGAGGCTGAGTTGGGCAGATCACTTGAGGTCAGGAGTTCGAAACCAGCCTGGCCAACATGGTGAAGCCGGTCTCTACTAAAAACACTAAAAATTAGCTGGATGTGGTGGTGTGCACCTGTAATTCTAGCTACCAGGAGGCTGAGGCAGGAGACTCAGTTCAAACCCAGTGGAGGTTGCAGTGAGCCAAGATCGTGCGACTGCACTCCAGCCTGCGTGACAGAGCGAGACTCCATCAAGAAACAGGAAAAAAGAAAGCCCCAAGCTGTGTGCCCTGCCTCCCCCAAGGACCAGGCCTTCTGGGTGGCAGTAGAAGCTGACCTTTCAGCAGATCCACAAACTGAAAGTTGAACGGGATGTCATGCTTCTTCAAGAAGATGTAGACGGCCCGGCAGGGTGCTGACAGCAGGTCCATGTAGAGCTCCAGGGCCATGTTGAGACGGTGCCAGGCGCAACAGCCACAGCCAGCCAGCCGCAGACCTGGGTCTATGTCTGGCTGGGGCCCCTGGCCCTGTGCCCTCTCCCATTTGGCCCTGGGTCCCTGTATTCTGGAACTTCTTGTTTCCCTTTGTGTTGTCATAAGGCCAGGGAACCTTCAATTCTCACAAAACCAGGGAGCCTGCAATTCTCACAGAGGCAAGTTTTCTAAGGAGGCCCAGGAGTAGGCTGGGGAGAGGCCTGTGGCAAAGGTGGGGCAGCTGTGACTATACTATCTCCCCTGCCACGTGTGTCTGTGCCCTGTGGCGCCCCCTCACAGATACCCTGTCTGAGAAGGGATTATGCATGGGAATTCCTAGGGCCTGACTTCCCTTGCAGAACCTGACGAAAGGGGCTTTGCAGGATGTAGAATGAGCAAGAGGCAATGAGAATTATCCCTGGAGGATTCCAGAAGGGTCATCTTGGTGACCTACATCATTTCCTCACCTGGGCAGCTCCAGTTGGTTCAGGCTCCAGCTTTAACCCCTCGGGTCCAGCCTCTGTCTCAGAGCTGCACAGGCTGAAATGAGGAAGGGGCTGCAGTGATTTGGAAAGTCTCCCCTCCTACCTCTGCCTCCCCCCTACAACTCTGAGCCCCAGATCCTGGCTGTGACCCTGGGTGAGCACCAGGTCACCATTACCTCTCTGCTATTAGGAAGTCACCTTCTCTGAGGGCAGGCACCTTCCCCAAAGGGGTTCACCTTTAGGAACTCTGGCTTCAGGTGGTCCCCTGGTGGGCAGAAAGGAGAAAAGGCTCAGTGTAGGGCCTGGTCCTTGGCACCTACTCCATGAGGCCCCGCTCAGCCACCTGGCTCACCCCAAGCCAACTCCACAGGCTGCAGCTCAGAAGGGATGCCGTTCTTTCTGGCAAAAGTAAATGGTGTGGCAGGGGGGTGAGTGCGGGTCCAGAAACAGCAGGGGCCCCATTGCTGCTCCTCCCACCTGCCCTCCCCAGAGGTCTGGACCTCCAGGGGTTTCTCAGCCCTTCTCTGCCCATGCTGGGCTGTTTCCTATCCATAGTCTGCTGTTCTTGTCTGGAGAACAGGGCAGGCTGGGCTTCAGGGACCTTCTCTGGGCATTCCAGGGAAGGTAACTTCATCGTCTCTCTTAACTCTTGCTGACAATTCTCTGGAGCTGGGCACCTTGTAAAACCCATGTCCTAGAATGCCTAACCTGGAAATGCAATGTCAGTGTTGAAACTGCATCGAAACTGAATGAATGAGGTTCCCACCCTTTTATCTAAATACCCTCTCAGTCTGTTCAATGTCAATGTATGTAGGGATGGTGTGGGGGGAGGCCAAAGGGAGTCTTCATTTCTGTAGCCTTCCACATGTACTATGTAGAGTTTTCCTCTAACGATCCTTGGACACCATGTGGTCACTGTTTCCCTGCAAAAACGTTTGATGATCCTTGTCTTTTTTTTTTTTTTTTTTTTTTGAGATGGAGTTTACACTCTTTGTTACCCAGGCTGAAGTGCAATGGTGCAATCTCGGCTCACTGCAACTTCCGCCTCCTGGGTTCAGGCAATTCTCCTGCCTCAGCCTCCTGAGTAGCTGGGATTAGAGGCACGCGCCACCGTGCCCAGCTAATTTTTTTGTATTTTTAGTAGAGACGGGGTTTCACCATGTTGACCAGGATGGTCTCGATCTCTTGTCCTTGTGATCCACCCGCCTCGGCCTCCCAAGATGATCCTTGTCTTTAGCACACCAGTGAATCGCCAAATTCAGATTTTCAGCCTGTGCAGTCTACATAGTTAATAGTCAGTTTCTGATGGAATATGCCTGTTCCTGCTGTGTTTGTACCTGACCACTGCGAAGGACTTTCATTAAGAGCTGGACCTTGGAGTTCCTTCCCCTGGCCCCAGCCCCCTGGCCCAACTGTTTTGCACTCTTTCCTCTGCCAGTGTGTTTCATGGTGTTCTGCTTCCCAGAGTGTTTGGGTTTCATATGAATCAATTGTTGCAGTCTCCAAGGATGGGATTCAGGCCTAACTCCCCCAAGACCATAAGGCAACAGTCTTCCATCTAGAATCCCCATGTTAAATCTGCCATCCTCACTGTAGTGAGAGTGATATTGAGAGAGAAAAGTTAGGTAATTAGGGTGGGTTCTTGGTAAAACTCCTTTAAAGAGAGAAACAGCCTGAAAAATCAGGCTGCAGGCACAGATAAGGAAAGTTGCAAACCTTCGGCCCACTTAGATAAAGGAACAAGGCGCAACACAGAAACCCCTTTGATGTTTGTGCCTAAGACATGCCTGCAGCTACTTTGATAAGGGAACAAGACCCAGCATAGAAATGGCTTTGTCCTTTGTATAACCAGTGGGCTTCCAGGAAGTAGTCTCTTCTGCTATTGTGGGCATGTACCCAGTGGGCTCCAGTGGCTTCCAGTAGGCACTTTCCTTTCTTGGACATGCTTTAGACTGTGACCCCAGCCTCTATGACTATCACTTCAGCCCCTGATTGGTCCTGGGCCAGGCTATCGTTTCAGCTCCTGATTGGTCCCTGTCAAGGTCTGGGTCAAGCTGAGTAGCACTTCCTCCAAGACCAATCAGCACATTCCTTCCCTTCCCAGTCCATAAAAACCTCTTTGCCTCAAAGTAGGCAACCCCCTCGGGCCCCCCTCCACTGCAGTGAGCTTTCTTCTTTTGCTTATTAAACTTGTACTCTAACCTCACCCTTTGTGTCCACACTGTTTAATTTTCTTGGCCATGAGACAAAGAATTCTGGGTGATACCCCACAATGAGAGACTGGTACATCGTGGTGCATGGGCAAGACTGACTTGTCTGTGACTTGACTTGTGTCTGTGACTGTGACTTGACTCTGCTTGCTTATGGGCTCTTCCCACCTCTCCAGAGTGCTCTCCCCACACTGTGGCCCAGAGCTTTGCCTTATGGTAACACTGCTGGCTGACACTCCTGTATGATCTGCATGTTTCTCACCTCGGGACCCTCCCCACACAGCTTCCTGCTGCTTGGACCACCCTTCCCACTTATTTTCGACTGTCTTTCCAGCACATCTTTCATGCTAAGGCTCGAGTGGAAGCTGCACCGAGGCTGAGAGTTATCCATGTAGCTTTGAAACCATCTATTTATGCTTCTGTTCATCCCCTCTGCCATACTGTTTACCCCAATACTCAGTCAAGGTTGGTGACTCGTCAATTTTCAAAACTTTTAGCTTATCAGTGCAGCTTTACTGTACGGAAGTGAGTTGTTCACCATGCTTTTACTGTCTTCAAGGTTAAAAAGGCCCCAACATTCATTCCTATTTAAATCATCCTTGCTAGACTCAAGAAGCTATGAATTCAACCACAGTGTAAAGTTCTTCCCCACAATGCTTTATTATTGTTATAGCTCCCAAGAGAGTACTGTCTAGCCGTGACAGAAGCCTTCAACTCTGTCACCTTTTTCAGCTCTGGAATTCTGACACCACCTGTCACCCCCTCCTAGCTCATTTCCCAGGTTTTGTTCTTTTTTTCATTTTGTTTCAATATTCTATTGTATCTGTGACTTTTGGGCTTCAAATCTGTTTTGGAAAGAGGAGAGGCACAGGTAATATAATGAATGAAGATGCTTTTCCTCCCTGGTTCTAAGTCAAGCTTTTCCAACCTGCTGGAGGGCTTGGCTTTGAATGTAGCTCAACACAAACTCACAAACTTTCTTAAAACATTTGAGATTGTTTGGTGACTTTTATTTTTATTATTTATTTATTAGCTCATCAGCTATCCTTAGTGTATTTTATGTGTGGCCCAAAACAATTCTTCCAACATGGCCCAGGGAAGCCAAAAGATTGGTTATAACACACAGCCCATCATTTAGCAACTGCTCATGATTTAGCAAGCTGTGGAGCCGGGTAATAACCCACAGCTGTAGGTAATAACACACAGCCTGTTAAAACTCTCACTCTGAATGAAGAGACTCCCCAAACAGGTTTTGTGTGAGCAACAAGGCTGTTTATTCACCCGGGTGCGGGTGGGCTGAGTCAAAAGAGAATCAGTGGAGGGCAGTGCGGTAGAAGCTGGTTTCATAGGTCTGCGGTAAGCAGTGGAAAGTTACAGAAGTTACAGTTTAGGGTAGTTTTTTGCAAGCTGGGAGGGTGTTGCAGGGTCTGGAGTCATGAGGTCAGTTACAAAGTCCAATGGCCTTATCAATCAGGGCTGGAACAAGAAACAATAGAAGAATGTCTCAAGTTAGTTAGGCACTGCAGGGATTGATCATCTTCCTCTTTCCATGGTCTTCTGGGGTCGTCATATGACACCTTCAGTCAGCCTAAAAGACCTTACATTCCTGTCTTTTTATATTACTACTATAAAGGAAAAAGAAGTGAAGAGTGGAGGGCAGAGGAATATCAGGAAGGCCGGCCCAGAGGGGTGATTGGGCGATGCTTCTCAGGGCTTCTTTGAGTGGGCTTGGGGGCAGCTCAGAAACCTAAAAATGGGAAAGAATTTAGACTGCTGAGAGATTTTGGGGCAAAGGTTGATATTGTGGGGTTGTTAGAAGGAGCATTTGGCATATTGACTGATTGGTTATAGCTTGGATACAATTTTGTAGGAATTGAGAGATTAATCAGAAAACACAGGGTCCAAATAAGAGAAGGAGAAAGATAGGTATCAGAGGACTAAGGATTGGAGGAAGCCATGACTCCCAGTTAGAGAGTGTCCAGCCAGTCCAGTCAGGTCCAGAATAACCATTTGCCTGATTAGCAAGCTTTTGGGCTCTGTCTTTTAATTTATTGATGGCATCATATACAAGGCCAGACTGGTTTACATAAAAACAACATTCTTCATTTAGAAATAGGCAAAGACCTCCTTTTCCAGGAGTCAGTAAATCAAGAGCTCTGCGGTTTTGGAGGACAGCTGCAGCCAGGGATTTACTTGAGCTTGAAGGAGGGATAATGATTGAGGTAATTCTGCAGTGCTAGCAGAGAAACCATTAGAGAGGCTACGGGAGGAGACGATTGAAGGGGTAAGGCCTGCTGTGCCCGTGCCGAGTGCAGTAGTAATTCCTAACCCTACAAGTAAGGGGATCAATGGAATGATCTGCTTGTGTTGTGTCAGGACCACAGGGGGAACAGGGAGGCTTTCGTTTCCATTGGCAAACTGAATTTTGGGAGTAAGGAAAACTAGGGTACAAGTGCCTGTCCGGTTGGTAGGAAGGCAGATGTAAGAAGGAGAACCACCGAGGAAAAAAGTCCTTGGCTTAAACAGAACTGAAAAGGCAAGTAAGTGTTCTGAGGGGGTGGGCTTCGGACCCAAATGCCAAGGGAACCAGCAAGGGCGGCAGCTGTTAAAGGTTGCAATGGAGTTTGGTAGGGTAACTGTGGAGGAGAGCATTTGTTTTCATGGTGTATGAGGAAGCGTGTGCTATCTAGAACTGCTCACTTTCATTAACAACATTGGGTATGAGCAGAGAATGGGAGTGAGATTAAGAGTGAGTAGAAAAGGGCCAGGCGCGGTGGCTCACGCCTGTAATCCCAGCACTTTGGGAGGCCGAGGCGGGTGGATCACAAGGTCAAGAGATCGAGACCATCCTGGTCAACATGGTGAAACCCTGTCTCTACTAAAAATACAAAAAATTAGCTGGGCCTGGTGGCGCGTGCCTGTAATCCCAGCTACTCAGGAGGCTGAGGCAGGAGAATTGCCTGAACCCAGGAGGCGGAGGTTGCGGTGAGCCGAGATTTCGCCATTGCACTCCAGCCTGGGTAACAAGAGCGAAACTCTGTCTCAATTAAAAAAAAAAAAAAAGAGTCAGTATAAAAGAAAAGAAGAGGACTTTATCCGGGTGGAAGAATTGGAGAGTTCCCTGCCACTGAAGATTATCCACTCTAAGAGAATTAAGGGTGGCAAGCTGAGGGTAAAACCATGAAGTATCACCTGTAACTGCCTGGAGGAAAAGTGTAAACCAGCAACTTTTTTTTTTTTTTTAGATGGAGTCTCGCTCTATCGCCAGGCTGGAGTGCAGTGATGTGATCTCAGCTCACTGCAGCCTCTGCCTCCCAGGTTCAAGCGATTTTCCTGCCTCAGCCTCCTGAGTAGCTGGGATTACAGGTGCGGGTGGGTGCCACCACGCCCAGCTAATTTTGTATTTTTAGTAGAGACGGGGGTTTTACCAGGATGGTCTTGATTTCTTGACCTTGTGATCCACCTGCCTCGGCCTCCCAAAGTGCTGGGATTATGAGCGTGAGCCACTGTGCCTGGCCTAACTAGCAACTTAAACAAAAGCAGGGCATGTAAAAGTAAATGAGTACCGTGAATTTCAGCGCAGTTAGAAAATAGAAACAGACTTTCTGAGGTGTAGTTTAAGTAGTAGGGGCGACCGTGTTAAATAGTGGTGTTAGGAAAAAGATGCCTAGTGAAAGTAAAAGGTATGTTAGGTTTGTATAGGGTTACTCTTCCACCTTGGGCATATGGGTGAGTTTATAAGAAGTGAGAGACAGTACTTGCGACTTCCAGGAGGAGGCGGAGGAGTCAGGCCGATTGTCTGATGGCCACAGCTTTATCCTGGAATGATGGACCCCCTGGAGAGGGTAGACCAACAGCAGTTGGGGTACTATAGACGATCAGGAAGGGTCCTGTCCACCAAGGTTGCAGAGACTAAGGGGTGAGGCTTTTAACTAGGGCTGACCTTCCAGCTAGGGTGTTTTCATATGGCCAGGTACCTGGAGTGGTAAGAGGAAATTAGCAGACTGGTGGATTTCATGTCTGGCCTGTTGGAGGACTGGTGTCTCGAATAAGGTTAGGCCCAAGCAGAAAGGTGTGGCCATATAGGAGTTCCAAGGGGCTATACCCTGTGGCTTCTTTAGGAGTGGCTTGAATCCTGAGTCCTCTGCAGTGGAACTCCAGCCTTGGCTGGAAGGAGAGCAGCCTTAAGGAGGGCCTTTATTGAGGGGGCATTGATAATAGAGGACCCTTGTATAGTGAGAAAACCTCTTTCTGCCCATATAACAGCATGGTGGTGTAAGATGTGAGAGGCGTACTTAGAGTCAGAATAGATATTAACATGTAGTCCTTTGGAAAGAGTAAGAGCATGGGTTAAGGCAATCAGTTCAGCTTGCTGAGAAGTGGTAAGAGAGGGAAGTATGGCAGCCTTGATGATAGATGAGTGGGATACAACAGCATAGCCAGCTTTGGCCAGTGCCAACTGACTAGGCTTAAAGAAACTGCCATTAATAAACCATGTGTGGTCTGGGTCTGGAATAGGAAAAAGAGAAGTATGGGGAAATGGGGAGGATGCTATATGGATTAGAGAGACACAGTCATGGGGTTCAGGGTTTGTGTTAGGTATTAAGAAAGACCGAGAGCGAGGGTTACAGTGGGTGTTTCAATGAACAGTGAATACAGTTGGAGGTGAGGGGTGGGTAGTAGGTGTGTAAGGTGTGAAGAAGAAACCAAACTTTGGAGGTTGTGAGAGCTACAGAGGGTAAGTGGGGCATAACCTGTGATTTTGAGGGATTCTAAGAGTATCAGGGTGGTAGCTGCTGATGCTCGTAGGCATGAGGGCCAGCCCAAGACTGTGAGGTTAAGTTGTTTGGATAAAAAGGCTACAGGCCGTGGGTCTGGCTCCTGTGTAAGAATTCCGATGGCACAGCCTTTTATTTCTGCTGTGTAGAAAGAGAAGGGTCAAGAGGAATTGGGGAGTGCTAAAGTAGGAGCAGTCTCTAAGGCCTTTTTTAGAGAACGGAAGGAAGAATTGGGGAAGGATTTTTGGTCTATGGGATCAGACAGGCTTCCTTTTATAGGTCTTGGACTAGCCTGTAGGATTTGCCTAGTTTTTTATAGATAGGATAGGGGAAGAAATTTGGGCTTTGGAAGGGGATACGTGATACTCCTTTGAGTATAGATGCTGAAGAAGCAGGAGGGTGAATTAAAAGGCCATGTTGTAATAGATGGATGATAACAGGCTTTAGGCCTTTAAAGCCTGTTGTGGGATGGGGTACTGGTGCTGGACAGGGTAAGGGTGGTTAGGTTTTAAGGGGATGATGAGGGGTGAATGACTTGTAGCAAGGGATGGGGAGGTGGTGTTCCACACCCTAGGGTTAAGGTAGCGGGACGTAAGGGGAGCTATTGAGGGAGGTACGGGTTCTGGGAGGAAGGCGGCAATGAGGTGTGGCTGTAGCCCAGGAATAGTGAAGGAGGCAATTTTGCTAGGATATCTCAGCCTAACACGGGAACTGGACAAGCGGTGATAATTAGAAAAGAATGTGGAAAGGAGCGCTGGCCTAATCGACACCAGACTTGGGGAGTTTTGAGAGGTCTGGAGGCCTTGCTGTCAATTCCCACAACAGTTATGGAGGCCAAGGAGACAGGTCCTTGAAAAGAAGTCAGTGTGGGATGGGTGGGTCTGTGCTGATTAAGAAGGGGATGGACTTACCCTCCACCATAAGAGTTACCTGAAGCTCGGAGTCCATGATGGTCCAGGGGGCTTCCAAAGCAGTCTGGCAGCGTCAATCTTCAGTTGCTAAGTTGAGAAGTTCTGGAAAGGAGTCAGCTGGAGAATATTGGATTTGAACTCCAGGAGCCTTGGGAGTGGCTGTAATATGAGCCATACAGTCCGATTTCCAGTGGGGTCCCCCAAGGACAGGACATGGCTTGGAAGGGGCCTTGGGCTGTGAGCATTTGTTAGCTCAATGTCCAAGCTTTTGGCATTTGAAGCAGGATGGAGCCCCAGGCTGTGGGCTTGCCTGGCCCAGTGAACAGTTTCTGGCCACTTGGAATCATTGTCTAATTTGTATTGAGGGCAGTCTGTATTACAGAAAAAATTAGACTTTTAGGTTTCCGATCGGGCGACAGTTGAAGAGGTTTTAGGTTTTTTAGGACACAGGCTAGAGGGGAAGACTGAGGAATAGAGGGCGGAATACCGCCCATAGCGAAGGAGTTTATATATATATATATATGACGGGGTTTCACCATGTTGGTCAGGCTGGTCTTGAACTCCCGACCTCAGGTGATCCGCCCGCCTTGGCCTCCAAAGTGCTTGGATCACAGGCGTGAGCCACCGCGCCTGGCCAGAGATAAGTTTTAAGGAAAGGAGTAGAGACCAGGAGAAGAGGCGAGCAGCTACCAGGGTTTTCAGTAGGCATCCCTGACGGATTCTTGGACTGTAATGTGGAAGGCAGGCGTCCGTGCGATTGACCAGACCCCAAGGGAAGACTGTCTTCCAGAGTCCATGACCACGTCAGTTTGTGAGCTAGAGGGAGAGACTTGTCTCCTCTGGCTCCACACGGATAGAGTGTCTCCTTTTTCTCTACTAGAAGGAGATAGCTTTGAAAGGAAAAGAGAGAAAGAGAGGGAAAGACTTGTCTCCTCTGAAGTAAAAGAGAGAGGAAGAGATATGTCTCCCCTTCTCTGAAGAAAAAGAGAGAGGGAGAGAGAGACACTTGTTCCCCTTCTCTAAAGGAAAAAGAGAAATGGGGGGAGACTGCTTACCCAATCTGAAGGTGGCTGTTCCTCACGCTAAGCGGGAGCTGCTGAGCTGGTCTGATGTGTCGAGGTCTCAGGTGGGTCTCTTCCCAGAGGGGGAAGAGGGGACAGGGGGCTGGTCTCCCCAAAGGAGTATCCTTGTCCGGGTTTTCTGCACCAAATGTTGAAACGCTCTCTGAATGAAGAGACCCCCTCCCCCGACCCCGGCCAAACAGGCTTTGCGTGAGCAGCGAGGCTGTTTAGTCACCCGATGCAGGTGGGCTGAGTCAGGAAAGAGAATCAGCAGAGGGCGGTGCGGTAGGAGTTGGTTTTATAGGTTTGGGGTAAGCAATGTAAAGTTACAGAAGTTACAGGTTAGGGCGGGTTTTTGCAAGCTGGGTGGGGGTCGCAGGGTCTCGAGTCACGAGGTTGACGAAAGTCAGTTTCAAAGTCCAATGGCCTTATCAATTGGGGCCGGAATAAGAAAACAATATTAGAATGTTAGTTCTTCTGTTGTTAGAAGAGTTAGGCGCTGTAGGGGTTGATCATCTTCCTCTTTTCTTGGTCTTCCGGGGGTAGCCGTGTGGAGCCGTCAGTCAGCCTACAAGACCATACACCGCCCATCATTTAGCGACTGCTCAGGGCGCCAGCTGTGCAGCTGGGAGTCCGACTGAGAGCTGGTGCTCTGAGCCTCCAGCACGCGAGGACCAAGAGCGGGAATCCGGAACCAACAAGCTCCACTCCCGCATTTCACAGATTTCACAGACACACACCGCTCCAAGGGTAGCTGTCTGCAGGGTGCCGGCGAACTAGTCCGATAGGGCGGGAGAGGGGCGCGTGTGGCCACACTGATTGGTTGGTGCAGCCGGCACCGGAGCCAATAGGAGCGCGCCTTATTGTCAGGTGCTCAGCCGACTGGCGTGGTGGTCGGGAAGGGCTGGCTGTTGCTGTGGAGACGCCTGGTGAGCTCCTGGAAGGCTGGATTGAAGGCTGTGTGCCGGGGTTGGGGGCGACGCCGGGCAGAGCCGGGGGCGCGGGTCTGAGGGGCTGCAGGCGTGAGGCTGGGTCACGTGAGGACGCTGGGGGTTTCGCGGGCAGCTCTAGAGCCACAGTCCGGGAAACTGAGGCCGGGCTTTCTGGCTGCCTCGCGGGCCTCTTTAAGGCTCTCGCCGCCGCCCTGAGGTGCCTAGAATGGGTTTCAGCCTTGGGGGGTGGTTCACAATAACTGCAGGAGCCACCATTGATTTGCTGTCTGCTGGATGCAAAGCCCAGCGTTAACCCTTCACTCGCGACTTTCGCTTCACCTTCACAGCAGCCCTGCGAGGTGAGTGCCGTTATTAGTGCCATTTACAGGGGTGGAAACTGAGGCCGAGGGAAGGTGAAATGACTTGCTACAAGCCACCCAGTGGGTGAGCGCGACTCCAGACTGAAAATTTTGACTATTCTGCTCACTGCCTCCCCGCAGGAGGCCGGCCCTGGCCAGATGAAACTCACCTGACATTCCCAAGGTGTCTGCACGAGTGGCTTTGGGAGTTACTGAACTCTTCAGGACCTGGGTACAGGTAATAAATGTGGGACCGTCGGATTCCATGTTCCTTCTGTGTGATTATTGTGGTTAGAAATAGAATGTCCTTAGAACGGTCTCGTTCAGCAGTCCTCAAACTTTGTTGTAAATATATTAATGTTTACATTGTTATAGGGTAAATATAATGAGTATAATACTGTTCATAGTAGTTTAGCCTTGGCGGGGAGCGTACTCTGTCTACTCAAGTGTGGCAATGTGTGGATACAGCCAAGGACAATACACAAGAGAGTGGCTGTGTTGCAATAAAGTGTTAATTATGGGGACCGAAATTTTAATCGTATATATTGTTTATGTAATTTTCATGTGTCATAATTTTTTTTTCCAAATATTAAAAACAATGTAAAACCCATTCTTTGCTCCTGGGCTGGTTAGCCTGCAGAAACCTCATCTAGCACAAAGCCTCATACATGAGGGGACTGAGACCCAGAGACAGGCATCTGTGTCATGTCAGTCCCGCAGCCAGGGCAGTGCCAACTGGGTTTAAGACATAGGCTCCCCACCTTCCAGGCCAGAAAACACCCCCAGTTAACACTCTGGATCAGGGTGCTGAGGTGTTCAAAATGTGCTATCCTTTATCATGTGTTCTGAGGCCATGGAAACCATACTCTAACAGGTTTGATAACTTATTAGCTTAGACTAGTAAGTCTGCTGAATGTGCTGCTATCTGAGGAAACGCAGCTGCTGGGCTGGGAGTCAGAAATGAATAGATAATTTTCTTTTTCATGATTTTCAATAGCTATTTTTTTTTAAAGCTCCTTTTAGTGAGTTTCTTGGGTTTGTGGTGAACAATACATAAATGGTCACCATCCTCACATTGCTTACAGATGATAAATGTATAATCCAAATGGTTATTTATTAATTTATTTTTTATAGAGATGGGGTTTCTCCATCCTATAAAAACCTCCAGCCTGGGGTTTCTCAGGCTGGTCTCGAACTCCCGACCTCAGGTGATCTGCCTGCCTCAGCCTCCTGAACTGCTGGGATTACAGGTGTGAGCCACGATGCCTGGCATGGTTATTTATTTTTAAGCTTTTTAAGCTAATTTTAGATTTAGAGAAAAATTGCAACAACAATACAAAACATTCTCTTATGTCCCTCACCCTGCTTTCCCTAATGTTAACATCTTACATAATTATAATACAATTATCAAGAACAGAAAGCTAGTGTTGGTACAGCATTATTAACTATATTACAGACTGATATGAATGTTACCATTTTTAAAATTAAGGTTGCGGTTTCATTCCAGGATTCTATCCAAGAACCCATGTTGCATTTTAGTTATTTCTCGTTGGTCCATAACACTTCCTTAGACTTTTCTTGTGTTCCTTGGCTTTGATGCTTTTAAAGACTACCGATCAGTTATTTTGTCTAATGTCTCTCAATTTAAAGGTTTATCCAGTGTTTTCTAATGATTGGGGTGAGATTATGCATTGTTGGCCAGAATAACGCAAAGACGCATTATCTTGGTGTCTTTCTCAGTGCATCAGATGGAGTCCAGGATACTGGTATGTCTTTATTACTGGTGATATTTTGATCTATTGTTTGCTTGGTGTCTGCCAGATTTCTACACCATAAACTTAGTATCCCTTTTTAATTAATGAGTCTGTTGGGAGACATACTTTGAGAGGATGCAAAGTTTGGTTTTCTACGAGTTTGTACGCAGACTTTAGCCTCCATCTGCAGTTCTTTGTGGTGTTTGCCTGAAGGTAATTATTTCTCTTTCCTTCTACATTTATTTATTAAGTCAAGTTCCACTGAAAGAAGAACTATCCACTCTCTCTTTTTTTATTTGTTTGTATTAGTGTAGGCCATGGATATGCATTGTATTCTGTGAGTTAAAATTCACTGTCATTATTTTGTTGCTTACTGCTCCAGCATTGGCTATTCAGTTGAAGGTCTCCTTCAGGTTGGCTTCTGTAGCCTATCAACTGGCCATCATCTTTTTGTTATTGTTGTTGTTGGGCACTTACTTTATGACACCTAAAGATGTTCCAGGTTCATCTTGTGTTTTCTCTGTCCCAACCCTGGAATCACAGTTCTTTTTGTCTTCAGCCTCACAGTATCCAGTCAAGATACTGTTTTTCACAGTTACTTAGTTTAGTTCTTTTCTTCCTCATGCCCTTCAGAGTGGTCATGTTAGTTGTAATAGTTAGGTTTATTGTTAGTGTTTGTATTTCATTTTGAGTTCCCCCTATATCCTAGTTGATTTTAGTTTATTTTTGGGGTATGAATTATGACTGATTTCTGATAGTTAGAGCTACACACAAAGGTATACTGAAAGAACTTTCCTCCTCATGCCTAGTGCCCTGTTCCCATTTGCCCCTTCTTTTCACCCCTTCCCTATATACCCTGTATATACTTTGGTATCTGGATTATCTCATATTTCTTTTGCACAAGTGAAAGATAGCTGTGTATTTTCTTTTTTTAAAATTATTTTTTCTTTTTTTTTTCTCCTTTTTTATCGTACTTTAGGTTCTGGGGTACATGTGCAGATTATGCAGGATTGTTGCATAGGTACACACATGACAATGTGGTTTGCTGCCTCCATCCCCCTGTCACCTACATCTGGCATTTCTCCCCGTGTTATAGTTGTGTATTTTCTCATATCCTCTTCTTTCTTATACAAAGGGTGACATGCTATAGATAATTGTGTTTGCTTTTTTCAGTTAATAGTATGTTTTAGGTGGAGTGGGGTGGCTTACGCCTATAATCCCAGCACTTTGGGAGGCTGAGGTGGGTGGATCGCCTGAGGTTAGGAGTTTGAGACCAGCCTAGTCAACATGGTGAAATCCTATCTCTACTAAAAATACAAAAATTAGCTGGGTGTGGTGGTAGGCACCTGTAATCTCAGCTATTTGGGAGACTGAGGCTGGAAAATCGCTTGAACCTGGGAAGTGGAGGTTGCGGTGAGCCGAGATTGTATCACTGACCTTCAGCCTGGGCGACCAATTGAGATTCCATCTCCAAAAACAAAAACCAAATAGGTTAAAAGGTTGTTTTGAAAATCATCCCATATCTGTTCATAGAGATCTTCATTCATTTTTAAAAACATCTTTATTGAGGCCAGGGTCGGTGGCTCATGCCTGTACTGAGCACTTTGGGAGGCCGAGGTGAGCGGATCATTAGACCAGCCTGACCAACATGGTGAAACCCCATTTCTACTAAAAATACAAAAAAAACTAGCTGGGCATGGTGGCACATGCATATAGTCCCAGCTACTAGGGAAGCCGAAGCAGGAGAATCGCTTGAACCCAGCATGTGGAGGTTGCAGCCAAATTTTGTATTTTGGGGTTTCACCATGTTGGCCAGGATGCTCTCCATCTCTTGACCTCGTGATCTGCCCGCCTCAGCCTCCCAAAGTCCTGGGATACAGATGTGAGCCACCAGTACCTGGCTGTATGGTTTTATTTTTTATCATTTAGATTTCTAATTCATTTGCAAGTTTATTCTTGTGAGTTATCTTTTTCCAACAGTGAATACTGTTCCAGCAGTATTTAGTACAAAGATCATCTTGACTGTAGTGATTTGAGATGCCATCTTTTCCATGTTTTTTATTTCCATATGTACTTGAGTCTAATTCTGGACCTCATCTTTTTGTTTGTATATGCACCAGTACCATGCTGATTTAATTATGAAGGCTTTGTATAGTATGGTTTCATGTCTTATGCCTATCCCCCCTTACAGTTTTTTGTTTACATTGTTTTCCTAGTATTAAATTTTTGTTTTTCCATATGAATTTTAGTATCATCTTGTCTATTATGTTGTCAGTATTTGTATTGGGATTGCATTGAATATATAAATTAACTTGGGGAAAACTAACATCTTTATATTTTTGAATTCTGTCCAAGAGCAGGGAATGCCATTTCATTTGTTCAAGTTAACTTTAGTGTCTTTTAATAACGTTTTAAAATTTTTCTTGCACATTTTTTTTTTTTTTTTTGAGATGGAGTTTTGTTCCTGTTGCCCAAGCTAAAGTGCAGTGGCACGATCTCAGCTCACTGAAACCTCTGCCTCCCAGGTTCAAGCGTTTCTCCTGCCTCAGCCTGCCAAGTAGCTGGGATTACAGGCATGTGCCACCATGCCCGGCTAGTTTTTTATTTTTAATAGAGACAGGGTTTCTCCATGTTGGTCAGGTTGGTCTTGAACTCCCGACCTCAGGTGATCCACCTGCCTCAGCCTTCCAAAGTGCTAGGATTACAGGAGTGAGCCACCACACCCAGCCTCTTGCACAGTTTTAATTTATTTTTAAGTATTTAATTACCTTGTTGTTATTTCGAATGGGATTTTTCTCTACCATAATGTTTTCTTTTATGGTTTGTATATATGAAGGCTATTGATTTTTATTTATTAATCTCATATTGTGCAGCTTCACTGAGTGTTTTTGTTTAGTTTTTTGTTGTTGTTTTGAAAAGGAGTCCCGCTCTGTCGCCCAGGGTGGAGTGCAGTGGCACAATCTCGGCTCACTGCAACCTCCACCTTCCAGATTCAAGTGATTCTCCTGCCTCAGCCTCCCAAGTAGCTAGGATTACAGATGCCCACCACCATGCCCGGCTAATTTTTGTACTTTTGGTAGAGACAGGGTTTCACCATGTTGGCCAGAGTGGTCTCAAACTGCTGACCTCAAGTAATCTATCCACCTAGGCCTTCCAGAGTACTGGGATTACAGACCTGAGCCACTGTGCCCAGCACACTGAGTTATTATTGAATAAATTTTATCACTGATTTTGGGTTTTCCAGGTAATATATTGTATTATCTGCAATTAGTGGTATTTTTTTTTTTTTTTTTTTTTTTGTCATAGACCTTCAGAGCTACTGCAAATCAAAGTGGTATTTTTTTCTTTACCCTTTTTTTTTTTTAACCTCTAATTGATTTCTCTTTACTAATTTCACTGGCTAATATTCATAGTACAGTGGTGGATAGTAGCAGAGATAGTAGACATCTTTGCTTTGCTCTTGATATTAATGGACATGCCTCTAGTGTTTGATCACAAAATAAGATTTTGGCTTTAGGACTAAGGTATATTTGTATTACCGTATTTATAAAATATCTTTCAATTTCTATTTTCTTGAGTATTTTTTATTATGAATGGATGTTGAATTTTGTCAGACTTTCTCTTCTATGGAGATAATCATATAATTATTTTTCCCCTAGATGATTGCATTGTGTTTTCATATGTGGTGTGTGTTTTTATTAATACCTATTTTTTATTTTATTTATATTTTTGAGGCAGAATCTTGTTTTGTCACCAGGCTGAGTGCAGTGGTGTAATCTTGGCTCACTGCAACCTCCACCTCCCAGATTGAAGCGATTCTTCTGCCTCAGCCTCCTGAATAGCTGGGACTACAGGCGCGTGCTACCACTTCTGACTAATTTTTGTGTTTTTAGTAGAGATGGGGTTTCACCATGTTAGCTAGGATGGTTGCAATCTCTTGACCTCGTGATCCATCTGCCTTGGCCTCTTAAAGTGCTGGGATTACAGGCGTGAGCCACCATGCCTGTGCTATTTTTTATTTTTTTATTTTTGATACAGGGTCTCACAGGATCGTCACCCAGGCCAGAGTACAGTGGTGCAATTACTGTTCACTGCTGCTTCAACCTCTCAGGCTCAAATGATCCTCCTGCCGCAGCCTCCCAAGGAGCTGGGATTACAGGCATGTGCCCCTACACCCAGCTAATTTTTAAGTATTTTGTAGAGATGAGATCTCCCTGTGTTGCCCAGACTGGTCTGGAACTCCTAGACTCAGGTGATCCTCCTGCCTTGGCCTCCCAAAGTGCTGGGATTACAGGCAGATTACAGTCATGAGCCGCCATGCCTGGCTGTTAGTATTTCTTTAAATTTCTCTAAATTTTTCATTGCATTTCCTTTTATCTGGAAATTGTGAGGAGATTCTTCAATTTTTATGTAGACACACCTTTCTTCTGTTGGTGGTAACGGCTGTGTTAGTAAATTTCTAGTTTTAAGCATTATGATTGGGAAGTGTTGTTTTTAGTATCTTTACTTGATGGAAAGTGTTTTCTTTGTGACCTAATACATGAACAGTTTTTTTGTGAATGTACTGTGAATGTTTCTGTCATCAAGGTGTGAAGTTTGATATACATCTACAGAGTCTCCTGTATTATGTTGTCTAGATCGATCGTCTATCCCCTTACTTATTTTTTTCTCCACTTGATTTGTCTTTTTCTTTTCTTTTTTTTTTTTTTGAGGCAAGGTCTCACTCTGTATCCAAGGCTGGAGTGCAGTGGCCTGGCTCACTGCAGCATTGAACTCCTGGTTTTAAGTGATCCTCCCACTTCAGTCTCCCCAGTAGCTGGGACTACAGGTGCATGCCACCATGCCTGGCTAATTTTTATTTTATTTATTTTAGAGATTTTGAGGGGGGGGGGTCTCACTGTCTTGCCCAGGGTGGTCTCTAGCTCCTGGACTCAAAGGATCCTCCCACCGTGCTGGGATTACAGGCATGAGCCACCAAGCCTGGCCATCATTTTAAAATTGTTTTGTAGAGACAGGGTCTCGCTCTGTTGCCCAGGCGAGGCTCGAACTCTTGGGCTCAAGCCATCTTCCTGCCTCGGCCTCCCAAAGTGTTGGGATTACAGGCATGAGCCACAGCATCCGTCCAATTTGTCTTTAAAAAAAAATTTTTTTTAATTTATTTTTTAAGAGACAGAGTCTTGCTATGTTTCCCAGTCTGGATTTAACTTCTGGGCTTCAGCCTCCTGAATAGCTGAAATTACAGATGCTCACTGCCATACTTGGTGTGTTATTTGTCTTGTTTTGAGATTGATGTGAAGTCTCAAATTTTTAGGGTATTACTATTTATGTGTCTTTGCATTTCCTTTGGGTTTTGCTGCTTTATGTTGGTTGCTGGATTGGGGCATATTCTCTTTTTTTTTTTAGATGAAGTGTCTCTCCGTCACCCCAGGCTGGAGTGCAGTGGCGAAATCTCAGGTCACTGCAGCCTCCGCCTACTGGGTTCAAGCAATTCTCCTGCCTTAGCCTCCTAAGTAGCAGGGACTACAGGCATGTGCTACTACACTTGGCTAATTTTGGTTAACCCAAAAGAATTAAATGTAACAAAGGCACAATTTTCACTGATGATATGACAGTCAAGAATATGCTGGCTAGGCATGGTGACTCACACCTGTAATCCCAGCACTTTGGGAGGCCAAGGTGGGCGGATCACCTGAGGTCAGAAGTTTGAGACCAGCCTGGCCAACATGGTGAAATCCCATCTCTACTAAAATTACAAAAAATAGCTGGGTGTGGTGGCATGTGCCTGTAATACTAGCTACTTGGGAAACTGAGGCAGAGCTTTTTAGTAGAGACAGGGTTTCACCATGTTGGCCAAGATGGTATCGATCTCCTGACCTCGTGATCTGCCCACCTTGGCCTCCCAAAGTGCTGAGATTACAGGTGTTCGGCTCAGAAAGGGGGAAAGGTGTTCCATCTCTTTAAATTTTCTAATAGAAGCCACCTGTGAAATCATCTGTAGCCTGAGAAGGCCAAAACCGAGGCAAGTATATACCAGTTCTACAGGGATCTGCCAGACCAACGAAAGTGCACAACCCACGTTTTTGTAGGATAGTTTCCACTGCTCGCTCACTCTGGAACCAGCCAGCCAGTTTAGGAACATGGGCTGCTGTCCCTGGAGCTATGAGTTATGGGGCTGAGGAATGGGGGATGGTAGCTGAGTCGAGCAAGTTATTCTTTTACCAAATATTAGCAGCCTCTGTTTATCAAATACTCTGCTGGTTGTTGTAAGTGTTTGGTCAGGTTGCAGAGTCTCTTTGTTTTGTTTTGCTTTGCTTGAGACAGGGTCTCACTTGGTCTGTCAGGGTGAAGTGCAGTGGTACAATCTCAGCTCACTGTAGCCTCGACCTCCCAGGCTTAAGTTATCCTCCCACCTCAGCCTCCCAAGTAGCTGGGACTACAGGTATGTGCCACCATGCTCAGCTAATTTATTTTTTTGAGACAGGGTGTCACTCTGTCACCCAGGCACAATCTCGGCTCACTGCAGCAGTGGCACTATCTCAGCTCACTGCAGCCTCAACCTCACGGACTTAAGTGATCTTCCCACTTCAGCCCCCCAAGTAGCTGGGACAATAGGTGCATACCTCCATGCCCAGCTAATTTTTTTTGTATTTTTTTATAGAGACAAGTTTTCATTGTGTTGCCCAGGCTGATCTTGAACTCCTGAGTTCAGGTGATCCACTCACCTCCATCTCTCAAAGTGCTAGGATTATAGACTTGAGCCACTGTGCCTGACCTAATTTTTTTTTTTTTATGTTTTGTAGAGATGGGGTCTCACTATGTTGTCCAGGCTGGTCTCAAACTCCTAGGCTCAAGCAGTTTATCCTGCCTTGGGATTATAGGTGTGAACCCATGCCTGGCCAGGTTCCAGAGTTTGAAATGGTAGATTTTGATAATTATTTTCCTAGTTCACTGGTTGTTTGGTGCAAGGATTGACCTTTTCATTCTTGTAGTGGTGTCTTTTGTAAAGAAAGTTTTTAAATTTGGAAGTCCAGTTTATCAAACTTTTGCTTATGGATTGTGTTTTTCTGTGTGTTGTCTGAAGTCTTGTCTAACCCTAGGTTTCCAGAATTTTCTCCTGTGTTTGTTTTGTATTTTATGTTTAGAAATGATCCATTTTGAGTCATTTTTGTATTAGATGTGAATTTTTGGTCAAGGTTCTTTTTCTTTTTGCTTTTTGCATATGGATGTTCCAGAGCCATTTGTTCCAGGCAGTTCTGCATTGAATTGCCTTTGCACTGTAGTCAGTAATAAATTGGCCATGTTCATTTGAATTCTTATGGACTCTGTATTTTGTTTCATTGATTTATGTCTGTTCCTTCAAGACTATGCTACCTTGGTTATTACAGCTTTATTGTAAGTTTTAAAATTGTGTAGTGTGATTCCTCCGATATTATTATGATTTTTAAAATGGGGTAATTCTAGTACCTTTCTGGCCTTCCATTAAATCTTTCTGTCAGTTTATCTATAATCACAAAAGACCCTTCTGTGATTTTTGTTGGAATTGGACTAAATCTAGGTCTGTTTGGGGAAAATTGAGGTTTTTACTATATTGAATCTTCTAGTTCATTTCCATTTATGTAGGTCTATTTTGAGTTCTTTCATCACTGTTTTCTAGGATTCAGAATATAGACTTTATACACATTTTATTATATTTATACATAATTTTTGGAGCTATTATAAATGATATTTTTTCAATTTTGATATCTAGTGTTTATTGCTAATATGCAGAAAGAAATACAATTACTTTTTATGTGTTGACCTGTACCCTATGACTTGCTAAACACACTTAAAAGTTCTAGGTCTTTATTTTCTTTTTTTAAGATGGGGTTTCACCATGATGGCCAGGCTGGTCTTGAACTCCTGACCTCAGGTGATCCACCCACCTCGGCCTCCCAAAGTGCTAGGATTACAGGCATGAGCTACCACGCCTGGCCTAGGGCTTTATTTTCTAGATTCCTTGAGATTTTCTATGAAGGGCAATCATGCCATCTGTGAAAAGGGACAGTTTCATTTTTTTCTCTTTGTAATCTCTACTTATTTCTTTTTCTTGCCTTACTGTGGTAGCTAGAGCTTCCAGTATATTGTGGCATAGGACAGATGACAGTGGATATCCTTGCCTTGTTTCTTGATCTTGGAGGGAAGTTAGCTGTAGGTTTTTTGTAAATACCTTTTGTGGGATTGCTATGGTTTGAAGTATCCCCCACAGTTTATATGTAGGAAGCATAATTCCCAATGCAACAATGTTGACAAGTGAGACTCAAGAGTTGATTAGGTTATGAGGGCTCTGCCTTGGTAAGTGAGTTAATGGTGTCATTGTGGGAATAGGTTCACTGAACAAGAGTGGGCTTGTTACAGAAGTGAGCTTATCCCCCTTTTGCTTTGTCATGTTCGCTTACCCTTCTACCTTCCACCATGCAGTGATGCAGTAAGGCCTTTGCTAGGTACTGGCACTGGCGCCGTGCTCTTTGACTCCTCAGTTTCTAGGACTGTGAGCCAATACATTTTTGTTCTTTGTAAATTACCCAGTCTCAGGTATTCTGTTATAGCAGCACAAAATTGACTAAGGTACAGATTGAGGAGGTTTCTTCTATTTTGGGTCCACTGGCAGGTTTTTTTTTCAATCATTACAGGCATGTTTCAGAGACATTGTGGGTTTGGTTCCAGACCACTGCAATAAAGTGACTATCACAGTAAAGCAAGTCCCACAAATTTTTTGGTTTCCCGGTACACATAAAAGTTAATGTTTATACTGTACTGTAGTCTATTAAGTGTGCAGCAGCATTATATCTTACAAAATGTGCATACCTTAGTTAAGAAATGCTTTATTGCTAAAAAATGCTGACACAGAAACACAAAGTAAGCAAAGTAAGCACATGCTCTTGGAAAAATAACACTTAACTTTCTCGACAGAGGGTTGCCACAGACTTTCAGTTCATCAAAAACAGTACCTGTGAAGCTCAATAAAGCAAAGCACAGAAAAATGAAACGTGCCAAAAAAAACTGGGACTGATGAAGTCCTATTTGAGCTGCGATGGGAGTGCTCCTCCTTGTATGGGAGTGCTCCTGTCCATGGTGTTAACAAAGCCGTCACTGAGCCATATCTCTGTAGGCTGCCTCTGCACTGAGGTACCTCTGAAGCTTGCGCTGTCCTTCAAAGGTCATCCTGTGAATGATGGATGCTGGTCATGAAGAAAGATTTGACTGAAAAGTTAAATGTGTACTGTCCTCTAGTTGTTTTTTTCCAGCCCTTGTTTTGTCTTTGTTATGGAGTGGTGCAGTTCTATGACTATTCCATCCTTAGGAATATGGTTACAGGGCTCAGCTTTCTTATCTCTAAAATGAGGGTGCACATTTGTCCTGCACGGGAAGCTCTTTGTTTTCTGCTTGACTTGTGATACTTCTCCCTGTGTGGAGGGTTTGACTGAGTAACAGTTGAGCTGTCTAGAAACTACTCATCTACTCATGTGTCTTCCTTCATGGGATTTAGAACCAGATATGGTGATACAAAATACTCCTCACCTATTTATCTATAGGACAGGACTGCTGCCTTTGAGAAGTTTACAAGGCTAGTTAGAGGGACAGACCCAGAGGCAGGGTGATTCTATTGAAGAGGTGAGGGTGTGTAGAGGGGACATTTAGAAAGAATCATCTTTTGCTGTGTCAAATCAATGTTAGAGTTTTAGTTTTTAAAAGATGTGTTTTATTTTTAGGAAAAAATTATTGCATGTTATGATATTTAAAACTCAAGGCCAGGTGCAGTGGCTCATACCTGTAACAGCATTTTGGGAGGCTGAGGGAGGTGGATCACTTGAGGCCAGGAGTTTGATACCAGCCTGGCTAACATGGCGAAATCCTGTCTCTACTAAAAATACAATACAAAAATTACCAGGGTGTGGTGGAGTGCGCCTGTAATCCTAGTTACTCGGGAGGATGAGACATGAAAATCACTTTAACCCAGGAGGTGGAGGTTGCAGTGAGCCAAGATCATGCCACTGCATTTCAGCCTGGTGACAGAGGGTGACTGTCTCAAACACAAAACTCAAGGCCAGTTTTAAGATAGTAGTTACTAGGCCAGGTATGGTGGCTTGTGCCTGTAATCATAGCATTTTGGGAGGCCAAGGCACTTGAGCCCAGGAGTTCAAGACCAACCTGGACAACATAGTGAGACCCTGTCTCTACAAGAAAAACAATTAAAAACTTAGTCAGACGTGGTACCATGAGCCTGTAGTCCCTGCTCCTCATGAGGCTGAGATGGGAAGATTGCCTGAGCCCAAGAGAGGTTGAGGCTACAGTGAGCTGAGCTGAGACTGTGCCACTGTACTCCAGCCTGGGCAACAGAGTGAGACCCTGTTGCAAAAAAAAGATGGTAGTTGCTAGTAAAGAGGATTATACTGTACATGCTCAAAGCTCCCACAGCCTTCCCACTGTGTCCATTATTCTGGCTTCTTAGTTTTGCTACTGGAAATTTTTGGGGAGCTGAGGAAGAGTGGTAATGATGGAGTGGAATTAGGAGGCAGTGGGCAGAAGGGATGCTGGTCTCATGGGCCTAACGTACATGATGAGTCTGTGTGGGAATCATTTTTAGGCTCTCCTGGATGAAATGTTGTATAGATGGTAAAACTGGATATCCACGAGTATGCCTCGGTTCCAGTATGTGTCTGTGCCCAGTCCTCCTGACTTCTATTGAAAAGCAGTGCCCAGCTTAAAGCTTGGGTTCTGCTGCAGACCAGCTGGGCAACCTGAGGCAAATCACCTAATGTGGCAAGCCTGAGGTGCCTCCCTATAAAATGGAAGCTGGTCTTTGGGAATTTTTGATTAGTGTATAATACTTAGGCATTGAATAGCTTTTTGCTAGTACTTTTATTAGAGAATTGGAAATTTTGTTTTCTGTTTTATGGAATGTTGTTGATGATGCATAAGTGATAGTCCAACAGCTTGAGCGAATATGACTTATTCTATCGCCCTCAGCAAACCTGTTAGGAGCCCTTGCAGGGCATCAGTTGTCGCTCTTAGCTGAAGTGTAATAGCTCACAGCTGTGTATGTCCAGGGACAGGCAGGAGACTCTTTGCCAAGGCATGTCACTTTTTGCTGTGCTAGAAAAGAGTGCTGGGCTTTGAGTCCTATTTTTGTTTCTTTCTAGCACTGTGTCTTTGGGCAGGTCAGCTAGTCTCTCTAAGCCTGGGTTTCCTAATCTGGAAAATGGAGGTGATAATGCCTATTTTGTAAGGCTGCATTAAATTCAAGTGAGATAATGTGAATGTGCTTTGTACATGTCTGGGATGGGCTGGAGAGTTGGAGAGGTGCCAAGTACTGCTGTTTTTAGATTATGTTAAAGCCAGCACAGGTACCCTTACAACGGGGAGAGTTGACTTGAGTTTTAACATAGAACAATATTGAAAATAATTTTTTTTAAAAAGCAATTTGGAAATTTGTTTCTTCTCCTGCACTGTGGACTCTTTCAGGGTGTTTGGGCCCTGCTGATCATGGTACTCAGGGAGCTGTTGCTTCAGGAAATCCAGGTGCCTTCCTTACGGAGGAGGTGGGAGGGATTGGGCTGGGGCAGGGACTCAGACAGCACATAGGGCCAGAAACCCTGCTCTGGATTTGAAGCTCACTGTTGTTTTTTTTTTCCTCTGACTTGCCTAGTTATTTGGTCATTCATCTGTCCTGAGAGGCCGTCTCCTGTCAGCTCTGAGATTTGACTTGCACTCACCATGGTCCTGGAGGCAAAGAAGCATATGCCGCAGGAGAAGGCATAGGCCCCCCGGCACCATTCTGGTCATGGTTGGATGCTTTCCTTCGAGGTGTTACTTAGGAAGCAGATGAACTTTCTTCCTTATGAAATAGGTTGGCTTCGGCATGATGGCTGTATTGATGTTCTCCCACCCATGCACGTGGACCCTGCCATTGCCACACAGCGACCTGATCCTTCAGCCATTTGTGGGCCCCTCCCTTGTTTTTCCTCAGGAAGATCCAGCTGGCATCTAGAAGACTGGCCATGACTTGGTGCTAGCACCTGTCCTGCAGAAAGTGGATTGGAATGCCTGTGGCTTGGCAGGAGTGCCACTGTCTGACTTTTCTCCTGCTTCTGTGGGGTGGCAGGGAGCAGGAGAAGTCAGTGTGGGTGTGACACACGGGAATACCAGCTGAGTCTGCTTGTCTCTGTTCAGAGGAGCTCCAGGCTAGTCAAGCTACTGTTGCCATTTTATACATAAGGACACCAAGGATGGTAAAGGGTCGAGGTATCAGGAATCAGAGACACAACTCAACCATGCTCTGAAATCTTCCTATTCCAAATCCAGTGTTTTTTATTTTTCCTTCTTAAAACCCCAGGTCTAGGTAGGACAGCTGAGTTTTACAGTCGGATAGTGGTGAAAAATAAGATCGACCAACGGGTAGTTATTGAGTGACTGCTGGGTAAGTGAAGGAAGCAGTTCTGATGGAGGCTATATGATGTTCAATAGGATTAGAGGTGATTTGGGATTCAGTGCACAGATCCCAATGGGTGAGGAGAAGAGAGTGACTGTGAAGTGGGGGTTTGAGAGGCTCCCCCACCTCTTCTAATTTCCAGTGGGCTCCATAACTGGCCTCTGGGGCTATAAGTTTTGCTTACTGGGAGTCATCAGGGAGTGGCTTGAGCTGTGGTCTGGCCATGGGCTGTCAGCCCAGCCTTGAGGATGACCAGAGCGTAGCAGAGACTTTATTTGGAGTAATGTCTTTGTGTTTTGAAAACAAGTTCAACTTTGATCCTACTTGGAAACTATTCTATTGATTGTTTACTTCTGGATATTAAAAGAAATTATAAAATATGCAAAAAAATTTTACAATTTTGCTCATTTTTTAAGTTTTCAGCTCGTTGGTATTAAGTACATTCACATTGTTGTGTTACCATCACCACCATCCATCTCCAGAACTCTTCATCTTGTAAAATCGACACTCTGTATCCATTACACAGTAACTCTCCATTGCTGTCTCCCTCGGGCTCTGGCAACCACCATTCTACTTTCTGTCTGTATGAATTTGCCTGTTCTGTTTTCCACCTGTAAGTGGAATCATGCAATATTTGTTCTTTTGTGTCTGTATGTAGCCAGATGTGGAATTTCTGGGTCATGTTGTAATTCTGTGTTTATTTTTTTGAGGAACTGACACATCCTTTTCCACAGTAGCCACACCATTTTACATTCTCACCAGCAATGTATAAAGACTCCATTTTCTCCATGTCCTCACCAATACTTGTTATTTTCTGGTTTCATTTTGCTTTGATAACAACCCAAATGCAGGGTTTTAATGCTATAGTTTCTACTTTTATATATATATTGTATAGTGGTACCAGTGTCCATCTTGGCATAGCTTATGATCAAGCTGTGGTTTCCGGCCAGGCATGGTGGCTCACGCCTGTAATCCCAACACTTTGGGAGGCTGGGTCACCTGAGGTCAGGAGTTTGAGACCAGCCTGGTCAACATGGTAAAACCCCATCTCTACTAAAAATACAAAAAATTAGCTGGGCATGGTGGCGCGTGCTTGTAATCCCATCTACTCAGGAGGCTGAGGCAGGAGAATTGGGGAGGCGGAGGTTCCAGTGAGCTGAGATTGTGCCACTGCACTCCAACCTGGGCGACAGAGCGAGACTCCGTGTCAAAGAACCTGGAACAAAAACAGAAGAAAAACTGCAGTTTCAAAACTTCTGATTAGCAGTATTTTTTTTCTAAATGTGGAACCCAGGAGATAAAACAGCTATCAGTCTAGGAAAGGTTTGAGTCTTCTTTGTCTGAGAAAGTACTTCCTTCCTTGCAAGAACCCTAGGAGAACTCAGAGCCTATTGTGGAAGCCTGTGCTGGAAGTCATTGCTGTAAGCACTGGTGACAGTAGCAGTCATTTTTTATTTATTATTATTTTTAATAGAGACAGGGTCTTACCTTATTGCCCAGGCTGGTCTCAAACTCCTGGGCTCAAGCAGTCCTTCCGCCTCAGCCTCTCAAAGTGCTGGGATTACATCAGCCACAGTGTCTAGCCAGTAGCAGTTATTTTAATCAATAAAAGTGGAGCATGTGTCAGTCTGTCTGTCTAAGGCTTATCCCACTGCCTGCTGGGCCCTTCCAGGACCTTCTGCCAGCCTCTCAGGTGGGACTTTTAACAGCTCCTCCTCCTGCCCTCCCTACTTATTTGGTAGTGTTCCTATCCCCATCTCAGTTCCTAGGGCCAGCTTCCTAGGTATCAGGTCCTGTAAGTCTACCTCCTAGTGGGACTCCCCTTCATCCCTGCTGTCATGGGTCCATCTGGGATGGCGTCTTTTTAAAAATAAGAACTTTATAATTTACATTCCATGTAGTTCACCTGAAGTATACAAATTCAGTGGTTTTTAGTATATTAACAGAGTTGTGTCGCACCACCATTATCAATTTTAGAACATTTTTGTCATGCCGGAAAGAAACCCTAAACCCATTTGTAGTCATTCCCCAATTGTCCTTCTCCCCAAGCCCATTAAATCAGCATTCCCCATCTGTTTGGTATCAGGAACTGGTTTCTTGGAAGACAGTTTTTCCATAGACCAGGGCAGAGGGTGGGGATAATTTCTGTTTGACACTGTTCCACTTCACAACATCAGGCATTAGTTAGATTCTCATAAGGAGCGCACAACTCAGATCCCTTACATGCGCAGTTCACAATAGGCTTTGTACTCCTGTGAGAATCTAATGCTGCCGCTGATCTGACAGGAGGCAGAGCTCAGGCAGTAATGCTTGCTCACCTGCCAATCATCTCCTGTTCTGTGGCTCGATTCCTAACCAGTAATGGTCCGTGGCCTAGGCGTTGGGGACCCCTGCACTAAACCATAGATTGGTCTGTTCTGGACATTTCATATAATTGAAGTCAGACAATATATGCTCTTGTGTATGACTTCTTTCATTTAGCATAATATTTTCAAGGTTCTTCCATGTTGTAGCATGTATCAGAACTTTATTCCTTTTTGACTGAATAATAAATACTCCCTTATATGGACATACTTCATTTTATTTATTTATTTGTCAGTCGATGGACATTTAGGATGTTTCCACCTTTTAACTTTTAGAAATAATGCCTCTGTGAACATTCATGAACAAGTTTTGGTGTGGACATGTTTTCATTTCTCTTGGGAAGATACACATAGGAGTGGAATTCCCTGGTCATATGCTAGCTCGGTTTAACATTTAGAGGAACTAGCAGACTGTTTTCCAGTGTACCAGTTTACATTCCCAGGAGCACTGCATGAGATTCTAAATCTCCACATCCTTGCCAATCGTATCATCTTTTGCAGCCTTCAAACTGGTCTGCCTACCTCTAATTATTTTTCTATTATCTTTTGAAAACATTGGCAAAACACTCTTTTTCTCCCTAAAGTACCCTTTTGTTCCCTGTTGCCTGCAGATAAAGTTCATGGCCTCTGTGTTGTCGCTTGGCCCTCAACTACCTCCATCCTCCACGCACATCCCTGCTCTAACGCCTAGTCTCCTAGTTTTCCCATCACACCGTGTTCTCCTTGCCTCTTTGCTTCATTGTCTTCCGCTGCAGTGTATTCCATTCTTCAAGGCTTAATGCAATAACTTACTCCTTTGCCTTCCTTAATCCCTTTGAATGAATTGTTCTTTTCTGCCTTAAGATGTTGCCTGTGTTTCTTTTCATATCATTCAGCTTTTGAAAAAAATAATAGGTTTATTACCTCTGCTTGCAGTGATCCCTGGGGGCAGGGATTGTTCTCACACTTCTGTGTGCCTGGCACCTGGTGCATTGCCCGGCAATGATGAATGCTATGGTGAGGATGAATGCTATACCAAGGAGCTATGGTGAGGCACACTTTTGTGTGCCTGGCACCTGGTGCATTGACAGGCAATGATGAACGCTATGGTGAGGATGAATGCTATACCAAGAAGCTCCTTGTGTAATAGACCAAGGCAGCTATTCACTGGACTATGTGCACAGAGCTCAGGGAAGGACTGTTTCCTGGTGGACCTCAGCACTGTGACCTTCCTGGCTCTTCTTAAGCCTTATCTTAGTTGTCCTATTTCCCTTCTAGGAGAGTTTTGGACTGGGGCAACCTTTACCAGTGTTGAGAAGTGATGCTGTGTGGCAGTGCTGAATCTCTCTGAATATGGTAAGGACTGATGCCTGCCTATTTTGCGGACAACAGGGTTCTTCTGTTGCTTTACTCCTGGGGGCAAGGGGCATTTTCCTGGTAGACTCTGAAGGCTCTTATGGCGCAGCCTTCCTCCCAGGAGGGCTGTTGGCATTTTTGAGGGTGTGAGTGCTTGCCTGGTGGTTGAAGTGGCTTGCAGGACCTTGTCAGAGTTGCTGGAAAGACAAAGTTACATGTTTTGTTGAAATCTGTTGTTCCATTACCTGGGTCTTCCACTGTGTTGAACTGTTTCTGGGGTATCCCCAGTGTCTGTTGCTTTTGCAGTGGACAGTACCCAGGACACACTTTCTGCACAGATTAGCATAACCCTCCCCTCATTTTTTTTCTTCAGATGATGATTTTTTGTTCATTCCCCACATCTGAGGAGGCCATAGCTTTTCAAGGTAGAATAGATTATATGCTGGAGCAGAATTGTATTCATCTGTTGATGTTTGAAGAGATGAGTGACATCTCAAAGCATCTTGTCTCTTCCACCAAATCCCTGTTTCTAGATTCGAATTGCAGCCTTAAATGCCAGCTCCACCGTTGAGGATGATCATGAAGGAAGCTTTAAAAGTCACAAAACCCAGACAAAGGAGGCTCAGGTATGTAATGCAATGTCTTCCTCTGCAGGTACCTTCTAATTTCTATAGATGGAACCTCATTTTAAATGAATTTAGACATCTCCTTAGTGGGGTTTTAGGGGGAAATTCCGTTTTGAAAAATGGCTAGCTCCCATCTCCTGTTAAACCTGTTTTACTTAGGAGATGATCATATTGAGGAGAAATTCTATTTATTCTGTCAGTGTATATGAAAGCCAGTTTAGCCCCCAGGCCCACTTCCATGTAGCCCATTTTTTGTGTAGGCCTTGGGAGTTGAGATACCCAGGGAATGGCAGAATATTAATGGCAGATGGTGCTTCGAGATTCCCTAGTGTATTGCCCTCACTTTACAGTGTGATGAGACTCTTGAGGGGAGCAGCCTAGACTGCGATCACCCTCCAGGTCAGTGAGAGAGCCAGGTCCAACCATAACTCCCTAGAGATTGCTGGTCACTCCTCTTTCCCATGAGGCCTGGCATCTCTTCCATTTCAGTCTTCTTTCTTTCCATCCATTCATCTCTATACCCTTGTCCTATTCAAGTGTAACAAGGGTTTGCTCCTGCCTGTGTTTTCCCTGAAATAAACATATGCTTCCTCCCTCATACCCCCTGCATTTTATGGTAGAAATCAGGACAGTTCCAGAGCTGTCTCAGAAGTCTACTAGTCACCTGTCCCTAGTCTGTAAGGCATGTCAGTGAGGCTCGACCCACCCAATGCCACCTCCCTCCCACGGGAGGTTGTCATCCTCCCTAGGCAATGATCAGGCTATGGCAGAGTGGTGAGTAGAAAACAGTGGAAACCAGGCCAGGCACTCAGCCTCCCAGCACTTTGGGAGGCTGAGGTGGGTGGATCACTTGAGGTCAGGAGTTTAAGACCAGCCTGGCCAACATGGTGAAACCCCATCTCTATTCAAAGTACAAACCTTAGCTGGGTAAGGTAGCTCATGGCTGTAGTCCCAGCTACTAGGGAGGCTGAGGCAGGAGAATAGTTTGAACCTGAGAGGTGGAGGTTGCGTGAGCTGAGATCATGCCACTGCACTCCAGCCTGGGTGACAGAGTGAGACTATGTCTCAAGAAAAAAAAAGAAAGAAAGAAAAAACAATTGAAACCAGTTTTTTTTTTTAGGCGGAGTTTCGCTCTTGTTACCCAGGCTGGAGTGCAATGGCATGATCTCGGCTCACCACAACGTCCACCTCCTGGGTTCAGGCAAGTCTCCTGCCTCAGCCTCCTGAGTAGCTGGGATTACAGGCACGCGCCACCATGCCCAGCTAATTTTTTGTATTTTTAGTAGAGACGAGGTTTCACCATGTTGACCAGGATGGTCTCAATCTCTTGACCTCGTGATCTACCCGCCTTGGCCTCCCAAAGTGCTGGGATTACAGGCTTGAGCCACCACGTCCAGCCTGAAACCAGTTTTGTGTTTGTGGTAGTTTCTGTTGTTGTTGTTTGTTTGCTTATTTACACTCCGTTACCCAGGCTGTAGTGTAGTGGCATGGTCACAGCTCATTGTAACCTCTAACTCCTGGGCTCAAGCAGTCTTCCTGCCTCAGCCTTCTGAATAGCTTAGGACTACAGACACAGGCCACCATGCTCAGCTGATTTTTAAATTTTTTGTAGAGAGGGGCATCTCTCTATGTGGCCCAGGTGGGTTGTGAACTCCTCAGTTCACACCTTGGTTTCTTAAAGTGCTGGGATTACAGATGTGAGCTGCTGTGCCTGGCCTGCAATGGAAACCATTCACACTGAATTTTTCACCCACAGCACTTCTGACATCATATATTGGTGGTATTTTCCTTCCATACCAACCAATTTTCCAACTCTTTATATACCAACTGGGTGTCCTACAATTCAGTTCTGACACTAGCTACCTAGAGTTAGTGACAGACTCCATAGTGCTAACAGCTCATTAGCACAAAACTGCCCTCACTTCCGATGCCAGTTGCAAGCATTGAGTGCCAGGATACCCACACTTCTGTTCAGCTGGGCTAAAAGTCAGGGATTCTCACCCCCAACCTTTTTAGGTTTGACAGTTTGCTAGAACGACTCAGGACTTAGGAAAACACTTTACCTACATTTATTTCGAAGGATACAACTCAGGAACAGCCAAGTGGAGGAGATGTTTATGGCAAGGTATGGGGTAGATGCACAGAACTTCTGTGCCCTCTCCAGGTGCGGCACCCTCCCAGCACCTCAATGTTGTTCACCAGCTTAGCAGCTTTCTGAACCCTGTCCTTTAGGGTTTTTTTTTTTTAATGGAAATTCTATCAGATAGCATGATTGATTAAATCACTGGTGATAAACTCGATTGTCAGCCTCTCTTCCCGTTCTGGAAGTTGGGAGGTCCGGGAGCTGAAAGTTCCAGCCATCTAATCACATGGTTGCTTCCTCTGACTATTGCCCTGCCTTACATACATTTTTGTCTTAAAAAAGACAGATCTTTATGCTGTATAAAAACATCTCTTGTCTTGGTTTGCAGGAAGCAGAGGCTTTTGCATTGTACCACAAGGCCCTGGATCTGCAGAAACATGACCGGTTTGAGGAGTCTGCCAAAGCCTACCAAAAGCTCTTGGAGGCGCGTTTGCTGCGGGAGGTGAGGCACCAGCAGGCCAGGCAGTGTGCTGTGGTGGTTAGTGTATGCACTGTGGGGCTGGGTGCTCTGAGCCTTACCTCTCCTCTTCCATTTCTTGGCTGGGGAACCTTGGAAACTCACCTCTCTGCCCCTATTTCTCTACCTCTAGAGTATCTGCCTCACTGAGTTTTAATGAGGGTTGAGTGAACCAGTGAAGCATGTAGAATGGTTCCTGGTGCAAAGTAAGTGCAGAACGGGAGAACACATTTATAAATCATATGTCTAATAACCGATATACCCAGAAGAACTCTTACAACTCAATATTAAAAGACAATCCAACTTAAAAATGGGAAAAGAACATGAAGAAGCATTTCTCCAAAGATAATATTTTAATGTCCAATAAGCCCATTAAAAAGTGTTCAACATCGCTAGTTACTAGGAAAATGCAAATAATCCAAAACGAGGTGTCTCTTTCCACCCACTAGAATAACTACAACCAAGCAGACGCATAACACCAAGTGCTGGAGAGGATGTGGAGAACAGAACCCTCATACACTGCCAGTGGGAATGTAAAATGGTACAGCCACTTTTTTGGAAGATAGCATGACAGTTTCTCAAAATGTTAAAAATAAAATCGCCTTCTCTAGCAGAAGGCGCAAGGGGCTCAGGACAAAAATAATAATAAAATAAAGTCAAATTGCCTTAAAGTCAGCAACTTTACTTCTAGGTATCTAACCAGGAACAATGAAAATGTATGTTCACACAAAGACGTGTAGGTGAATGTTCACAACAACAACACTCACAAGAACCAAAAAGTGGAGACAAGCCAAATGCCCATCAACTGACGAAGGAATTCAAATGTGGGGAATACGAAGGAATACTATTCAGCAGTCAGAAATGAGTTCTGAGGCATGCTACCACAGTGATCAACCTCAGCAACGCAATGCTTCATGAAAGAAGCCAGATGCAAAAGAACACACGTCGCATGATTTCGTTTATATGAAAGGTCCAGAACAGCCTAATATAGAGATAGAAAGCAGCTTACTTGTTGACTAGGGCTGGAAATGAGACTGAAAAGTGACTCTGATGGGCACAAGTTTCTTTCTGGGATGATGAAATATTCTTAAACTAGATTTTGGTGATTGTTACATAATTCTGTCAATATACTAAAAATCATTGATTTGGACCAACCGCAGTGACTCACACCTGTAATCCAACACTTTGGGAGGCCACGGCAAGAAGATCACTTGAGCCCAGGAGTTCAAGAACAACCTGGGAAACATAAAGAGACTCCATCTCTACAAATAATTTAAACACTGAAAGTTAAAGGATGGAAAACATATTCCCCACAAATAGTAACCAAGAGAGAGCTTGGGTTGTTATAATAATATCAGACAAAATAAACTTTATGTCAAAAAAAATTGCAAAAGATCAGGATATTACATTAATAGAAGGGCCAATTCACCAAGAAAACATAATAATCATAAACATATATGTCATAAACTTCCCAGCCCTAAAATGCATCAAGCAAACTGACAAAATTTAAGGAACAAATACAGTTCTACAAAAACAGTTGGAGACTTTAATATCCCACTTTTATTTTTGAGACAGAGTCTCACTCTGTTGCCCAGGCTGAAGTGTAATGGTATGATCTTGGCTCACTGCAACTGCTGCCTCCCAGGTTCAAGTGATTCTCCTGCCTCAGCCTCCCAAGTAGCTGGGATTACAGGTGCCTGCCACCATGCCTGGCTATTTTTTTTATTTTTAGTAGAGATAGGGTTTCGCCTGGTTGGCCAGGCTGGTCTCGACCTCACGACCTCGGGTGATCTGCCCACCTTGGTCTCCCAAAGTGCTAGGATTACAGGCATGAGCCAACACACCCAGCCCTAATATGCCACTTTTAACAGTGAGTAGAAAAGTAGACTGAAGATGATCAAGAAAATAAACGGAACAACACTATCAACCGATTGGACCTAGCAGACATACACAGGACACTGCATCCAACAGCAGAAGAACACACATTTTTCTCAAGTGCACATGGAACATTCTCAAGGATGGACAATATATTAGCCCAGAAGAGAAGGATTAATCAACTTTAAAGACAGAAAGTATACAAAACATCATATCTAGTCACATTAAATTAATTAACATGAGAACTTTCTAAAAAAATCACAAATTTTTCCATTGTTTGAAAAATTACATTAGATGTGGTAACTCACACCTGTAATCCCAGCACTTCGGGAAGCCAAGGTAGGTTGGATCACCTGAGGTCAGGAGTCCGGGACCAGTCTGGCCAACATGGTGAAACCCTGTTTGTAATAAAAATATAAAAATTAGCTGGGCATGGTGGCGGGCACCTGTAATCGCTGCTACTTGGGAGGCTAAAGCATGACAGTCACTGGAACCTGGGAGTCAGGGAGGTTGCAGTGAGCAGAGATTGCACCACTGCCATCCAGCCGGGGTGACAGAGCGAGACCCTGTCTCAATTAAAAAAAAAAAGAAAAGAAAAACTAAACAACATACTCTTAACTAGCCAATGTATCAAAAAAGAAATCACAAGGGAGTCAGAAATTATCTTGAGATAAAAGAAATAGAAAACATAACATACCAAAAACTTACCGATTCAAGCAAATGCAGTGCTAAGAAGGTAATTACACACATACCGTTTTAGCTCATTCAGGCTGCTATAACTAAATGTCATAAACTGGGTGGGTTATAAACAACAGACATTATTAGAGTTCTGGAGGCTGGGAATTTCACATCAACTCACCAAAAAATTTGGTGTCTGGTGAGAGTTCACAGATGTCTTGTTGTGGCCTTGGCTGGGAGCAGTGGCTCACGCCTGTATTCCCAGCATCTTGCGAGGCTGAGGTGGGCGGATCACCTGAGGTCAGGAGTTGGAGACCAGCCTGACCAATATGGTGAAACCCTGTCTCTACTAAAAATAGAAAAATTAGCTGGGCATGGTGGCAGGCACCTGTAGTCCCAACCACTCAGGAGGCTGAGACGGGAGAACTGCTTGAACCCGGAAGGCGGAGGTTGCGGTGAGCAAAGATCATGCCACTGCACTCCAGCCTGGGCAAGAGTGAGACTTCATGTCAAAATAAAAACAAATAGAAATTTAGCTGTCTTTGTTGTGGTCTCATAGGAAGAATGAAACAAGGAAAGTACTGAAGTCTCTATTTAAAGGGCACTAACATCACTAATCAAGGAAATGCAAATGAAAACCACAATGAGATACAAACTTACTCCTGCAAGAACTGCCACAATTAAAAAGTTCAAACACAATGTCAGCTTGAATGTGAAGAGGGAACACTTTTACACGACTGGTGGGAATGTAAATTAGCACAACCAGTATGGAAAACAGCATGGAGAGTCCTTAAAGAAGTAAAAGCAGAACTACCATTTCATCCAGCAATCCCAGTACTGGGTATCTACGCAAAGGAAAAGAAGAAGTCACATGAAAAAAGACACAAAGACACGTACAAATGCATGTTTATAGCACAATTTGCAACTGCAAAGATATGGAACCAACCTAAGTGCCCATCGACTGATGAGTGCATACAGGAACTGTGGTGCACATACACCATGGGCTACTCCTCAGACATCAAAAGGGATGAAATCATGTCTTTTGCAGCAACTTGGATGGAGTTGGAGGCCATTCTTCTAAGTGAAGTAACTCAGAAATGGAAAACCAAAATATCGTATGTTCTGTCACTAAACTGTGTGTTATATTTTACGTAAATAAGGAGAAAAAACAAGTCTCAATGGAGGCATACCAACATTTCATGGGCACATAGATATGGGTATACTCAGAGAAATAACACAAAGCAATATGTTGATGCTTTTAATCAGCTAGCTAGTTTGTAATTTATGTATTAGAACATCCATTTAATTTGTTCTCTTTTATCTGCTGCAATGCTTTCGTAAAAGCATTAGATTTGCTCTTCTGTGATGTGCTGCGACATGAACCCAGGTAAAGATAGAAGGTTGAGACCTCATTTAGCATGGGCCTATATTACTTTTCTGTGTGTTAAGATCATAAAAACACCATCAAAATTATAAGTTAAGGTGCACTGACTGAATTTTTTTAAATAATGAGACACAGAAAAGTTACATTTCTGTTGAAACAAATGTTTTATAATTGCTGTAATCTTTCTGAGAGGCACGGTCGTGCTATGTTGCCCAGGCTGAAGTGAGAGAGTAGCTATTCACTGGCACCATATTTCACACTACAACCTTGAATTCCTGGGCTCAAGGAATCTTCCTGCCTCAACTTCTGGAGTAGTTGGGACTACAGTTGCGCACCACTGCACCTGGCTTTTGGGGTGCAGTTCTTTTTCCCACAGTTGAAAAACAGCCAAGCCCTAGACAAATTTCTTAGTAAGTCAAGTATTACTGAACTGTTTTTTTTTCTAACAAACTCTATCACTGATACACCTTTTACTTTTATATCCCTATGTCCTATTTGTCGGTAGTATTCTATGTGTCTCAATCCAGTTAATGATCTTATCTCACCCTTATCTGTCCTTCCAAAATTTTGGGGGGAGTTTTTAACTGTTTTATAGCTCTTATATAGTTTAAGTGACATTTGTTTACTGAACTATTATTTTTTTTTTTCAGATGGGGTCTCACTCTATACCCCAGGCTGGAGTGCAATGGCACAATCTCAGCTCATTGCAACCTCCGCCTCCCAGGTTAAAGCTATCCTCCGGCCTCAGCTCTTGAATAGCTGTGATTATAGGTATGTGCCACCATGCCCGGCTAATATTTGTATCTTTAGTAGAAATGGGGTTTCACCATTTTGACCAGGCTGGTCTCAAACTCCTAACTTCAGGTGATTTGCCTACCTCGGTCTCCCAAAGTGCTGGGATTACAGGCGTGAGTCACTGTGCCCAGCCTACTGAATTTTTGATACTGGAACTTATTTGTGCATGAGAGCCCTCTTTTGATAAATGTCTTTGTTATTTCTATCATTTCACTAACATGTACCCCAATTGAGATAGATGATCAACTGATGAACCACCCCACTAGTACTGTGTTCGCAATACTGTTAATCGAAGTAAATGTAGGTACTCTTTTACCAAATCAAGGTGGAAAGCTACTGAAAAAGAAAAAAAGAAAACTTACCCTGACCCTTTCCATCCATTTAGTGACATAAACACAGAAAGATCACCAAATTGACCAAATGAAGGAGCCAGACAATCAGACCAAAATAATATAAACACATTTTTCAGAAACACACCAAAGGCACCCAGGTTGAGAAACCTGGGTATTCACAGGCAGAGGACTGAAGTGAGACCCTTACGTTGCATAAGAACACAAACATCAACACAAAACCAACTCAGCACCTAAGTTTAATCCTGAAACTTAACAAGCTCTCAGGAAAAAACACAGGGTGAGTGTCTATTATTTATAAACAAGGAGAAAACGGTGAACCCAAAGAAAAGGCACCCTACAGGTTGGGATAAAATTATAGAAAATCATATATCCGAAAAGAACTGTCATCTAACATATGCAAGAAACTAAAGGCACTAAGTGAGCATAATGATAAAATAACTAAAACCTCTATTTACCCAAACAACCTGCCACTGGCATAAAAACAGAAAGGCTACCCAAAGGACAGAATGAGGGAGTTCCACATGCCACCCAAATGAATGTACACTGAACATGTTTTTCAACACAAGACAAAAAGACACAATGGGAAAATAATAAATGATTTTGAGCGAACTGGATAACCACATGAAAAACATGGAAATAGGACAAAAATCGATGTCAATTACACTGAAGGCCTAAACTCAATCTTGAAACCATTTACTTCCCTCAGGAAAAAAAGGGTAAGCACACAGTTTAGAAGACTAATCTATGCACACGAGTTGCAAATGTGAAATATAAAAAGAAAAAGAAAGAAGGAAAAAAACCATAGACAATGCCATGGATTGGCAATCTTTTTCACTGGTTTTAACTGCACACAGAAGTCACCACTAACATGTAAACACGTGGAACTACAGAAAACATTGATCTTATGCTGTGAAAAGAAAACAATGAACAGAAGAGAAGGTGCCTCACAGACTGAAAGAAAACTATGGAAAATCCTGTCTTTGAAAGGGGTCGTTATAAAATTTGTGCAAGAAACTAACACAACCAAGTGGGGGGAAACAAAAACAAACACCCAAGCTAAGTCTGGGCAAAGGACCTGAACAGACGTATCTACGAAGCAGATGTAAAACTGACTCACAGGTAAAAGAAAAGTCTCTCAAAAGCACTAATCCTCACAAGAATATCAAGGAAAACTGCACTGAGATACTGCTTCCATCCATGCAGAATGATTGTTACCTAAAACAGAAATAAAAGTTTTAAAAGGAAACAACTAGTACAGACTTTCGGGAAACTCTTCTCATACACTATTGGTGGGAATGTCAACGTCTATACACACTACGAAAAACAGCTGGAAGTGCCTCAAAGTAAAAACGCCATTTCATCCAGCCATCATTCCATTCCTACGTGGAACAGATACCTGCCTTACCCTCCGTACTGCAGTACTCACGATAGCCAAGATAGGGAATACACCTACCTATTCTTCCATTGATGAAGGGATGAGGAAACCAATATACATCCAGAGCAGAATATTCTTCAATCGTAGAAATGGGTGAAATCTCGTCACTTGCGGCCACGTGGAAAAACCTGAGGAACATTATGTTAAATGAAATAAGCCAGGCGGAGAAAGGCATATACTGCATGATCTCATGCACATGGAATCTGAAACAACTTGACCTCATAGAAGCAGAAAGATCAATACTGGTTACCAGAGGCTGTGGGGAAGGGGCGCCTAAGCAGGGATTGGTCATGGGTACAAAGTTACACTTAGAAAACAGATCAGTCCTGCCCTTCTCTTCTATAGCAGGGTGACCAGGGTTAATACTGTAGTAAAATTTCCAAATAGCTGGAAAGGATTATGAGTATCATCTCCACAGACAAATAATACCTAGAGGACTTCACAGATGCTAAATATTGTGATTCAATCAATATGCTAGGTGTACCCATATCAAAATGGCCCCTGTATCTTCTAGTTATATACATATACTCTAGGGCAATCTCTTTTTAAAAAAAAAAAAAAAAAAATACCAATGACGCTAAAATTTACAAGGAACCATGAAACACCCTGAATTTCAAAGCAACCCTGAAAACACAAAGTACATGGATTGCATCACGGTCCTCCATTTGAAATTATATTGAAAAGCCAGTTATCTAAACAATAGATGACTGGCACTAACCGAGAAACCCACCAACAGACAGAATGAGGGAGCTCAATCACAAACCCAAATTCCTATGTGGTGTACACATTTTGTAAAAGAACACCGAGGCCAGGCACGGTAGCTCAAGCCTGTAATCCCAGCACTTTGGGAGGCCAAGGCGGGTGGATCACAAGGTCAAGAGATTGAGACCATCCTGGTCAACATGGTGAAACCTCATCTCTACTAAAAATACAAAAAATTAGCTTGGCATGGTGGCGCATGCCTCTAATCCCAGCTACTCAGGAGGCTGAGACAGGAGAACTGCCTGAACCCAGGAGGCGGAGGTTGCGGTGAGCCGAGATCGCGCCACTGCACTCCAGCCTGGGTAACGAGAGCAATACGTCGTCTCAAAAAAAAACGGGGTCCAAAGTGGCTCCCACCGGAGGTCATGGTGCTCGCCAAGGCGAGGTCATCAGTTCAAGGCTAACCTGAGCAACCTCATAAGCTCAAACTGATTGGCAAAAAATAAAAATAAATAAAAAAAAAATTAAAAAAAGAACACCGAAAGACACAATGAAGAGGGGGGAATCTGCTTAGTCAATGGATTTGAAAACTGGATATCCCTATGTAAGTAGAATAGGACCCCAATTGTGTAAAAAGACCAAGGATTAACTCAAAATGAATTAGAGACTGATCAAAAGTCAAAAGCATCAAACTCTTCCAATGAGAAGACACATGGTGCGGGTATATTTAGGTCAATGTGGATCTGTGCTCACAGTGTGCCAAAACGAAATAAAAAATACAGGGGGGAAAAACTCATAGGTGATGGGATAGTTTGGTCATAATTCTGTTTTTCCTCATCAGTCACCTACATCAAAGGACAACAAGAAAACAGACACACATGGGACTGCATCATACGTTAGTTTGTGCCCAAGCAGATTTCTAAAAAAATCTGCTGGGCGCAGTGGCTCAAGCCTGTAATCCCAGCACCTTGTGGATCACGAGGTCAAGAGATCGAGACCATCCTGGTCAACATGGTGAAACCCCGTCTCTACTAAAAATACAAAAAATTAGCTATGCATGGTGGCGTGTGCCTGTAATCCCAGCTACTCAGGAGGCTGAGGCAGGAGAGTTGCCTGAACCCAGGAGGCGGAGGCTGCGGTGAGCCAAGATCGCGCCATTGCACTCCAGCCTGGGTAACAAGAGCGAAACTCCGTCTCAAAAAAAAAAAAAATTATCCTGAATTTTACAAGAAAGGTTTCGGCAAACCTACATATGATGAAAGGTTGTCTTCAAAATGTCTAAGCAACAAACACTACTTACTAGCAAAAGAGAAACCAATAACTAAACTAATAACTAAACAAAATGGGACCAAATAACCTAAATAGACATTTCTGCAAAGAAGACGTAATGTTGAAAACAAGTTTTACAAACTTAGATAATATCACAAATCACGAGAAAGACGTAAATCAAAACAACACACATGATCTCACTATAATTCATATGGATGTTATCAAAGCAATCAAATACATTAAAAGAGACACAAATGCTGCTGTCAATTTCCACAGACGAACTCATTTGGTCAGAATGTTCATTAGTATACATACTACAGACACCAGTGGGAGCTTCCTCCAAAAGTTGAACCTATAACTACTGCTTCATCTAACAAGTCTACTACTAAGTATACTTTCAGGACAAAAGAAATCAGTCCATGCAAGAGGCATCTACCATCCTATGTGGACTGCAGCACTACTCACAATTACCAAGACAAAGAATAGACTTACCTGCTCATCCACAGATGAAGGGATACCTAATGTATGTGCACAAACACAATCGTCTTCAGCTAGAAAACCGGAATGAAATGTCATCATTTGGAGCCACGCTGTTGAACTTGGAGGACATCATGTATGACCTAAGACAGGCAGAAAAAGAAAAACTAATGTAGAATCCAAAATAAAAGGCTTTATTGCATAGGTCTAGAAAGCACAATAGTAGTTACTAAAGGTTGGAGGGAAGAAGGGGCACAGGCAGAGGTCAGAAATAGGCACAAAGTTACACTTAGATGAGAGGAATGAATCGTTCCTCGCTGGTCCACAGCCAAGTGACCAGAGGTTAACACAACAACATCACACCCTTTTCACAAAATCTGGGAGATTCCAAATGTTTCCACCACAAAGAAATTCACAACTGTTTCTGATAAGAGAGGCTCTAAATACCCTGATTTTATCATTCCTCGGTGTCTGCATTAATCAAAATGCCCCACTGTAACTCCCCCCGCCCATTGTATACCTTTACTATATGACCAACCTTTTAAAAACTATGTAAATACGCAATGCTAAAATTCATGTGGCCCATAAAACACACTGAATTTCCAAAGCAATCCTGAGAAATCCAAACTACCTCGGTTGTGTCACACTTCCTGATGTTAAATTTCATTGAAAAGCTAGGGACCCCATTCCACACAGAGCAGTGGAACAGATTAGAGGACCCAGACTGAAACCCTCACCCCTAACACCATCTGATCTTCAACAAAATCCACAAAAATTAGCTTTGGAGAAAGGACTCCCTCCTTTCAATAGATGGCACTGGCATAAATGACTAGCCAGCTGCAGAAGAAAAACAGTGGGCCCCTTGTCTCACGGTGTACAGACACAAACTCAAGATGAATGAAAGATGTAAATGCAAGACCTCAAACTACGAAAAGCCTGCAAGAGAACCTAGAAACACCCTTCCTGACAGAGGATTTGGCACAGCGTGGATGTGTCTCAGTCTCCAAAAGCAAATGCAACTAAAACAATTATTGCCCAGTTGCACCTAATATAAAAAGAGCTGCTGCAGAGAAGAAATGACCAACAGTGTGAACAGACGGCCTGCGCAACGGGAGAAAATGTTCCCACGCATGCATCTGATGAAGGCTAATCTCCCGGATCTACCTTAAAGATGTTAAGCAAATAAACCAGGAAAACAAAAACTCAATGAAGAAAGGGCAGGGGCATGAAAACATGCACCTCAAAAGAAGGCTTACAGCAACCAACAGACATGACAACACTTCTCTGCCTCAGTCAGCATCAGAAAAAGGCAAAGCAAAAGGCCCACAAGATAGTATTTCACACTGGCCAGAATGACGATTAGGACACAGTCCACAAGAACGAATGCAGGAGAGGCAGAGGACAGGGATGCTGCTCTGCTGCTGATGGAAATGCAAACCAGTTCAGACACCATGGAAAGCCACATGGGGATTTCTCAAATGACTTTCTCCACATCACTAATACTCACAAAAATGTCCATGAAAACCATGCTAAGATTCTGTCTCCTTCCACTCACTATGAATACTACCAAAAACAAAACACAAATTTTGGAAGGCGCCAGCCAGTGTAGACTTACAGAAAGGTAACCTTTTCATCACTATTGGTGGAGACATAAACTAGTATACACACACTGAGAAACAGCAAGAGGTTCCTGAAAAACTTCACAGTACAACTACCATGTCAGCTGGCAGCCCCGCCACTGGTTCCACATTTAAAGCAGCTGAAATCCCTGGGCTGAAGAGAGCTATCTGCCTTCCATGGGTACTGAAGCACTTGCAACTGTGGCCAAAGTACGGAAGAACCTACCTGTCCACCCACAGCTGCAGGGATGAAGAAACTGCGGTACAGATACACCATGGAGTATGTTCCAGCCATAAAGCTCTGGGAAATCCTGCCATCTGCAGCCACATGAAGAAACTTGGAGAACATCAGGTCCAACGAATGAGCCTGGTAGAGAAAGTCCCGTTCCACACGATCTCAGGCATGCAGACTGAAAATATCTTCATCTCCTAGAAGCAGAAAGTTCAACAGGGGTTACTAGAGGTCGCTGGGAAGATGGAGAGGGCCTGGGAAGGAATCAGTAATGGGTAAAAACTTCCCCTCAGATGAGAGCAATCAATTCTGGTCTTCTATTCCACAGCAGGGTGACTGGCCTTAACACAAATGTATCATATGTCTCAAAGTAGCTAGAAGAAAATATTCTGAATGTTGTTACCACACAAAAATATCATAACTATACGAGGTGAAGAGCTGCTAAATAACCCAATTTGATCATTACTCAGAATACACATGTATCAAAATCTTCCCTGTACCCTCTAATTATATACATTTATATATGGCAAATGGTGTTTTAAGATATATAAAGAAAACAAGGCCAAAATTTATATGGAAATGTGAAACACCCTGAATTTCCACAGTTACCCTGAGAAACACAAACCATGTGGCATGTATCACATTCCCTGAGTTCTAATTAAATGAAAATCCCTAGTTAACCAACCCATATGCTACTGGTAAACACAGAGAAACACAGACCAGTGAGCAAAACAAGGGCGTTTAATAATAAACAGAAATTTATATAGAGTGAATATGTTTTTCAAAACACTACCAACTGACACAATGGGGAAGGTTTTCAAAACTAGGTGTCCATATGCAAAAGAATAATACAGGACTCTCATTGTATGAAATACACAATAATCAACTTAAAAGGATTAAAGATTATACACAAAACTTGCAACCATAAAGCTCCTATAAAGACAACCTCAGTGTGCGGATATTTACTGCACTTGGATGTATGCTCACGATGTGCAAAAACAAAAATACAAGGAAAAGAAAATCGTGGCCAATGGACTGCTTTGGTAGTGATTGAGTTTTTCCTTCATTAGTAACCAACAGCACAGCTAACCAAGAAATCATACACATGTGGGGCCACGTCACACTGAAGAGTTTGTGTCTAACAAACAATGAACAGAATGAAAAAGTATACTAAAAACTAAGAAACATTTGGGCAAACATTCAGTTGGATAAGGGGTTATTTTTGAAAAGGTACAAGCCAGTAACTCTACCGGCTGGCCAAAAACAAACAAAAAAAAGCAGAAAAATAACCAAACCAAATAACCTGAAGAGATATTTGTGCAGATAAGAAACTGATGCAACTTTTGCAAAAATGTGGTTACCATTACTATGCTGAGAAAAATGAAGACCAATACCACACTCAGACCTTACCTAACTCCAACTAGAATGAACATTACAAACAGATTAAAATATTTAAAAAGACAACTTCTAGTATGAATTTCCACAAAGGGGAACTGTTTGTGGAAACGTAAATTAGTATTAACGCTATAAAAAAACAGTTGGGGGTCCTGCAAAGAATAGAAAAGAAAAATAGCATACCATCTAGCATTCCCACTACTGGGTATACATTCAACCTACCTGTCCATCCACAAAGGGATCAAGAAACTCTCGTATGCATACACTAGGGAATATTCTTCGGCCACCGAAATGATGATTAAACAGTGTCATGTGGAGCAACCCAGATGAACCTGGAAAACATGATGTTAAACATAATGAGCTGGGCCAAGAAAGACAAACACTGAATCTTAAGATGTCTGTCTTAAAAGAGGTAGAAAGCACAGTATTGGCTACCAGGGTCTGTCTGGGAGATAGAGGAGGAAGTAGGGATTGGTTACGGAAGCAAAGTTATCTTAACCTTAAAGGAATCAATCTGAGTGTTCTCCTCAGCCTGGTGACTGGAGTTAAGAATATTATATTTTTCAAAAGGACAAGAAAGGAGAATTTTATGTGTTCGCTCCACACAAAAATAATACCTTATGAGGGAACAGAGATCCTAAGTACCCTGATTTGATCATTACCCAATCTACACATGTGAAAATGTACCCCTAATTGTGCACCTTTATGTTGTGGAAAAAAAAGTTAACAGAAATAAATACATATTGCTAAAAATCACAGGGAACCATAAAAGCAATTCATATCTAAAGGAATCCCGAGAAATACAATCAAAGTGAGGACCCACAATCCTCGATATTAAATCACACTGCCAAGCTGCAGTTATGCAGCACATATATGGTACCTGGATAAAAACAATACCTAGAATTGTGGATGAAAATGGGGAGGACAAAACAAGATCAACGCAAATACGGACATAGTCAAGTCAATTTGATAAAGACCACCGCAGTGTGGAAGGCAGAGTCTGCTCAATGAATACCTTTGAGAAAAATGTTATCTGAATGCAGAAGAGAGAAACAGGACCCCGATTTTACATGATATATGAAAATCAACCCGTCCCGGCAAAAAACAAACCAAAAAAACCCCCGAAGACCAGAACAAAAGACCATTAACCACAAAATGTTTTTAACTAAAACACAGGTTGAGCATATATTCTATTGAAGCAAACACCCTGGAAGAAAAACCTCATTGACAATTAAATGCTTTGTCACTGATAAGTATTTTCTTATATGGGTGACCAAAATTACATGCATAAAACGCAAAAATAAACATGGACTACATCAACCTGAAAAGGTTCTGCACGGCAAAGAAACTACTTTCCAAATTTAAAAAGCATCCTATAGATTAGGCAAAAATTTCAGGTAATCATGTAATTCATGAGTTGTCATCTAAGGTGTACACAAAAAACACTACAAAGTAGCAAAAGAATCTAATATTTCCCAAAGGACCTGAACAGACAATTCTGCAACAGAAAATCGAGTAACAGATAAAAGGTCCTGAAAATTAACTATCCAACAAAGTTAATTTACTGTGTGTGGTTTAACTGAAACCCACACACAGATAATCTCACACTTACTGAATATTCCTAGAAAGTTTTTTAAAAATAGGAGAGGCCAGGCTCGGTGGCTTATGCCAGTAATCCCAGAACTTTTGGGAGTCCAAGGCAGCAGATCACCTGAGGTCAAGAGTTTGAAACCAGCCTGATCAATATTGAGAAACCCCGTCTTTACTACTGATACAAAAATTAGCCTGGCGCGATGGCAGGCCCCTGTCGTCCCAGCTACTCAGGAGGCTGACACAGGAAAATTGTTTGAACCCAGAAGCGCAGGTTGCAGTGAGGCCAGATGGCACCACTGCCCTCCAGCAGGGGCAGAGCGAGATTGTCTCCAAAGAAAAAAAAAAAAAAAAAAAAAAAGGAACACGGGTATGGTTTTGGAGAAAAGGGAACTCATACACTAAATGAAAATCAGTAAAGACACCACGGAAAACAGCTAAATACCTGGAGACTCCTCAAAGAATTGACACTACAAAGGTCACCTGTTCTATTGTGTTTTAGCGAGGTCTCTTTCTAAAGGTCCTGAAACATCAAAATAACCCTGGACCTCAGCTCAGAAGGCCAGGGGCTCGGAGGGTCCCAGATCCCGCGCTTCACCGCGGCCTCTGAGCTAGGCCCTCCTATACGCTGGACACGGGTCGCACACCGTTCCCGGCCAGGGTGCTCACGCTGGGCCGGCCAGGACCCCACAACCACCGCCACGCAAACTACTGGGGCCCAGATGCCCATAAGGAGTCAGGGCCCAAAAGCGAGCGGCGGGGAAGGACCAGGGAGGCCCAGAGGGTCCCCGGTGGAGTCCATGCCCCGCCACTTACCGCGGAAGCCTCCCTCCTGCTCCCCCATCACATGGAAGCCACCACGGCTTCTCCGAAGCTCGCCGCATCTGGACGCCGCCACTTCTGCTCGCTGGACACCGACTCCGCTTTTGCCGGCTGGGACCGCGCGATAACTTCGGCTCGCTTGGAAGCCGACTGCGCTTCTGCTCATTAGCACTACGTCGCCCACTCTGGCCGCCGCTTTTGCTCGCTCCGACCACAAGGCCGCCGCTTCCGCTCACTTCAAAGACGCTTCCGCTTCCGCCGGGGCCCCGCGGAAAGCGCCGTTTCTGCTTCCGTAGAGGCGCGCACACCAGTAGCGTCACTAGCGACTGGCTGAAGCACCACCCCCTCTTAAAGGGGCCGCGGCTCGGACTGCACAGAAGCAGCTTCGCGTTGCGGTACAGGCTGAGCCTCTGCCCAGCCCCAGCGGTGGACCAAAGGTACCCAGTCTCTCCTCCCGGCTCTAGGGCCCTAGAGGTGGCAGGATTGGAGCCCTGTGACCCCAGCCTCGAGATCGGCTCCCTTTGCCTGGGGAGCTTCCAGGACCTGCCCCTGCCCTCCTCTGGACCTCAGCTTCACCATCCCCAAAGGAAGCGGCCGGAGCTCTGGGGTCCCTCAAGCGCGGCGCCTCAGGATGCAGAGGGGACCCTTAGAACCACGAAAAGCTGGGGGCTGGAGGGACAGTCCAGCGGAGGCCTCCCCAGTCTCCCTGTCCGCATCCCCCCTGTGGGAGCCCGGGGGCCTCATCGGGGCTGCCTGGGTCACCCGGCTCCCCAGGAGGCAGGCAGGGGCCCTGGGGTCCAGCGCCGCCGCACCTCAACTCCATCCTAGGTCAGCGCCCGGAGGGGCCCTGCGGACTGGACCCAGCCCGCCCGTTCCCAGGGAGAGGGACCCGCATCGCATCTGTCTCTGTGACACCCACGGGAGGGCCGTGCTGGCCTCTCCCGGGGATCTGGGGCGAAGCGGGGGAATCCCAGCCACCTGGCCATCATGCTGAAACCTCGTCTCTATTAAAAATAGAAAAATTAACCGGGCGTGGTGGCGCCCGCCTGTAATCCCAGCTGAGGCAGCAGAACCGCTTGAACCCGAGGAGGAGGTTGCAGATCTGGGGTCACTGCAGCCTCCGCCTCCCTGGCTCAAGCAATTCTCCTGCATCAGCTTCCCGAGTAGCTGGGATTACAGGCACACGCCACCGTGCGTGGCTGTTTGTATTTTTAGTAAAGACAGGGTTTCACCATGTTGCCCAGGCTGGTCTCAAACTACTGACCTTGTGATCTGCCATCTTGGCCTCCCAAAGTGCTGAGATTACAGGTGTGAGCCACCTTGTCCGGCCGGATGAGGAGTTCAAGACCAGCCTGACCAACATGCTGAAACCACGTCTCTCCTAAAAATACAAAAATTAGCCGGGCATGATGGCACATGGCTGTAATCCCAGCTACTTGGGAGGCTGAGGCATGAGAATCACTTGAACCCAGGAGGTGGAGGTTGCAGTGAGCCGAGATCGAGCCACTGTATTCCAGCCTGGGTGACAGAGTGCGACTTCATCTCAAAACAAAAGAAAAAACAAAATAATAGTCAAAATGGTAGAGACAGAAAGTAGAGTGGTGGTTGCCAGGGCTGGCAGAGGAGGGAACAGGGAGTTTGTATTTAACAAGTAGAGAGGCACCAAAGCACGCTGAGAGTGCCCCAGCCCGGGAGCTAAGCAGGGTCAGGCTTGGCTAGGGCTTGCATGGGGGAACACCTGGAGGGTCAGGGGGCTGGAGACTTGTGGCTTCTTGCCTCCTTACTGCTTTCCTCCAATTGTCACAACTCTTTCTATCTGCCCCCAACTCTTTGGCCAGTCCTTTTGCGCCTGCCTGCACCCCTGCTCTGGCGTGGGACCTCTTCTCTTTGAAGGCACCAAATTCCATTGAAGCTAAGAGGGGTTCGAGCCTGGCTTGGGCTAGGATTGGGGACTCCCCAAGGAGATGGGGGCTGGTTGCTTTTGGCTTCTTACTCTTTTCCCATTTTTCCTGCTTGCCACAAAGCGTTCCCACAGCCCAATGATTCTCTGGCTTTTCCTTATTGACTTCCACACACTCCTGTGCTCACTCTGTGTCGTGAAGTGTCCCTGAGGAGGACCATGATAGCAGCCCTTGGGCTTCATAGCAGCCTGAGGGTGCCCCAACATAGAAGCTAAGCGGGGTAGAGCTTTGGTGGGGCTTGGAGAGGGGACTACTTGGGGAGACTGTGGTCTAGAGGCTTTTGGCTTCCCACTCCCGCTTTCTTTTTTTTTTTTTTTTTTGCTTGTCACAACACTTCCCAACTACTCGCTAACCCTCTGGCATTTCTTTTCCAGCTAACCTGCCCCCCACCCGTGGCCAGGCACCTGCCTATGGGGTTTCATCTATGCAGCCTCTGCAAACCACAGCAGTCTGAAGGTCAGGGTGTGGTCGAGAAATGTTGCTCCAAGGGGGAAAAGCTGGAAAAGAGCAGGAAGCCAAAAAGCTTGAAGCCTGGTCATTCCAGGTGGTACCCCATCCAAGCATCTGTTAGGCCCAACCCTGCTTAGCTTCTGGGCTGGGGGTCCTCAGTCTACTATGGTGATGGGAGGCTGCTGAAACAAACCCCCACGGAGAAGTTGCAGTTCGAGGTGGGGGCACTGGAGGGAGGAAATGGGAGATTAGGGAGTCAGAGGGCAGTTGGAAATCGTTGCCAAAAGTGAAGGAAAGCAGGAAGTTAGCAGGAGTCCAAAAGTCTCCAGCCACTGGACTCCCAAGGTGGTCCCTCATGCCCTCCTCTGCTCAGCTTGTATGCTGGGGCACCCTCAGGCTGCTATGCCAACTGGAGTCAGCCCAGCTAATTTTTTGTATTTTTAGTAAAGACAGGGTTTCACCTTGTTGACCAGGATGGTCTCAATCTCTTGACCTCGTGATCCACCCGCCTCGGCCTCCCGAAGTGCTGGGATTACAGGCTTGAGCCACTGCACCCAGCCTACTTTTCTTTTAATTGGCTTATTTTGTGAGCATAACAACAAACAGAATAATTCAGACAGAAATGGCTCTGGCCGGCATGATTCCAGGGATGTGAAGCTCAAGAACAGACACTGCTATGTGCAGTGCCAGAAGCCAGGGCACCAGCGGCGCAGGAAATGTACTGAGGGAGAAAGAACACGAGGACACCTCCACCAGGTGGCAGCCACAAGGGCGTATAGATGTTTAAAGTAACAATAAATTTTAAAAAAGAATCACACATGTTATGGACTAAATGTGTCCCCCAAAATTCATATGTTGAAGCCTTGAGGCCAGGTACAGTGGCTCATGCCTATAATCCCAGCACTTTGGGAGGCCAAGGCAGGAGGAGCTCTTGAATCTAGGAGTTCAAGACCAGCCTGGGCAACATGGCCAAACCTTTTCTATACAAAAAAATTTTTTTAAAACCTTAGCCAGTGTGTTGGCACATGCCTGCGGTCCCAGCTACTCAGGAGACTGAGGTAGGAGGATTGCTTGAGCCCAGGAGGTTGAGGCTGCAGTGAGCCATGATCGCAACACTGTACTCCAGCCTGGGCAACAGAGTGAGACCCTGTCTCAAAAAAAAAAAAGCTAACCTCCAATGTCACAGTGCAGTATATGGAGGGGGGGGGCCTTTGTGATACAATTAGGTTAGATGAGGATGGGGCCCCTTCGATGGAATTAGTGGCCTTCTAAGAAGAGGAAGAGACACCATAACTGCCCTCTTCCTCCTCCTCCCCTTCATGCTCCACCCCCCTCCTCCCACCTTCCTTGTGAGGACCCAGGGGCCATCTGCAAACCCAAGGAGAGAGCCCTTGCCGGACCTGAATCCACAGCCCCTCGAAGCTGGGCTTCCAGCATACAGAACTGTGAGGGATGAACATGCCTTGTTTAAGCCCCCAGTCCATTCAGCAGTATTCTATTCCAGCAGCCCAGGAAAGCTAAGTCTACACAGCAGGAAAATGCTGAAGCCACGAAGGAACCCAGGGGTCTGATTTCCAGAGCTTTCATCGTGACTACCCCGTGTTTGCTTTCCTAGAGAGGACTCTAGAAACCTGAACCCGCCCCCCTTCAGCTCCCCACCGCCCTGGCAAAGGGCTCCAGCTGCTCTGGATGATGAGGAAGCCAGGCACCTCTGACAAGGTACCTCCCCGTGGTGGGGCCGTGCATCGCAGGGTCCAACAGCACCTCCGGCCTCCATGCAGTACCCTAGCAGCCCACCTCCCCACAATTGTGACAACCAGAAATGTTGCCACACATTGTCAAGTGTCTCCTGGGAGCAAAATCACTGGGCTGAGAACCGCGGCTGCGTGGGAAGTTGGCACACAGCCGGGAGAGTCAGCACCAAAGAGAAGCAACAATTAACGCAGCGATAATAAATGCAACAATAACAGCTACTGTAGAAACAATCATTTTGATCATCACAACCACAACAAAAGCAATCGCAGGAGCAGGGGCAGCAGCATACACAACCTCACAGTGCCCCAGCAGGACAGCACATGGCTAATTGTGGAGTGTGTGTGAAGTGTGTGTGGTGAGTGGTGTGTGTCTGTGTGAGGTGTGTGCACTGTGGAGTGTGGTGAGTGGTGTGTGTGTGAGGTGTGCACTGAGTGTGGGTGGTGCATGTCTACAGGTATAGGATGAGTCTGTGGGTGTGGAGGGCGTGTCCACGGGGGTGGAAGGACACCCCCGTGGTAGTCAGCAATGCCCCCAAAACCCCATGTGTCAGGAACCAGGCTCGGCCTTGCTGGCGAGGTCACCGGAGCCTGTCGCTGCAAACAGCGTCCCTGGGAAAAGAGAAGGCTGCAGTGACCCCCAGACCTGTGACCTGCTGGGGGTCCCGCCGGCTGCAGGTGGCTGGGGTCGAATTGTGTTCTGGGCAATGCTGGTGCCACTTAATGAAATACACACAGGGCGGCCAGGCGGCTCCCTTGGCCCAGACCTCAGCCTCCCTGAAGTGACTCCGGATGGCCCCGAGAGTCCCCGCGTCCTACAACCACCCACGCTGGCTGCGCACAACCTGTTTGCGTAGCTGCTAGGAGGTGGCCATGGCGAGTAATCTGGGCTGAGGGAAGCCTGGCGCTAACACAATCCCCTCTGACGGTCAAAGTCAGAATCACAACTGCCCACACAGGGGCTGGGAATGGCTGGGTCCCCACAGACCCTTCCAGAAGCCAACAGGCCGGGAGGTGCTGGATGAACAGGAGCAGAATGGATTAAAGATGAAGCACAAATAAAAATGGGATTGGGGCAAGGTGGCCCGGGGTGCCTGGGCCCCCAGGTGGCTTCAGATGCATGGCTGTGGGTCTGTCGGGCCCCTCCTGTGTGCCGGCTTCCCCCGCAGATCTCAGGAGCCCAGTGCCTGCCTGGGCCTTGAGCAGGAGTTCAGGGGACACTCAGTGAGTGCCAGGCACCAGGCAGTGATGGTGTGATGGAGTAAAGTCGCTGACCAGAAACTATGTGTGGTGCCCAGGGAGCGGGGCTGTGGACAGGGCCACCGGGTCTCCCTCAGCCACAGATGAGGAACCCAGGCTATCAGAGGTGAGGCGCCTGAACCCGCTTGGCCCCAGACCCCAGCTTTGCTGCCTCCGGCCCTGAGATTCTCCACTTCCACACTCGTGACTGCCCACTTACCCAAATAAGCCTGGGGCCCCAGTCACACACCTCACGCTACGCCAGGCAGCAAGGAGGGCCCCGGCCAATGCGGAGCCTGGCACGGGGCCGATGCTCCAGAGATGCTTGTGAATGGGAGGGAAAAGCAGAGGCTGCCACCGCATGTGGCAGATGGGGAAACTGGGCCCCAAAAAGGGCAGGGGCACAGGAGAAGCCGTGGAAGGGCCAGGGCAGACCCCAGGCTGGGCCGTGGCAGCCCCCGCCCCACAGCCTACCCTGAGCCTGAAGCAACGGTGGGAGGAGGAAGGGAAAGAAAAGCCACAGAGGTGGGTGGCCAGATGGGCAGGGGCTGCCCCGAGCCACTGCCTCCATCACCCCCGGCCTGCAAGGGGGTGAATGCCAAGGCTTCTGCAGCCTCCAAGGAGGCAGCCGTTGCCATGGTGACCACCGTTATCTGGCAACTGAGCTGCATCGTCCTGGGCACCTGCTGTCTGTTCTCTGGAGCTGCTGGCTGGCTCTAGGGACAGACCTGTGTCCAAGAGCCCCCCGTCTCAGAAAACCCACCTGTGGGGACAAGCCAGGTATGCGTGGGCACAAGGGGACCGCAGAGCCCCTCCCGGGTCTGCAGGAACCAGAATGGAGCCACATCACTCAACACTTTCACTTTTTCAAAGCTGGGAATGAACGTATTGATTTATAGGATAATAAAAATAACATTGTAAAAAAATTTCAAACAATACAGGAAAGTGTACAAACAAAAGGAAGACTCACTGGCATCTCATTTCATCATCTCTCCATGTGGCATATCAAGGCCTAAAGGCAGATGTGATTTTAACCAGGAGGTCGTGCTCTCCACAGCCCCACTCCCTGGGCACCACACAGAAACAGGTTTCTGGTCAGCGACTTCATCCCATCATGTCATCACTGCCCGGTGCCTGGCGGTAACTCACTAAGTGTCCCCTGAACTCCTGCTCAAGGCCCAGGTAGGCACTGGGCTCCTGAGATCTGAGACTCCCTGCCTGGCCTCCGGAAATTGAGGGCTCAAAGGTGTCTGGGCCAGGAGACCTTTGATGGGCACATCTGCGACCCCATCTCCAGGACCCGAGTGCTCCACTTCATGAGAAGGGGGCAGCTTCCACAGGGTGGGGTTCCAAGGAAAGAGCGAGCCTGCTCAGCCAGAGAATCAGGGCAGACTTCCTGGAGGAGGCCCTTTTTTGGCAGAGATTAGAAAAACAAGAAAGAGGACAGGCCCAGTGGCTCACACATGTAACCCCAGCACTTTGGGAGGCCGAGACGGGCAGATCACCTGAGGTCGGGAGTTGGAGACCAGCCTGGCCAACATGGAGAAACCCTGTCTCTACTAAAAATACAAAATTAGCTGGGCGTGGTAGGTGACAGGTGCCTGTAATCCCAGCTACTTGGGAAGCTGAGGCAGAAGAATCACTTGAACCTGGGAGGCAGAGGCTACAGTGAGCCAAGATCGTGCCACTGCACTCCAGCCTGGGCGACGGAGTGAGACTCTGTATAAAAAAGAAAGAAAAATGAGAAAGCTTAGGAAATAGAAATAAAGTGGGGGGACAAGAAGAAGGGAACAGAGAGAAGAAAAATGGGGTGGGCAGAGCAGAGGCACAGAGGTGGGACTATGCTGTCATAAATGAAGTCTTACCCATGAAGGGCATCAGGTGCCCTGACCCACCCCTCGCAGGGAAGGCTGGAAGGAGGGGTTGGGGGCTGGGCAGCAGGAAAGTGGGAATGGCACCCTAACCCCCCCTCCCCGCCCCGCTGTGTGGACAGACAGGAATCTCCCTGGGCAGAGACCCCAGCTCTGCCTCAGAAATGCCCCCAGGTGATCTTCAGAAGTGAAAATGAACCTCCAGCCCGACCTCTTCAATGTGCAGCTGGCCAGTGATTTCGAAAGAGAAGGATGCGGGGCAGGGGCAGGGGCACCGTGCTGGAGAGGTGGCACTGGGCACTCAGACCTGGATTCACAGCCCAGCTCTGCTGCCCTCCCAACTCTCCCCACTCCATCACCTCCCTGGGCCTTGTCCCCTCACCATAAGACTGGGGCAGTGGTGTCTACACCCTGGGATGACCACGTGAGGGCAACAGGAAATATTCGTAGCACTCCTGGCCAGGCTCCGCGTCCAAGGTGAGTCCTGCAGGCCCCACAGAGCCCATGCATGTGGCTGGAGGCAACCCGGCCTGTGCAGGGGAGGAGAGAGAAGAGGAACATTCCACTGCCTCATCACTGCCCCAGAGGCACCAATTTAATGCCCCACCTGAGGCAAGGAGGAGACGAGGCATGGGGGAAGCGGGTAGGGTGGCCAGCAGGGCCTGGACAGAGGCCAGGGAGGAGCGATGAGAACAGCCAGACACCGGCTCACAGGCAGCAATGGAGGCCAGTGCCTGCTGCGGCCACACCTGGGCTTCTTCCTGACTGTTCATCCTGGACATCTGCAAACCGCGCCTCCCCTACACACACACACACACACACACACACACACACACACACACACACACACACACACCAGCCCCTGGAGCCCCTTGTTGGAAATAGACACTTGGCACCACAAAGAAAAATCAGCACCGAGACAGGATTTGTCAGCAATGCAACTTTTACTTCCTGGGCTGCAGGAAGGGTACCCTCTCTAGCAATCTTGCCACAAGAGTACAATGAACAAAGGAAAACAGACAAATTTATTCCTTATGCATTTGGGGTCGTGCTTACTGCTGTGTCTGATCTCCGTTGGCTGGAGCCAGAACTTACAATCTAAACTAAAACCCAATTGGCTAATAACTTAAAACTTTTCTTTTCTTTTTTTTTGAGATGGAGTTTCGCTGTTACCCAGACTGGAGTGCAATGGCACGATCTCGGCTCACTGTAACCTCCGCCTCCTGGGTTCAAGCAATTCTGCCTCGGCCTCCCGAGTAGCTGGGACTACAGGCACGCACCACCATGCCTGGCTAATTTTTGTATTTTTAGTAGAGAAGGGGTTTCACCATGTTGGTCAGGCTGGTCTTGAACTCCTGACCTCACGTGAACCACCAATCTCAGCCTCCCAAAGTACTGGGATTACAGGCGTCAGCCACCATGCCTGGCTAAGTTCCTTTTTTTTTTTTCTTGAGAGGGAGTTTCACTCTTGTTGCCCAGGCTGGAGTGTGATGGCACAATCTCTGCTCACTACAACCTCTTCCTCCAAGATTCAAGTGATTTTCCTGTCTCAACCTCCTGAGTAGCTGAGATTACAGGCACCCACCACCACACCTGGATAATTTTAGCGTTTTAGTAGAGATGGGGTTTCACCATGTTGGTCAGGCTAGTCTCAAACTCCTGACCTCAGGTGATCCACCCACCTTGACCTCCCAAAATGCTGGGATTACAGGTGTGAGCCACTGTGCCTGGTCAATACTTTTAGTTCTTATTTGTAACTCTCCCTAGGGGTTTTAGCTGGCAGAATTTGAACATTTCTGGGCTGGTGGTGACGATATTAACAAGTACGCTAAAATATATCAACAATTTTCTGTGTTCGCAGCCAGCTGCTGTAGGCACCACCTCAGAACTTCAGGTGTGGGCCACGATTTTCTGCATGGCCCCAGCAACTCCTGGAATCCATAACCTGACCAGGAACGTCAGAGTGCGTTTGTGATTTTCACAATCATGACCGTGGCAGGAATTGTGTAAAAATGAACATATAGTCATTGGCTTTACGTAACCACTGAGGCCGCTTCACAATGCTGGGCAGGGTCTGGTACCTCTGTAGGCTGGAGTGCTTAGACACACTTAGACAGCTTCAGGGCTCAGACACGCAGTCTGTACTTGCTCACATGGGGATTCATGATACAGTGGCTTAGACATAGAAAGAAAGAACATGGTTTTCTGTGTTATTTCACCAGGAGAAGCACATCCCCACTTGCCTCTTACAACTTTATTTCCAGGATGCCTCCTCTGAGTAGTTCTCAAAATGTCTGAATGTTGAGAGACCCCCACTGTTTTATTTAGTGTGCGTGTGTGTGTGTGTGTCTGTGTGTGTGAGAGAGAGAGAGATGGAGTCTTGCTCTGTCACCAGGCTAGAGTGCGGTGACACAATCTTCACCTCCCAGGTTGAAGTGATTCTCCTGCCTCAGCTTCCCAAGTAGCTGGGACTACAGGCGTGTGCCACCATGCCCAGCTAATTTTTGTATTTTTAGTAGAGAGGGGTTGGCCAGGATGGTCTTGATCTCTTGACCTTGTGATCCGCCCGCCTGGCCTCCCAAAGTGCTGGGATTACAGGCGTGAGCCACTGCACCTTGCCGAGAGCTGGTCTTAACACAGCTGGCGGTGGTTCACATTAAAATCGGGAGGAAGGTGTTACTGTACGCAGACGATTCTTCTCAAATGTCATAGATTTCTCCCGTACTTGCTTAATTAGTGGTTGAAATGATAGTGATTGCACTTTTTGTTATTTCCATTTCAAATTATAAGTAGAATGATTTTTTTAATCAAATTATATAATTATTAAGTCCAAGTGAACAAGATATATGTCCACTGGCTAGTCATCTGTCAGAGTGTCAGGGTCACTGAGGATGTAACAATCATTCATCCTGCCTCTTACTGGCGCTCTGAGGAAGGCACTCCTGCTCTGTAGGGGATAGAAACTGTCCCTTCATAGTCCCATTACGTCATTTTTCCTGCATACAGAGTCTTCCACAGTGGGTCCTAGTCATTTCTCCTGTTTCCCTTCATCTCCTTTCTCCCTTTTCTGAGAGTCTGATTCCATCTAGCACCCCTTCTCTTCCCTGGGAGGCCAGTTCTTCCCGGGTCCAACCTCAGGGCTGCAGTACAGAGTTTCATCCTCTTCCCCTTCCCTTTCTTTTCTCCTTCCCCTTCCCTTCTTTTCTTTCTTCTTTCCTCCCGCCCTCCTTCTTTCCTTCCCTCCTTCCCCTCTCTCTTTATCTGTCTCTCTCTTGAGAAACAGGACATATTCCTGTTAAAGCAGATGCTCGTTCATCTCCAAAGCTCATAGAGGAAACCCAGACCTGGGCCAGAGACCCTCAGGGTGCTGTGGTTTAATGGCCTGGAGGTGACCCTGCCAATCACACAGACATTGCAGGCTCAGAGGGAGGAGCCCCTTGGAAAGAGAGGTGAGCAGAGGCTGGGACATTTGTGCAGACAAAGTCCCCAGACAACTCGTAGAATCTTTCTTTTCTACTTTTGACAGGGTCTTGCATGCAGGCTGGAGTGCGGTGACACGGTCACAGCTCACTGCAACCTTGACCTACTGGATTCAAGGGCCCTCCCACCTCAGCTTCTCAAGTAATTGGGACCACAGGTACATTCCACCAACCCATTTATTTTTATTTTTATTTGTGTAAATGGGGTCTCATTTTGTCACCCAGGCTGGTTTCAAACTCCTGGCTTCGTGGCATCTTCTCACCTTGACCTCCCAAGGTGCTGTGATTGCAGCCATGAGCCACCATACCCAGCCCCCTTTCTCTTTAAAATATTGGCATTTGCCAAGAGATCGAGACCATCCTGGTCAACATGGTTAAACCCCGTCTCTACTAAAAATACAAAAAATTAGCTGGGCATGGTGATGCATGCCAGTAATCCCAGCTACTCAGGAAGCTGAGGCAGGAGAACTGCCTGAACCCAGGAGGCGGAGGTTGTGGTGAGCCGAAATCACACCATTGCACTCCAGCCTGGGTAACAAGAGCGAAACTCCGTCTCAAAAAAAAATGGCATTTGCAGCCATGCATTTTATTGTGACCACTGGTCTCATGGCTTCCTACACATTTGGTATTTATCTCAAAGAATTTTCCAGCATCACTTGTGATTTCTGCTTTCATTCGCTGATTGTTTAGGAGTGTGTTATTGAATTTTTATATATTCCTGAATTCAGATTTGCTTTGTTATTGATTTCTACCTTCATTCTATTGTAGAGAAGATACCTTGATTTTAGTCCTTTTAAATTAATGAAATCTGTTTCATGGCCTAAGACATGGTGTATTCCAGAGAGTATTCCAGGCGTACTTGAGGAGACGCTGTATCCTGTGAGCCTGTTGAAGGTGTTGTCAGGTCTAGCTGATTCACAGTGTTTTTCAAGTTCTCTACTTCTTTTTTGATCTTCTGTCTTATTATTCTAGCCAGTACTGACAGTACAGTATTGCAAGTATTACTGGGAAGCCGTCTGTTTCTTCAATTCCAACAGTCACTACTTCATAGACTGGGGGGCTCTGTAGTTAGATGCACAAGTATTAATTGTTAAATATATAATGTCCTTCTTTGGCTCTTGTAATAACTTTCATTGACCTACCCATCTCTCTTTTCCTTCCTTCTTTGCCTCCTTCCTTCTTTCCTCCCTCCCTCCCTCTCTCATTTAAGCTGTTGGCTGGACACAGTGGCTTACATCTGTAATTCCGGAATTGGGGAGGCTAAGGTGGGTGAAGTGCTTGAACCCAGAAGTTTGAGACCAGCCTAGGCGACATGGCAAAACCGAGTCTCTACATCTTGACACAACAAAACAAAACCTGAAATTAGCCGGTCATCTGCAGTCCCAGCTACATACTCAGGAAACTAAGGCCAGCGGATCTGTTGAGTCCTGGAGATCGAGGCTGCAGTGAGCCACCATCATACCACTGCACTCCAGCCTGGGCAACAGAAAGAGACCCTGTCTCAAAAAAATAATAAAGTACATAAATAAACTGTGGATTGAGAGCCGTGTATGCGCCAGGCCCTAAGCGGGGCATGATGAGATGGGATGAAGAGTCTGGAGACTTGGGAAAGGCTGCACCTCTGGGAGGGAGGCCGCAGCTTCTCCTTCGTCAAAGAGGGTCCTGGAAGGGGTAGGTAAGATCCCTTCAAGTCAGGTCCTGCAGAGTTCCAGGATCCCAGGTGGAGCTCCGGGTGTGGGAAGGCAGCCAGGAGGCAGCATGAGGGTTGGTAGGGGTATGGGGCTGGAATCGGGTGGGATGTAGGGAGGGGCTGTGCTACCCTCACCTGTGAGCTGCATGAACTCACAGTGCAGCCCTGAAATAGACTACCCCACTCCGTGGCCACACCTGTCTTGTTTGTCTCCTGTTCCACGTCAAAGGTGACAGGATTGGCTTCTCCTTGCCTTTTTTTTCCCCTTGTCACCCTCAGTTCAGGTTTAGGTCAGTGTGAGGATTAATCTTAGCCTGGTGATTTCCAGGGGCAGCCATCTGCAGGTAGAGCCCCCGTAGCTGGGGAGGTGAATCCCCGCCCCCATCCCTTGGCCTGGCCCCCACCCTACTCTCACCTCAGACCTTGCTGCCCTTCCAGGCCTCCCTGGCCAACCACTTCACCCAGGAATCAGCTGGGTTCCTGAATGGCTGGCCCTCAGGGTCCCTGACCCAGCTCATCCTTGCCCAGAGGGAAGGCTGGGCCCAGGGAGGAAAAGGCACTTGCCCAGGATCACACAGTGTGTCACCCACAGGCCTGGGCAAGAACCCAGGAGATAATGGCAATGGCTGAGGGTAGGTGAGGGTCCCCATGGGCCTGGCACTCCCTGGGCATTCTCACTTAATTCCCAAAACCAACCTGTGGGGAGAGACCGTTGTTATCCCCCCTATACAGACGAAGAAACTGAGACCCACAGAAGGGAATCAAATTGTCCAAGGTCAAGGGCTGATTAGGGCTGAGCTTGGGTGGGACCCCTTTTCTGTCTGACGCTGGGATTGGGACTCCCACAGCAGAGGCTCCACTTGGAAGAACATGCTCTAGAGTCCTGCATGCCTTTGCCAGCTGCCCTCCCTCCTCCTAGCCATTTGGGGGGGGTGACCACTGGACTCTGTAGCCCTGACTTTGCCTGATTCTGCTCTGAGGCCTCTTTTCTGCACCCCTGAAATGGGATCAGAGCTGGGGAATGACAAAGGGAGGTCACACCACCTGAGCACATCTGGTGCCTGGCAGATGGCAGTGCCCCATACAGGCGCCCTCCATACAGGTGTGCTTCATACAGGTGTGCTCTGTACAGGTGTGCTCCCATGTGAGCTCGGCAGGCCCCTTCCCTTCCTGGTCTTGGTTTCCCCATTTCCAGATGGGAGGCCCTGGGCTGAAAGTCAGGACACCCCAGAGCTGGCTCTGCCTCACTCTCTGGGATTTAACTGCTCTGAGCCTCAGTTATCCTACCTGTGAAAAGGGACCATGATCCTGGCTGTGGGCCTCACAGAATCCCTGATTGGCTCAGCTGGATAACATGTGGCCTATATTTTAGAAATGGTACAAGCACAATACGGCCACTCAATAGCGTCTCAACACAGGACACAGTTGCCTTTAGGATTTGCAGATCTGGCCAGATCTCAGGCGTTCCAGGCCTTTATTCTCCACCTTGCTCCCTCTGGGCCCTCTGCAGGGCTCTGGGGCTTAGGACACTCCAGCCTGCTGGCCCAGCCCAGCGTGAGTGTTCAAAGCCCTGGTCTACTGTACACCCCAGAGAACTCCTGTGCACTCTGCAGGGCCCTGCCCTGGGCTTGCCTGCCAGCATCGTCTGCTCATTCAGTCTTCTTTACCAAGTGGTCACTGCCTGTGTCCCATTCAGGGCCCAGACCTCTTCCCTCCTTTGTCCCCTGCTCCCACGAATGCCTGGCCCAGTGCAGGGCCTAGCCATGCGGCAGAATGGAAGGAATTTCTGGGTGGTGAGCAGGGTGGCAGAGCAGGTGGCGTGGCAGACAGGTTCTAGGGTCTCTGAGATAATCCTGCAGGGTGCTTCCATGGGGGCCCGTGTGCACCCGCCACAGCCCGTTGAGAGAAGGGGCACTGAGGTCACTCCTATGCCTTTGCTCAAAATTGTCCTCGAGCATGTCCATCCTCCATCTGCCCTCCAGCACTGGTTCCAGCTCCCAGACCTGTTTGAGGTTGCCACCTTTGCTCACATAGAATCTCCAATATCCCCTGTCCCTTGTCTTCTTCACAAAGGGTCTCATCTGCAGCCTGAGCTCTGGACTGGGCAGGGACAAGTACCTCCAAGAAACCCCTGTGCCACAGCCCCCTTCTCCCATGGTGCATGAGCAGGCACATTTCTGGTCTCACCCGGGGCTGGGCTAGGCCGGTCCTGCCTTGCCTGGGACATTAGGAGCTGAGGGTCCTATATAGATCAGGCCCCAGGGGCCTCAGGGGGCTTGTGGAAGGATGGGTGTGTGTGTGTGCATGGACAGATATATGGATAGATGGACAGATGAAAACACAGATGAGTAAGTGTCCAGTCTGAAGTCCTGTCCATGGAGGAGGGACCCAGGAAGGCCTCTTGGGGGCAGCTGTGCTTCCGTGTTCCTTATCATTACCCAAGACCTTCTCGTCCCAGGGCAGCAATTGGAAGGGTCCCCATTTCCCTTTCCCTCCCTGCAACTGGCCCAGCCCTCCTGAAATGTCCAAGGTCTGGAGGCAGCAGGTGGGGTGTGACCTGCAGGGACCCACTTCCAGCTTCGGCCAAAGTGGGTCCCTCTGTGCCCCACAGCTGGCCACAGCTCTGCACCCAGTATTTTGAATAGTTCCTAAGGAGCCCTGAGGAGGAGGCAGGGTCCGCATGAATGGAAGCTTGTGGAGCAGAAGATGCCTCTTCTGACTCTTGATTAAGTGTGATCCTGAGACCCTGTCTAGCTCAGGTTTGGGCACAGGACTTGAGCACCTTGGTGCTGGGACACAGGCCTGATTTCCAGCTAGACTGGCAGAAGCTTCATTAGCTTCTGCCTCTGGCATAACCAAAGCCTCCCCTACCCCCATGACCCCACCCTCAGCAGCCTCCCCTCTGAAAACCATTTGGCAATTTCTTATATGCTTATGCATATCAAGCAAACCCTACTCCTAGGTTTTTATCCAATTAGAATGAAAATTTTCATTCCAACAAAAATTTCTATGTAAATATTTGTGCTGGTTTTACTCACCATTGGCAAAAAGCAGAAATGTCTGGTTTGATCCAACACACACACACACACACACACGTGTGCGTGCAAACAACCCAATTCTCATTCAACGGGTGAGTGGCTAAACAAATTGTGATACCTTCAGAAATGGAATCCTACTTGGCAGTAACAGGGAACAAACTTGATCAATAAGGCAGCTGGAATGAATGGCAACATTGTTACACTGAGCTTAGGAAGCCAGACTCAGAAGGTTACATACTTAGACTCCTACTCAGACTTAAAAAGGAACAAAATATGTTGCAACCTAGCCGCCTGGAAGAACATCCAGAAAACGATTCTGAGTGAAAACCTGTCCCCCAGAGGTCACATACTGTTTGATTCCATGACCAAAACATTCTCGAAATAACAAAATGATACAAGTGCAGACCAAATTCGTAGTTGCCAGGGGCTAAGGAGGGGTTTGGCACAGTGGGAAGCCAGCGTTTCCGGGAAAGGGCAACATGAGGGAAGTCTGGGAGGAATACTTCCTGTTCCTTGATGTATCGATGTCAATATCCTGGCTGTGATCTGTTACTGAAGCTGCAGTGTGTTACCCTTGAAGAAGCTGGTCAGAGTACCTAGGATCCCTCTGTATTTCTCAAAACTGCATGAGAAGCTACAATTATCTCAAAATAAAAAGTTTATTATTATTATTTTTTTTTTTTTGAGACAGAGTCTTGCTCTGTCGCCAGGCACCAGACTGGAATGCAATGGTGCGATCTCGGCTCACTGCAATCTCCGCCTCCTAGGTTCAAGCAATTCTCCTGCCTCAGCCTCCCGAGTAGCCGGGACTACAGGCGTGCGCCACCATGCCCAGCTAATTTTTGTATTTTTTAGTAGATACAGGGTTTCACCATGTTGCCCAGGACGGTCTCGATCTCTTGACCTCGTGATCTGCCCATCTCGGCCTCCCAAAGTGCTGGGATTACAGGCGAGAGCCACCCTGCCCAGCCAAAAAGTTTAATTTTAAAAAAGGTCACATCCTTTACATTTGCATTTCTATGAGATACTGAAAAAGCAAAAGTATTGGGTCAGAAAGAGATCAGTGGTTGCCATGGTTGGAGTACAGAAAGGGTTTAACTATAAAAGGAACATAAAGGCTGAGAGGCACAGCTCACCCCTGTAATCCCAGCACTGTGGGAGGCTGAGGCAGATGGGTCACCTGGGGGCAGGAATTTGAGACCTGCCTGGCCAACATGGGAAAACCCTGTCTCTATTAAAAAATTACCCGAGTGTGGTTACACACACATGAAATTTCAGCTACTCGAGAGGCTGAAGCAAGAGAATTGCTTGAACCCAGAAGGCAGAGATTGCAGTGAGCTGAGATTGCACCCCTGCATACCAGCCTGGGTGACAGAGTGAGACTGTGTCTCAAAAAAAGGGGTGCTTAGGGAAATTTAGGGGGGTGAAAATATTCTGTATTTCAGTTCTGATAGTTACACGAGTCAATGACTTTTTTTTAAAATTACACTAGGTTGTTGTTGTTTTTTTTGCTACACCAAAAGAGTAAACTGTACTGTAAATTAAAATAGAAATGTTTTAAAATGTTTATTATGTCATTACATTTGTCAAAAACATACTGAATGTTTACTGTTCCCTATGATGGATGGAACATAGTTTTACCTTCCCCTACTGTTTGACACTTAGGGTGTTTCCACTTTCCCCCCATGAACACACACACACACACACACACACGAGATGGAGTCTCACACTCTCGCTGAGGCTGGAGTGAAGTGGCACAATCTTGGCTCACTGTAACCTCTGCCTCCCAGGTTCAAGCGATTCTCCT